TGCCAAGTCAGCAGCTAAAGCTGAAAACTTGGAAGATTGCTTTGGTTCCACTCTCCCTTACAACCTATTTATCAACCCATTAGAAAATAGATGGTTAATTTAAAAAATTATCCCAAATAGTCTCATGACTTTTACCATCACCATCATTTCTTATAGACTATTGCAGTAACCTCCCAACTGGTTTGTTTTTAATCTTAGTCTGTACTGTCTGTTCTCTATAGAATAACTGGAGTTAAATGCTTCTTTTAAAACATAATGCCTTGGGGAAAGTGGGGGATAAAGGTGAGTGATGGAGGGGGTGAATCCAGCTATGATATAAGAACTTTTATTAATATCACAATGCACCCCCAATACAACAATAAAAAAAGGTAAGAAAAAATAAAACATAATGCCTTCAGGAGACTAAGGACAGGAGGATCACAGTTTGAAGCTAGCCTGGGCAAAAATTTTCAACTATGCAAAAGACTGAGATTGTGAGGATCATGGCTCCAGACCAGCCCAGGGCATCATAACTAAAATTTCTTAAGTGAAATCTTAAATACCTTACTTTTACTCCTACATGTGTTTTTGTGTCTATATGCATATATGATATTTTTTACAAAAATATATGAAAGAGCACTACTTAATTGGCTGAAAAATTTTTGATCAGAAATACAATAAGTAACCCAAATGTTTTTCAAATTTACTTGCCTGATTAAATATTTGATGAATAGACTGGTTTTTTAAATTGTTACCAAAGTTAAAAAAAAAAAAAAGAAAAAAAGACATGCCTGTGAACTGGTTATAACAAGATACTTAGAGTCTACTGCCCAAGGACATTCTTTTCACAGAAATTGATTCAAATTTTTTCTTGAAATGACAAATCAAACACATAGTAAATTCAAGAAAGATGAAAGAAAGCAAATCATTAAAACTTCTAGAGCTGGAGGTGAGTCTCAGGCTGTAGAATACCTGCCTAGCAAGTGGGAGGCCCTGAGTTCAAACCACAGTACTACCAAAACAAAAAACAAAAAAACAACTTCTAGCCAGGCACAGTGGTGCTTGCCTTTAATGCCAGCACTCAGGAGGTTGAAGCAGGATCAAGAGTTGAGGCTAGCTCGGGCTACATAGTGAGACCCTTTCTCAAACAAACAATAAATAAAATTTACACAAATCCTGTAAGCATATAAATGCTGTAATATTAATAGCTAATGAAGGACAATAGTGATACCAAAAATACCTTAAACACATTACTATTCCGAACTAGGACACAGTAATTCTTCTATAACTATGATTCCCTTGGACAGGGGGTGTGGCTCAAGTGGTAGAATGCCTGCTTTATGAAGCCCTGATTTCAAACCCTAGATCCCCCCCCCAAAAAAAAGTACTTGTAAGTACGATTCCCTGGTATTACTAAATAATATCTAAAATTGTATTATAAGCACTTTTGTAAATATCACAATGTACTTTTATGATAATAAAAGTAAAAATCTTAAATTCTATCTAAAATTAGAAAAAGTCAGGAGAAAACAATGCTGAAATACAAAAAAAATACAATTCAAGGGAAAATTCAGCCCATACAATTTTCAACAAAATAATTCATGAAGCCAGGCACGGTGCTACACAGCTATAATCCCGGAAATCAGGAGGCAGACGCAGGAGGATTGCAAGTACAACCCATGAACTGCCTAAGAACATTAGAGTATAATCATTTAGTATGGGAATGATCTGTTTGCTGCAAATTTGTTCAGTGTGAAGAGTTATAGTTAATTATCTATAAAATCCAGATTTGAATTTTCCTAGAAAAAAATTACTTTCAGAAAAGTGCCCCATCTCTGTACAGCAATTAGCACAGCCTGCTCCCATAAGAAATATATACGTTCTAGTATGAAGTAGTTTGTTCTAGTTCCTTCCTACTATTGTCTACTAGCTGTTACCATTTATCATCTACCTGACCTTATGAACTAACTTCACTTCACCTGGCTGACCCCTTAAAAATGTGAGTAATACCAATTATGATCTACATAATGAGATGTATATAAAGAAAATACTTTTCTTTTTTGAGACAGTCTTGCTATGTAGCCCAAGCTGACCTTGAACTCTTGATCCTTCTGCTTCTGCTTACTGAGTGTCTAGCATGAAAATACTTTTATGTAAAATAAGTACTAAAGGAATGGAGGTGTGGCTCAAGCAGTAATGTATGCTTTGCACATTCGAAGTCCCGAGTTTAAACCTCAATCCAACCAAAAAAAATTAAAAATAAATAAGCAAGAAAGTCTAAAGGCTCACTGAAAAAACTGTATCATATAAAAATGCACAGAATCCTAACACTTAAAACTTTTAATATTTATATATTCTATTTTTCTCCTGCAAATGTGGAAAAACATGTTTAAGAACATTGGTGGGAGCTGGTTGCCAGTGGTTCACACCTATAATCCTATCTACTCAGGAGGCAGGCAAATAGTTCACGAGACCCTATGTTGAAAAAACCCTTCACAAAAAAAGGGCTGGCTCAAGGTGAAGGTTCTGAGTTCAAGTTTGAGTACCGAAAACAACAAAAACCCATCATTTTAATATCAAAGATTGATGCATGTGTTTATAATTATACAGTTATATTTCAAAGATGTTTGTGATTATTTTAAACCACCCTCTAAAAACTCAGAAGTTTCCCTCACAGTAACGGCACAAAGTTCCAGTTCCAGCAGTTTTCCCTGAATATTTATAGTACTGTCTAAAAAAAGTTTCAAGATTCAAATTTAATCTACAGAAATAAAAACATGGCGGTGGAGTGGCTCAAGTAGTAGAGCGCCTATCTACCAAACATGAGGCCCTGAGTTCAAACCCCAGTACCACCAAAAAAAAAAAGAAAAAGAAAAAAGAAACAAAAGTCTTATACAAATATATGTACACTATAAACCAAGAAAAAAAAAACACTGACAGTTAAACAAAATGAAAAATGAAGCTTAGTGCTAATATTACAATAAAAAAAGAAAAAATAAATAAAGCAGAAAATACAACACGGCAGAAAGATTTGCAATAAGCTCTTCAAATCACCTGAATTAATTACCTGGGGATTACTACTACAAATGACAAGACATTTCAACATACTAGACTAAATACAGACAATATCATAATTTTGTTAACATGACCTATTGTAAAGTAATAAGGGAAAAAAAATAATAGGCATTTCCTAAAAGGAGCAACTACAGAAAGACTTGCAGGTAGTGTTATGATAACAGAACTACTTCATTCTTCTATTATGAATGGTTACCATAAATAATAGGTGTTAACTGAAAGAGAAATTCAATTAAAAATATACAAAATACCAAAATATGTAGAGGCCACCTATACTGCAAGGTCATACTGACAAGCACAAAAAAAAAAAAAAAGCCTTTAAAAAGTCAAAATAAATGCTCATCACTCCTAGGATTACCACTGAGTTGCCACTGAAAGCAGATTTTATGCAAAATTTTAACAAACCCAGAGTGATGACATATGGAAATAAAAACATTACTTTGCAGATGAAAAAAACTAAGACATGGAAAGATGACTGGGCCAGAAAATTCAAATTTTGTAGCTTAGGAAATTCACATCATGGTAGATGCTTGCCAGCAGGGGAAGGCAACCCTGCCAGTGGTTTGCAAAGAATCACCTTTGGGTGCTAGGAATGTGGCTCAGTAATTGAGCACTTGCCTGGCTTGTGCAAAGCACTCAATTTGATCCCCACCCCCACCCAGAATTTTTTTTGAAAAAGGAAACAAACACAATTCAAAAGCACGTCAATAATCCTGAATCAAAGCTAATGTTTAGCAATATACAATGAATTGTTTTAGGCTTAAGAATGTAAATTGCTACAGAAATAATCTCCACAAGTAAAAAGTAGAGGGGGGAGGGTGCTATTGTGGATGTTTGTATCCTTCCTGGATTTTATAGTGCATTTTAAAACTTATATAAAATATTCCCTTACACCTCCCTAACCCTGCTACGAGCTAGCAATTACTGACAAGTCTCCTTTACAAAATGGGAATGCCATAGACACACACAGAAATATTTTTATCCTTTCTGGTTTTAGCTGGTTAATATTGGACCTTCAAATTTCCAAAACACCGAATTGTTTCTTGGACGTATTTTGGATCATCACTGGAAAAATGTGGTAGTGCACAGAACGTATTCTTGTAGAAAGAAATTAATTAAACTCAATGCACAAAATGGTGCTTTTACAACATTTCCAAAACGCCAAGGCATTCTCCTTGCAGGCAGACTTTATGCTTCTTAAAAGACTGAAGACGGGCCAAATTTCTCCTTAAGGAGTACGACGTTCGGCAACCATCATCTTCCTCCTAAAAGGCCTGCGCCACTTTCTGCTCCTCCGAAACGTGAGAAAACTTCGAGAGAGCTAAAGGAAGCCCCTGGAGTTGAGTTTCAGAAAATTCTCTAAAAAGTGGCCTGTGTCACTTAAGCATGCTCGATAGCCACTGTCCTATGAGAGGAAAAGGTCGGATATATTCAATCTTAATCCCCGCGATTCCGGCTGTGCTCCCGTCACTCTATAACCTTAACATGACAGGACATCAGATGGCGCCTCCCTCTGCCCCACCTATCATCCCACCTACCCCGCAGTGGTGCTCAGTCTTACGATTTTGAAGCCTCAAAAATCAACCTAGCTTCCTAGAGTTCAGGCCGCCGTCGCTGCCGCCATATTACAGCTTGTGCGGCAGAATGCGTCAGGGAGGGAGGTGTGCGCCCGAGTGGGAGGGCGGGGGCTGGCAGGGAAACAGCCGTTTGCTAGGCCCCGGAGGCAGGGCCGGGAGCCTTCTCCTGCCGCTAGAGCTGCAGAGCCGGCGCTTCGGCCTCAGGGCCACCCCTCTGGACCCAAGCAGCCCACAAACCTCGAGGCAAAGACGGTTACCTCAGCCCGGCCGCCCGCGCCGGCTCCGCCCCTCTCCCTGGGCCCTTCCCGCTTATACCCCGGACTTCAGCAAATGACGCTACCAAAGCAACACGGGCGTCGCGCCCCATACCTGCACTGTTAGTTTCCTCTTCCCTGGGCTCAGTGTTTGAAAGCGCTTCAAATCTACCGCCGTCAGAAAAGGCGCTAAAGCCCACTAACCGCCTCCCTCCCCCCAACAGCCCTGTCCCGGCGTGGAGAGAAAGCGTCGCGCCGGAAGTGCGTCACGAATTGGTTGACAACGCCTCCCGGCGTTCCCTGGCTTGCGTCACCGTGCTCACCTTGGATTGATACACACTTCATAAATAGCTTAAAGCTTTCTATAACTTGACTAGGTATGTTTATGTGCCTCAGGATGCCATACTGTACATGAAATAAAGTCTTTCATTTAATAAACATTGACCGATGTTCTGTCAGGGTATTTTGACGGACGATCCGCCTCCAGTTCCAGTAATGAAGCCCTATGTGGGAGGCTGAGGTCGGGAGGTTAGAGGTTCAAAGCCAGCCGAGCAAAATAGTTGGCAAGACCCTATATTCAAAATAACCAGAGCAAAATGAACTGGACCTGTGGCTCAAGCGTACAGCACCTGCTTTGCAAGCAGAGAGCCCTGAGTTCAAACTCCAGTCCCCCCCGCAAAATAACACTAAAGAATTAAGTGCTGTGTGAAAAAAAGAGGAGGAAATTACAAAAAGCATTGACGTTCGTTGTTTTTAATTCTCACAGTAACCCCACGATACAGATTATATCTAATATGTTGAAATTTCATTGGGCTGTGTAATCCCAAAGTTTCCCAAATTGATTTGTCATGGGTTTATTATATCAACAAAGAAGCTATTGCAATAAATGGAAATACTGTAATGTTCAACAATATCCTGGCTTTAAAGGGTCTGTTTCTCACTTCATTAAAGTTTTTAGGTGGATGGTCCATTTGAGAGGACAGCTGTGCTCCATGTAATCATTTGGGGACTTGAGTGTTTTCTATCATGTCATTCAAACACAGGCCAAATTCCTTCAGCATATGTTGATTTGGATTTCAGCTGGCAGAAGGAAATAGGAGGCAACATTTTAAGGTCTAAACCAGGAAATAACATGTGCCACTTTGGCTCTAATTCCATCAATGAAAATTAAATCAATTACATGGTCAAAACCAATTACAAGGTTCTGGGATATGTAATCTTGGCTTGTGCCCAGAAAAAAAAGAAAAAGTGGGAAATTATCACTTTGCCGGATGTTGCCTGTAATTCCAGCACTCAGGAAGTAGAGGACTGAACTACACAGAATGTAGTTTAAGAATTCTGTCTTAAAATAGTTACACGAAAAAAAATTGTTTTTACAATCACCAAAACAGAATTTCCTTTTTTTTTTTTGCGGTTCTGTCGTTCGAACTCAGGACCTTCACCTTGAGTCACTCCACCAGCCCTATTTTTGTGATGGGTTTTTTCGAGATAGGGTCTCTCGAACTATTTGCCCAACCTGGCGTCAAACTGCCATCCTCCTGATCTCTGTCTCCTGAGTAGCTAGGATTACAGGCATGAGCCACCTGCACCCGGCAAAACAGAATTTTTAAGTGGTGTTCTTTAGTTAGCTCCTCACTTTGCATGCCTGTCCCCTCCACCCATCCCTTTTTTATTTTTTTTTTTTGCAGTGATAGGGATCAAACACAGGTCCTGTGTATGTTAGTCAAGGGCTCTACCACTGACCTATATCTATAAGCCCCAAGGTTTTTTTTGTTTTGTTTTGCTTTGTTTTTTTGTGGTACTGGGGCTTGAACTCAAGGCCTACATGTTGAGCCACTCCACCAGACTTTGTGTGTGTGTGTGTGTGTGTGTGTGTGTGTGATGAGTTTTTGGAGATAGGGTCTCTCGAACTGTTTGCCCAGGCTAGCTTCAAACCTCAATCTCCTGATCTCTGCCTCCTGAGTAGCTAGGATCACAGGTGTGAGTCACCAGTGCCTGGCAATTTTTAAAGACTGCTTCCATTATTTTTATTTTTGCTGGTGCTGGGGTTTGAACTCAGGGCTTCACACTTGCTAGGCAGGTGCTCTACTGCTTGAGTCATTCCAGCAGCCCAAGCCCTGGGTTTTTGAGATAGGGTCTCACTGCTTCATTTTGCAGATTGATTTCTCTAAAAGGTGATCTCATATTAAGAATCTGACCCTCTGTCATCTCCAATTATAAAATGTCAGAAATTACTTTAACATAGCAGTGGCAGGACAAAATTTGTGCTCTCCCTATGCTGAGGGGTATCAGTAGAGTCTGTCTGTCCTGCTAAGAACTGCTTCCTATCTGTCTCCTTTCCTCTAGGTGAGGAATATGAATGTTTCTCATCAGTGGAAAGTGATTGGAAATGACGTGTACTACTTCCAGGTCAAAGTGTTTGTAGGGATTCTCCTACAATCCCAGCTACCTGGCAGGTTCAGATCTGGAGTATTGTGAGACTTCATCTCCAAAATAACCAGAGGCAAATAGGCTGGAGATGTGGCTCAAGTGGTAGAGTGACTACTTTTCAAGTGTGTAAACCCTGAGTTCAAACCCCAAACCCACTCCAAAAAATAAATGTTTATGGGGATTAAAACTAGGGCCTTGCTCTAGGCAAGTACTCTACTACTGACTGATCTAAGTCCCCAGCTCTTTTCTTTTTCTTTTTGTCAGCTGAATCCAGAAGGTCTTAAGGCCCTGGGGAATTTTGGAAGAAGCCTGTGTCTTAGTCTGCTTAGCATCATTAAAAGACAACACTATATACTTGACAAGTTTTAAAGGATCTGCCTGTGGGGTTGGTCAGTGGGAGGAGGTTATAAGGAAAGTATGTAGGAGGGTGAATATGGCTGAATTATTATGTAATCATGTATGAAAATGGAAAAATGACACCTGTTAGTTTTAAAGAAATGGAGTTTATTTTGACTCATGTTTCTGGAGGTCTAAGGTCAAGGGACCTCATCTGGTTACGGCCCTCTTGCTGGAACTATCCCCAGGTGTTACAGAGCATCACATGGTGTGAGATGAGGAGCATGTAAACATATCTTCTCATCATTCTTTTTTTTTTATAATGCCACCAGTATTTGGAACTGGGGAGGGGGGTGAAGTTCAGTAGTAGAATGCCTGCCCAACACTCAAAAGGCCCTGGGTTTGATCCTCAGTGCCTCAAAATGAAGGAGAAAGGAAAGGGGAGCGGGGGGGGGGAAGAGAGAGAGAGAGAGAGAAGAAAGAAAGAAAGAAAGAAAGATTGATTAGCCAGGCTTTTGAGACCCTCCCTTAAAAATACCCAATACAGAAAGGGCTGGGTTCAAATAGCAGAGCACCTACCTAGCAAGTGTCAGGTCCTGTCACCAATATGCAATCATTAGGACTCCACTCTGATGACCTTATCTAATTCTAATTACCTGCCAAGACCCCACCTCTAAACACCTCCAATGGATTACATTTCCACCCTCTTAATACCTTATGGTGGGGAATATACCCTACTGTGAGCTTTGGAGGAAACCAGGCATACTCAAACCAGAATCTCTGTGCAGAGAAAAGTGTTCACTGGTGAAGGACATCTGCATTGGTATGTGGTGTGATTGAGAGATCAAATTCTATGAGTTAAACCATTGATCTTTGGCTTTGTTCTTTACAATACACAGCACTACACATCCAGCAGGTCACGGGCCTGGCATGCTAGATTTGGTCTAGCCTGGATGTTTCAGTCCTCGTACTATGAGGAATAAGATCTGATACCAAAAGCAGTAGTATGAGTGGGCTGAGCTACCACACCTAACCTTTACTTTGCTTTACCTTTAATTTAGAATAATGAACATTTTTTACATCTACACATAGATCATCAACACACTTGATCTTAGCCAAAAGGCCGAGAAGCGATTTTTTTTTTTTTGGTGTACTGGGGGTTTGAACTCAGAGCTTCATGCTTGCTAGGCAGGTGCTCCAACACTTGAGCCATTCCACCAGCCCGATCATCAGCAAATTATTGTTCTAATTGTCTACCATATCACCCCCCATAGTATGTTTACTTAGAAAACATGCTTGTTGCACAGTAATGTGAGCTATTGTAAAAAGCTCATATATAATACACATATATGTTTTTGGGTTTTTTTTTTGCCATATTGGGGTTTGAACTCAGGGCCTACTCTTTGAACCACTTTACCAGTCCTTTCTTGTGAAGGGTTTTTTCAAGATAAGGTCTTGTGAACTATTTGCCTGAGCTGGCTTTAAACTGACAGCCTCCTGAGTAGCTAGCATTACAGGCAGGAGCCACTGGGGCCCACTCTTTGTGTGTGTGTGTGTGTGTGTGTGTGTGTGTGTGTGTATATATATTTTTTTTTTTTGAGATGGTGTTTTGCTATGTTGCCCAGGTTGGTCTTGAACTCAGTAGCCAAGCGATCCTCCTGCTTTAGCATCCTAAGTAACTGGGACTATATGCATACACCACCCTACTTGGCTCATTTAAAAGATTTAAACATCCCACAGAGGTTTAAAACTTAATAATTGCTCCTAATCCCTTCCAATTCCATTTTCCCCAAGGTATCAATTCCTATATACTATCATTAAAAACTGTTAGTTGGCCAGGCATAGTGGCATATGCCTGTAATCCCAGGTACTTGGGAAGTGGAGGCTACAGGATCACTTGAGCCAGAAGTTAGAGGCAAGCCTAGACAATAACAAAACACTGCTAATAAATTTTTAAAAAGGCTGGGGGTATAGCTTAGTGACAGAGTACTAGTCTAGCATATGTGAGGCCCTGGGTTCATTCCCAGCACTGGGAAAAAAAAAAACCTATGAGCAATACTGGTCCAATCCAGGTGGTACACACCTGTAATTCCAGCACTTGGGAAGCTGAGCAGGAGGATCTCCAGTTCAAGGTCAGCCTGGACTACATAGTGAGACCCTATCATATATATATGCAACATATAATTTATGTTAAAAAGTTATTTACAATACCTTTTCAGTAGTACATTTATATTGTGCAGCCATTGTCCAGAACTCTTTTCACCTTGCAAAACTGCAACTCATTGAACTCCTCATTACTCCCTCCAGCTGACAACCACCACTTCACTTTCCATCCCCGTGAACTGGAGGATTCTACTACCTCATACCTGGTATCATTCAGTATTAGTCCTTTTATGACTGGCTTATTTTTTTGGTTTGGTGCTGGGGATCTGACCAGGGTCTATTGCACACTAGGCTAGCCCTTTATCCCTGGCTTTTGAATGGAGGGTATTGACACAGATCATGCTTTTCCACACAAGTGTTCCTCAATCTCTTTTATTCTGTGCATTTAGATCAACCTTAATGTCAAATGTATTATCAATCTATCTAGCTCCAAATGATCATAATCATTGCTACTCAAAGTGTGGCCTGGTATTAATTGCTGCCTAAGCTATTGAAGGATGGGTGGGTTGGGAGGTCACTGGGAATCTGCAAATGGTTACTGAGATTCTTGCTGGAGTTATGAAAATGTTCTAAAATTGATTGTAGTGATGGCTGCACTACTCTTGAATATACTAAAAGTCATCAAATTTTACACTTTAAATGGGTGAATTGTATGGTATGCAAACTACATTTCTAATAAAACTATTAAAAAAAGAAAGTGTGGGCCAGGTGTGGTGGCACATACCTGTAATGTCAAGTGCTCAGGAGGGGTAGGCAGGAAGATGGAGAGTTTGAGGCCAGCCTAGGCTACACAGTGGGGCACTGTCTCAAAACAGCAAGACAAACAACAAAACACGATAGAAGTATGGTTTGAGAATCTGAACTTGTCCATGACCTAAGTGCAGAAATTGAGAATAACAGTTGAGTTTTGATACTTTTGTAGCTACTTGACAGCTATTTCATGTATAGTATCCTGAAAAGAGTGAACAAAAAAAAATCTGTAATATCTTTTCCATGTTTACTTTTCTGTTTGTTTTTGTTTTTTGAGGGAGAGTCTGTGTAGCCCAGGCTGGTCTCGAACTTGGGATCCATCTCACTGCCTCTGCTGTGCTGGGATTAGAAGCGTGCTCCATCACTCCAGGCCCTATGTTTACATTTTGCAGTTTAATTTTTATCATTTTTAGTGTATATTATATATCAGTGTTTCAAGGTCTGGGAAAAACCCTCAATAGAGAGGACACTGACCTAAAAGCACCTGTATCTTCTGCCATAGCATACCAACACTCAGTTTCAGTCTCTCGCTTTTTTTTCTTTTTTGTGGTGCTGGCCTTTCAGCTCACGTTCTGGAGCAGAGCCCCACCCCCAGCCCGTGGGGGGCGGGGGTTGTCCAATGAGGAAGAAACTACCAAGCCCAACATGCCTCGGGAAACGTAAGCGGCGCGTCTGGCGCTACGCCTTCTGGGATGTGTAGTGCCAGCCTTCTGGAGCGCACGCCGCTCTTAACCCGCACTTTTCTCCGCGTTGGAGCACAGCACTGTCCAGTGTCTCTCACGGAAAGGCTGCAGACCCGGGACGGAAGGGTGAGCGAGAGAACCGAGCCTGTTGTGTTCCTGGAGCCGTTGTAACCATCCTTCTCCGAGATCCTCCAGGGAGTTGTCAGGCGCGGAGGGAAGAACTTGACGGCGAGTCGGCGGCGGCGGCGGCGGCGTTCCTCTTCCCACCCAGCCCCTGTGCGGGCCGGGATTCGGGGCTCGGCTGAGAAAGCCGGGCCTTCTTGCAGGCGTTGAGTTCTCTGAAGCGCAGAGACGGAGCCCGCCGGAAGCCGAGCACAATCGCGGAGGCTCGGCTTGAGAGCTCGTGCGCGCCCGCGGACCGCGCCGCTGGCTGTCCTTCCTGTGTTCCCGACCGAGGTCATTCGGCCGGGCGCCACCCCTTCTGTCCTGACGTCAGTGCGGGTGGAGAGACCCACGCGTGGTGCGCGGTTGTTGGGTAGGTGCGGACCGGGTCACAGGACAGGCAGGACGGTCGCATCGCGTTTTCCGTGCGGCACGCTTTCAGTGACGCAGTAGTCCCGTGTTTGCTTGTTGGTGTAACGGGGACTAATAAAACGGTTTTGGTTTTTTTGTTTTGTTTTAGTGGGACTGGGGTTTGAACTCAGGGCTTCGCGCTTGCAAAGCAGGCGCTCTCCCGCCTACGTCAGACCTCCAGCCCCCTCTGCTCTGGTTGTTTTGGAGATGGGGGCTCATATACTGTTTGCCCGGGCTGGCCTGGAACCACGATCCCCCAATCTCAGCCTCCCAGGTAGCTGGGATTGCAGATGTGAGCCACCGGCGGCTCCCGGTCTATTCTCTAACTCTGGGAACATTTCCTTCCTTCCTGTCTTCCCCCTCCCTCTCTCCTTCCTTCCCTCTTTCTCCCCTACTCTACAATTCTTGAAACACTTCCTCTCTCTTTTCTCATTTTTTAAGTTCTTTTAGGGCACAAGAATAAAGGAGCAAGAAATTACCCTGAGGGAGGGAGGGGGGAGTTGCCCAGATAATGTATACACATGTAAGTAAATGCAAAAACGATAAAATAATAAATAAATGAAATTACCGTGAAGAAGAAAAAGGTTTTTTGTTTTAATTTAAGGCTCCAAATTAATGGCTACTTTTTTGGGGAATTTATTTCAAACAGTTTTACTCTTTCAGCCAGTTCTGAATTGGGCGCGATGTGGCAGGTCTGTAATCCCAGCACTTCTGCAGCTGAGACAGAGGCAGGAAGATGGAGAATTGAGGCCAGCCTGGGCTTATATAGTGAAATCCTGTCTCAAAAAAACAGAACAGCAGAACAACAAAACAACAGAAACCCTAAAAAGACAGTTCTGATTTTGTTTTTTTCCCTTCTGCTTTTTTGGTAAAATTAGAAAACATAGTTAATGCCAGACAGACATTTTTTTAAATGTGCTGCTGGAATAAGCCCTTTTTTCTTGTATATTTCATTTTGGATCAGATACTGCTGTCTAGTTCAGACAAGAACAAAATGTTTAATGCAGGAAAACGTCATTTTATATTTGAATATTGGGATTAATTTGATATGAATGAGATAATAACCATGTTTAACCAATTCCTTTTTCAGAAACTGCATTTGGAATGTAAACAAAAGACATGAAGGAAAACCAGTTATTTTACAAAGATATATAAAATAAACCAGCATATTGCACCTGACTCCTAGATGCACGTGGCTTTCTTTACCTAGGAATAATTGGGATATAAAGGAAAATGTATTTTTTTCCTAGACTCTGGTTATCAATGTTTCATGTAAGAGCTCTTTGTCCATTCTCCTGGAAAGTGTTTCAGTTTCGACCCTTGAGTTGTGACTCATTAATTACTCAGATAAATAACTGCACAAATGAAGAGAAAGTATTTGACCTTATTGAAAGAAACAAAGCCACACTTTCAGAAAAGCAAGTGAGATGTGCATTTAATACACTTTGGCAGCTCCAAAAGCAGAAGACCAGCTTGTTAAAAAATCTTGAGACTGTTAGAGACCATCCTCAATTTCTTACTCTTCATAATTTAACTAGAAATCAAATCACGTCAATGAATGATGATACCCTGGTGAATGTGTTATACATCACACAACAGTAAGTTCCATTTGATTTGTTGTTTGTATTTTAACTTTCTAAATATCTTTTTTTGGTTTGTTTTATCTCTTTGTGCCTCTTAAATTTTCTTAACATCTCTTTAAGATGAAATCCTTTTTCCCCAAGAAGATAATTTTCTTGATAATGCAATAGTTTGAAGATGTTTGGACAGCCAAGCATGGTGGTCATACCTGAAATCCCAGCCACTGCAGAGGCAGAGATTGGGATGATTGCATTTCAAGGCCAGCCTGAGCAAAAAGTTCAAGAGGCCTCATCTCAACCAGTAAAAAGCTGGGTGTAGTGGTGTGCACTTATGCACCTGTAAATGGGACAATCAAGGTCCACGCTAGCTGGGCATAAAAGCAAGACCCTATTTGGAAAATAATGAAAGTAAAAGGGCTAGGCCATGGCTCAAGTGGTAGAGTGCCTGCCTAGCAAGCTTTAAGCCCTGAGTTCAACCCTCAGTACCACCAAAAGAAAAAGTGTTTGGAGGATAGTCTTTGATATCTATTAGTATTACACTTTTAAAAAGTAGATGTAATAATCTAAGAGTAAAATGATAAACTTTGGGCACATGAAACTGGATTATTGTGGAATTTTATAGAAATGTGGGTTAGCTAGAGATAATGAGTATGTAAGAGGTAAGCATTTAGACTACATAATAATGCCTAGTTACAAATCAGTATTATGACATTGTGTTTGTGTGTGTTTACGTGCTCTCAGATCCCATAATTAAATTGATGGCAGATGTGTTTTTCAAGGGTTATTGGTACAATAGTTAATTTCCCAATAATAACTTTAAAAGAGAGAAGATAGGAGTATTTTGAAGACTCATTTACATTTGATAAGTGCCTCAATTATATTTCATGGCTTATTGACATGTATTTCATGTACAAAAGTCTTCCTGATGTCAAAGGATAACTCAGAAATAAAGTAAGCATTAAGAAAAGAAATTCTTTTTTTTGGTGGTACTGAGGTTTTGGAACTCAGGGCCTCATGCTTACTAGGTGAGTGCTCTGCCAGTTGAGCTACTCCACCAGCCCTTTTTTGTGATGTGTTTTTTTGAGATAGGGTCTTGTGTAGTATTTGCCTGGTCTGGGTTCGAAATGTGATCCTCATGATCTCTGCCTCCAGAGTAGCTAGGATTACACTGTTGCCTGACAAGAAAACAAAATTTTAAAAAGGTAATACAAGAAAAAAAGGGCTGGACTTGAGGGTCAAGCAGTAAAACTTTTGCAAGCAAGCGGCCCTAAGTTCAAATGCCAGTCCAAAAAAGAGAAAACAAATACATACTAAGTTTTAATAAAATGCTTGTCTAGATTTTGATCAGAACAAAGCAATACATGTTATATGCACTTTTAACATAAAGTGTATCACTGAACATTTTCTTTGCTTGGAGGGCATTGAAGTGAGCAGATAAAAGTATAAGAAGGCATGGGATAATAAATAGATGTTTCTACTAAGAATTCCACATTCTGAACTGGGTGGGAAACAGAAGTGGGGACTACCTATATAAGAAAAATAGCTTGAGGTTCACCACTGTTTTCATTATATTTACTGCATGTGGATTTTTTTTTTTTTTTTTAGCCAAGGCTGGCTTCATACTCACAACCCTCTGGCCTTAGTCTCCTGAGTGGTAGGATTATAGGTGTGTACCACTATGCCCAGCCTCTATGTGTCTTGTTTTGTTTTCTTTGTTAACTTTTTTTATTAGCATAAATTGTAAAAATAATGGGTTCCATTGACATTTTCATACATGGATATAATGTACTTCTGCTGCATGTGTTTTCAGTGGTTTAAAAATATTTATGTGTGGTGAAAAATTATTTTCTCATGTTTCATTGAGGCTCACTGTTGAGGCCCATGACCCGCTAGTTGAAGCACTAGTTACGGAAGCATGGAAGAGACTGGAAAGGCAAGTACTCTGGGTTGATCATCTTAAATCAATTATCTTTTTCAGGGTTATCATAATGGAATCTTACAGGAAAAGAATGGGGAACTGCTGCCTGCCTGTCAAGGTTCATTGAAAAAAATTTAAACTCAATTTAGTTAGAGGGTTTTTTATTGTACAATATATATTCTTTCTTTAATAAAGTATTTCATATGTTCCTTTAACTCAAAGCAGGGAACAGTTTGCTTTTCCACATTTATGGTTAATCAAAATATACATAGCGTTGAGTCACAGGTATTCATGGACCTTTTGGAAGAGTTCTGATTCAGAAAGGGGATTCTCTCACTGTTAGATAAAATCTAGAAATGCAGGAACCACAAAAGGAAAAAAAGAAGATACCAGTTTAATAGAATGGAAACGTGTCACTGTTTAGAAAAATCTGTAGCTATTTTTCTGTCACTCCATTTTTATGCATAGGCAGTGACCACAGCATATAGGTGACTTAGAAGCTTTTTAAAGAAAGTAAGTTTCAGGTTTCACTGCTGTGGACAGTATTCAGATCTTTCTATACTATACCCAGCTGTATTTTCAGCCTGTAACCATAATTGTTAACTATCTAGAAAAATGTGAAATCTATTAAGGATATTCTTTTGAGTATAGAGAAGATTTTTCTATAAATGTATTTGGGAAGCTATCCATGTGTAAAACTGAGATAATATTAGGGCTTATCTTAGGATCACTTTAGTTATTCTGAAAACTTCAAAAATGTTGTTTTTTTTTTTTTTTTTTTTTGGTGGTGCTGGGGTTTGAACTCGGCCTGTGCTTGCTAGGCAAATGCTCTACCACTTGCTCCATTCTGCCAGCCCTTCACATTTTTAATCTGGGAATTCTGGAAGGCCAAGGATCAGAATTTAGTGGAATAAAGCAAATATCAATGAGGAAAGGGAAAATTAAGGTAGGGAAGAGACAACAACCTAAGCTAGAAAGGAAAATATTGATAAGATAAAGGATAGACAATAGGCTATTTGTGTGGACGGAGAGGTGTGGGCATTCTTGTATTTTTTGTTTTGTTTGTTTTTCTGCTTTTTTTTTTCCCTTGAGGCATGATCTCACTGTGTAGTCCAGTATGGTCTTGAACCCTTGATCCTCCTGCTTCAGCCTGGGATTATAGATGTAAGTCACCATACTGGGCATAATTTTTGTTTTTTAGTACACTACTTCTTTAAGCTTAAGCTGACACATTCTTACAATTGTAGACATATATTGGTGAGTTCTATAGATCTTTGTTGTGTGCACTGAATTAAAGAGGAGAGATGGGTATAGTGATGCATGCCAGCAATCTGAGCACTAGAGAGGCTGAGGGAGGATCAGGAGTTCAAAACCAGCCTGGGTGACATTGTGAATTCTAGCCAACCTGAGCTACATAGTAAGACCCTGTGTCAAAAAAAATTTTTTAAATGTTCTTACCAGTATATGATGGTTACACAGGGGGTTTTATTGTGACATTTCCATACATATGTATGATGTTCCCTGGTTTTGTTCATTACCCCCATTATTCTTCCTCTTCTCCACTCCCCTTTTACAAATGACTTCGACAGGTTACAGTGTTTCATATTCATACCCTTACAGAAAGAACCTCAACTATATTCACTTTCCTTTATCCTCCTCATTTACCCTCCTCCTCCCACTACTACCCTGCCCTTAACATGACCTGTTTTACATTCCTGTCCTTCATTGTTCTAGTGTTAGTTCATTGTTCAGTGTGGCTTTGCCTTGGCATTTTACCTGCGTTTATATTGTACTTTTATCAGTCTGAACTCCCTCTGTTACTCTTCCTTACCAAGAAAGAAAAAAAAATTAAACAGGAAATAGAATAGTTCTCTGGATTTAGAAATTCTGCATTCATCTACTGAGTTATGGTTTTAGTTAATTTCATTTTTAAATTTATCTGTCTTTGTTTTTTTTTTTTTGCAGTACTGGGATTTGAATTCAGGGCCTACACTTTGAGCCACTCTACCAGCCCTTTTTTGTGATGGGTTTTTTTTTTTTCAAGATAGGGTGTCAGGCTGGCTTGGAACCGTGATCCTTTTGATCTCTGCCTCCTGAGTAGCTAGGATTACAGGTGTGAACCACTGAGCCTGGCTATGTGTCTTTATTCTTGCATGCTCTCTACCTTTATCTTTTATCTAGGGTAAGCAGAGTAATGTTATTCTTTTTTACAAACAATGAGAAATACCTACTTATGGTGTCTTTTAGGTTAAATTTATTTATTTATTTATTTATTCAGTACTGGGGTTTGAGTTCAGGGCCTCCTGCTTGCTAGCAGGTGCTCTACCACTTGAGCCATTCTGCCAGTCCTAGTCATTGTTTATAGGTCAAAACATTTTATTTTTTACTCAGAAGATAATGACTTTGAACTATATAGTGCTTTTTTTTTTTTTTTTTTTTTTTAAGCTAGAGCTTCTTAGGTTGCCCAGGTAGACCTCAAACTCCTGGACTCAAATGACCCTCCTGCCTCAATCTCCCAAGTAGCTAGGACTATAGGAGTGTGCCACTGTGCCCACCTAAATATACTTTTTTTGGTGTAATACCAAATTATAAAAAGTTTTAAAACCCTAGGATCCCATAGTAGAATTTCTAATAGTCACACAATAAATACTAGTTTCTGAATTTTTGTCTTTTGTGGCTGTGAGGTTGATTTTTTTTTTTGTTACTGTAGCAGCTACTAGTGATCTTGCTAAAATATCTATGAACTCACATTTTATTTTATTATTCTCCTCTTATCGTTTTTTTACATTTACTTACGTGTATACATTGTTTGTGCCACCTCCATCCCATCCCCTCCTGCTTACAAGCAGAACATGTTCCGCCCTCTTCTCTGATTTTGTTGAAAACATAAGAGATAATAAGAAAGACATACCGTTTTTGCTGGTTTGGGATAAAGATAGCTATACAGAGAGATTCCTAGTGTTGCTTCCATGCACTTGTGTATTGCAACCCACATTGGTTCATTTCTACCAGACCTTTTCACTATTTCCTAGTCACCTTCCCACAGTGGCCTCTGCCAATTTAAGATTACTTTATTTGCTTCTCATCAGGGAGCACATCATCCACATTCAAGTTTTAGGTTTCCTTTCTTTCCCTATTTCTCCTGTGCATGTTCTCCCCTTAGTGTGTGACCCATGTCCAATGATATTACTGCATTTGTTTTAGGTCTATAATCTACATAGGAGGGAGAACATGCAACTTTTGACCTTCTGAGCCTGGCTAACTCTGCTTAAGATGATGTTCTCTAGTTCCATCCATTTACTTGTGAATGACAAAATTTCATTCTTCTTGGTGGCTGAGTAAAATTCCATTGTGTATAAGTATGACATTTTCTTGATCCATTTGTTGGTTGTGGGGCATCTTGACTGTTTCCATAGCTTGGCTATTGTAAATAGTGTTGAGGTAAACATGGGTGTGCGAGTGCTTTTGTAATAACTTGAGTCACATTCCTTCAGGTATATCCCTAGGAGTGGGATTGCTGGATCATATGGCAGATCTATGTTTAGATTTTTAAGAGGCCTCCATATTGTTTTCCAAAGTGGTTGTATTAGTTTTACATTCCCAACAGCAGTGTATGAGGTGAACTCATATTTTATAAATGTAATTTATAATGATTCAAATGGGTTCAATTTATTCTGTAGTAGTACTATGTGATGGATCATAGCAAAGACAATTAGTGTGTATTTGAAATCCAAAATTTTAAAAAAATTATTATCCGTGACTTTAAATAGTTATAAAAATACAGACTCATATTTTATTTATTTGATTTGTTTGATTTTTTGAGCCAAGATCTCACTATGTAGCCCAAACTGGCCTTGAACTCATGGTCATCCTACTTTTCAGCTTCCTGAGTGCTGTGATTATAGGCATGTACCACTGCATCCAGCACCCTTCAGTATATCTTATTTATTTATTTACTTATTTTTTGCCAGTACTGGGGCTTGAACTCAGGACTTCATGCTTGCCAGGCAGGCGCTCTACCACTTGAGTCACTCTACTCTACTAGCACCCTTCAGTATATTTTAAATAGTGATATTTTTATCATTGTAACTTTCTGAGAGACAAAGACTCTTAAAAAATATACACAAAAGAAAATACCAGTAAGGCCATTATTATATTTATATAAGTGAATAATAGCTCCTTAACTGATGTATGCTCAAATTTACTTGATTATGTTAAAAAGATCTTTTTTTTTTTTTTTGGTCCTGGGGTTTGAACAACTCCGCCTTGTACTTGCTAGGCAGGCTTTCTACCACTTGAAGCATTCCACCAGCCCTTTTTTGTTTATGTTGGGTATTTTTGAGAGAGGGACTCACTTTCTGCTTGGGCCAGCCTTGAACCATGATCTTTCTGATGTGTGTCTCCTGAGTAGCTGACACCTGATCCTAAAGATTTTTTTTTTTGGTAGTGGTATTGGGGTTTGAACTCAGGGCTGCACTCTAAAAATCTTCTTATAGGCAGTTTAAGTCAGCATCCAAAGTTCAAACTTAATGTGTCTTTTAAGTTTCTCTCTGTCTCTGTCTGTTGTGATACTGTAGTTCGAGTTCAGGGCTTCACGCTTGGTAGGCAGGCATTCTATCACCTGAGCCATGCCCCCAGCCCATTTTGCTTTGCTTATTTTTGAGATAGGGTCTCACATATATGCCCTGGCTGGCCTGGACCTTGATCCTACTATTTATGATTCCTGCAGTAGCCAGGGTGACAGGTCTGCCCCACCACACACAGCTGTTATTGGTTAAGATAGACTTGTGGTAACTTTTTGTCCATGCTGGCATCAAACTCTGATCCTCCTGATCTCTCCCTCTTAAGTTACTAGGAATCCAGGCATGAGCCACCATGCCTGATAAGTTTCTCTTTTCTTTGAGTAAACATTTTATTGAACATTGTGTAAAATTACACTAATTGTAAGTATACAAAATAATGAATTTTCACATTCTGAGTACTTCAGTAAAACAGTACCAAGATCAAGAAACAACATTACCAGTTACCTAGCAGTTCCCTCCATGTTCTCTTCTGGTCCTACCTCCCAAGCCCTATCCTAAAACGATATGGATTTCTAACAGCAAAAGTTAGTTGTTGTTTTTCTTCCTTCTTCAAGGTACTGGAGATTGAATAGGGTTTTTTTTTTTTTGGTGGTATTGAGGTTTGAACTCAGGTCATGTGGTTGCTAGGCAGGTGCTCTACCACTTGAGTCACTCCCTTAGCCTAGTAGTTTTGTTTTTATAGAAATGAAATCCTATAGTATGAACCCTTATATCTAAGGATTCACCCATAGTGTATGACTCAGTAGGTTTTTTTCTCTCTTTTTTAAATTGCTTTATGTTACTTTATTCTAAGAGTATATACTCTTCATGAACATTTGGATTGTTTGCTGTTTTTTGCTGTTACGCATATTATGCTGCTGTGAACTTTCTTATGCTTACCTTTTAGTAAATTCAAAAAATTAAAATCTAGCACTCAGTGGTGGAGTGCTTGCCAGGCATGCACAAGGCCTGGGGTTTAATCCCTAGTACTGGTCCAAAAAAAAATTAAAGTTGGTAGCAATTCTCCTTCCCTTTTATTTATTATTTATTAATTTATTTATTTATTTCGTTGTAGTTCTGGGGATTGAACCTAGGGCCTTATGCATGCCAGGTATGTGCTCTTCCACTGAGCCAGACCCCCAGCCCCTGTTTGGGTTTTTTTTTTGAGGTAAAGTCTTTGTAGTCTAGGCTGGCCTTGAATTTGCTGTCCTCCTGCATCAGCCTCCCCAACAACTGTGATTATAAATATGTTCCACCATATTGGCTTTCTTACTTCTTTTTTTTTTTCAGTTCACATCTTTTATTAATCCATTGACAATTACTTGTCTTCTGGCTTATTGAAGCAGTAAGTCAGACAACACTTCCCACAGTAGTGTCTGTGGCTATAAAAACTCCAGCATCACATTCATCTGAAGGACACTCATGGTGAAGGCAACTAATTTTGCCATTTTCATCGACCTTATAATATTTCAGTATGGTCAACTCAACCTTTCTCTTATACTTATTCTTCTTGGGAGTGGCACAGGACTTCCTTTTCTCAGCACCACCATGAAGTCTCAACACAAGATGAAGGATGGACTCCTTTTAAATGCTGTAGTCTGACAAAGTACATCCATCTTCCAGTTGCTTACCAGCAAAGATCAGTCTTTGCTGATCAGGAGGAATTCCTTCCTTAGCCTGGATCTTGGCCTTGACATTTTCTATAGTATCCAAGGGTTTAACCTCGAGCTTGATGGTCTTCCCAGTACGGGTTTGCATGACCAGCGGTTCCACCACAGATGGCAGATCGGAAAAAAGCTCTTACTTCTTCATATGCAAACTAGTGAAATAGCCTGGCACCTCAAGAAATTAATAAAGGGCTGAGAATGGCTCAAGTGATAGTTAGGCAAGCAGGGGTGAGGCCTTGAGTTCAAATCCCAGAACCACAAGAAAAATAATAAGTGAATGATTCAAATAATTTTGAGAGATTTTTCCCCCTTTTAAATCTTTGTAGAGTATTGGGCTTTTTTGTGTTACTAGGGCTTGAATTCAGGGTCTCCCACTTGCTAGGCAGGCACTGTACTACTGAGCCACTTCACCAGCTCTTTTTTGTGATGGATTTTTTTGAGATAGTGTCTCGAGAACTATTTGCCAGGGCTGGCTTTGAACTGTGGTCCTCCTGATCTCTGCCACCTGAGTAGCTAGGGTTACAGGAAAGAGCCTCCGGTGCCCAGCTAGTATTGGGCTTTTAAAGCTATAATATCATTTCTTACTGTCATAATAAAACATCTTAGAAAAAAATCGTATTAGTTATCTTTGTTGCTTTTTTTCTCTTTTTTGAAAATGACATGTTTTTATTGTTATGTTTGCAGTGGCTTTTGAGCACAGTAAGAACATACCTGTAGGCCCCACACCCTTGTCTAGCCACACCCCTCTGGCCTACATCTGTGTCCTCACCTAGAAGCCTTTCTAGGGGCCTCTCGGCTGTCCTGGGCTCAAAGGGACACAGATACGGTCTTTGTTGCCTTTTTATCTTATAACTGCATTGTATGTTTTATTTAGAAGTAAATGCTAACGATCTCGTTTATGTATTTCCTTTAATAGGTTTGATATTGATGTGCTGTCAACATTTTCCACTTGCCTAGCAAATCAACATTTGTACTGTAGTCCATTGATGGGGAAAATAGCTGATATTGTAAATAGGAACTTGGAAACCATACAGGACTTAAGGTAAATTTATTTAGGGTCTTTGTGTTGGGTGTAAGGTCTTGGGCTTTCGATGCAGACAGATTTGCCATTCATAGTTATGTTTAATTAACCTCTTAAAGTTTACTGTCCTCCTGTATAAAACAGTGATAGTAATGTCTGCTTTGCAGTGTTGCAATGGGTACTAAAGTGAGAAACAGTATTGTCGAGATGTGTGAAGGGTCTTAGATTTTTACCTTACTTGTAAGCTAATGAGTTTCCCTGCCACAGCCAGCCTGCCACATTTTCGCATGTGCTAGTAGAAGACATGAGACTCCTAGGTCAGAGACAGAGGACATTTTTTTTCTCACAGCAATAGCGGTAGCTAGAGTACCAGCATTTTTTTTACATAGGTGCTGGTTTCCTGAGCACTGTGGTTCCTACAGTGAGCTGTGTTTCAGGAAAGGAATCCTAATCTAAGGGAACCTTTGCTTTTACAATAGGTAGTAAACGTGTATGCTCTTGCTCCAGAGAGAGATACTGTTTCTGTCCTCCTAGACTCTTTGCTGTATTGTATAAAAATCCTTCAAATGGTAATTCTAAAAAAGGCATTCAGTACATTTCTTTGCAACAATGTGTAGAAACTTGAGAAACCCATGGAGAATTGCCTTCCAATAAGTATTATAACATAGAAGTTTCTCAGTAATCAATAGTTACTATTATTATTACATATTGCAATAAATCCAAGAGGTCTTTAAATATAAATTCAGAGTGTACATAAAATTCTGCTTTTTTATTTCTTCTATCTCGGAATGCTTTCTTTTCACTTCCATAAAGGAGAGATGATTATTTTAATCAAATCATAGCTACTAATTCAAAAGTAAAGTCTGAGTAGTTTCTCTGGTTTTCAGTTCAGAGATTTATGGGGGTTTTTGTTTGTTTTTAGCATGATAAAATTATTTACTGTCATTGCTAATCTTCATATGATTGTCTTTGCTTTTTCAGATTTAGCTTTCCCTAACATGTTACGTTTAAGATTTTTGCTGGGTGTGGTGGTGCACAACTGTTATCTCAGCACTCTGGAGTGGGAGGAGGCAGGAGGATCATGAATTGGAGGCCAGCTTGGGCAACATAGTGAGATCTTGTCTCAAAAACAAACAAATAAAAATAAAACAAAAAGGACTTTGGTAAAATTATAGCAGCTTCCTTTCCTTCTCACTTTCCTACTTCCCCAGCTTTTCCTTCTTTGGAGGGTGGCTGGGTGGGGGGGGGATGGGGAGGGTGGGAGGGTTGGGGATTGAACCATTGGCCTTAGATATGTTAAGTGTACTGCCTATCAGTGAGTTACACCCCCAGACTTTTCCCCTTCTTTTTATTAAACACATCTGTGCTGTCTTCTCACTGCCTAAGATTCTCATTTAAAGGTTTTAATTTCTTCAATTACATCACCCTCTTGTTCTCTGATTTTGTAGAAGAAAATCATAAAAGATAAAAAGAGAACCATGGCATTTTTGCTAGTTCGAGATAAAGATAGCTACACCATTTCCTTGTGTTGTTTCCGTGCATATAAGTATTATAACCCCAATTGGTTCATCTCTACCACTCCTCTTTACTCTTCCCTAGTTCCCTTCCCATAGTGGCCTCTGCCAGTTTAAGATTTTTATATTCATTCCTGTACTATGGTGGTACCATTATTTTTTAAATGAGGCTTAGTTTTTGTTTTTGTGGTACTGAAGATGGAACCTAGAATCTTGGAGATGCTAGGCAAGTGCTCTACGACTTTGCAACATCCCTGGTCCAAGACTTGATTTATAATTGTTGAAAGCACAAATGTTCAGTGTAGCATTCCATCAGGTTTTATTTTTATTTTTGCACTTTTGGGGATCAAATTCAGGATTCATGCATACTATGCAAATGTTTACCATGGAGTTGTACCTCCAGCCTACAGTTCCATCAGTTTTGATAAGTATATACCTACATCAAGATAGAATATATTTCCATCACCATAGAAAGTTCCCTCATGTCCCTTCTAGTCAATGTAACAGCAACTACTATTCAGATTTCTACCACCATTCTAAAATTTTGCCTGTTCCAAAAGTTTATATAAATGGAATCATACAGTTTTTTTTTCTGGTTTCTTTCACTCAGCATAATGTTTTGAGATTCATCCATGTTGCATATATCAGTAATTCATTTCTTTTTATTACCTAGTAGTAGTTCATTGTGTAAATAGTTAGCAGTTTACTATTCTTTTTATGAATATGTGGTCTATTTCTTGTTTTGGATATTATGAATAAAAATACAATTAATATCCTAATATAAGAGTGTGGTTGCTTGGCCATAAGCACTTGGGCAGAATATCATGGATTAGGAGCATGTGGCAGAGGAGAGGTGTTTACCTCACCTCAGACTGGAAGCAGAGAGTGAGGTGAGAAGGGACTACGGATAATACACCCCCAAAAAGCCGCATCCCCTTCCCCCAGACAAACTTCCTACAGCTAGGCTCCACCTCCTAAAATTTCCACAGCCTACCAAACTCTTGCCACCAGCTGGGGATCAAGCATTCAAAACATGATCCTGTGGGGGATATTTCATATTCCAGTCTTTTCGTAAACATGCATATTTACTTGAGTAGACACCTAGGAGTAGAATTGCTGCATCATAAGACAAATGTATAATTTTAAGAAACTGCCACATAATTCTCCAAGTAGTCACACTATTTTCCATTTCTACTAGTCATGTATGAGCGTTTCAGTTGCTTCATAACCTGGCCAGCATTTGATGGTTATCACTCTCAGCCATTCTGTTGAGCATGTAATGGTATTTTAAGGTGGTTTTAATTAGAAATTTCCTATGACTATTTGTATGTCTTGTGAAGCTTCTGTTTAAATCTCCTCCCCCTTCCACCCCTTTTTTGGCAGTACTGGAGTTTAAACTTAGGGCCTTATGCTTGTTACGTAGGCACTCTACCTCTTGAGCCACTCCACCAGCCCTTTTTTGTGTTGAGTATTTTTGAGATAGAGTCTCTGAAACTATTGCCTGGGTTGGCTTTGAACCTTGATTCTCCTGATCACTTCCTTCTGAGTAGCTAGGATTACAGACATGAGCCACCTGGGTCTGACTAGAAATTTTTGCCTGCTATAAGATTACAAAGATTTTCCTGTATTTTATTCTAAAAGCTTTCTAGTTTAGCCTGTGACCCATTTGAATTAGTTTTTGTGATGGTATGTGATGGGGTCCAGGTTTTTTATTTTGTGGGACTAGAGTTTGAACTCAGGACTTGGTGCTTGCAAAGTGGGTGCTCACAAAGCAGGCACTCTACTTGAGCCATCCCTCCAGTCCAGTCCATTTTGCTCTGGTTATTTTGGAAATGGGGTCTCGAGAACAAGCTGGCATTGAACTGCCATCCTGATTTCAGCCTCCCAAGTAGCTAGGATTACACGTGTGAGCTGCCAGCATCCCGCATTTTTTTTCCATTCTATATTGATATCTTGTTTCAACACCGTTTATTAAAAGATTTTACTTTCCCTGTTAAAATTGCTTTGTTACTTATGACTAAACTCATGATTGTAATGTTCAGATCTTTTTATGGATTTTGTTCAAGTGATCTGTACTTTTTTTTTGTTTTATCCTATGATCTGTGCATTTACTAATATTCATTTTTTGAGTATTAATAGCTTTATATTAGATAATATAAATTATCTAAGTTTTGAGATTAGATAATATAAGTTACCTGGTTTGGTTCTTTTTTAATACCATTTTGATTATTGTAGATCCTTTGCTTTGTCTTAAAAATTTTAGATTCAGTTTATCAGTTTCAATAAACATGCCTGCTTTGATTTTGATAAGGTTGAATTACATTTGTAGATTAGTTTAGGAGTAATTGTAATATTAAAATCATATTTTCTGATGTTTAGACATTGCATAGTTTTCCATTTATTTAGGAAAGTTTTCAGTATAAAGATCTTATATATCTCTAGTTTATTCCTAAGTACTTCGTGTTTTGAGATAACATTTTTAAGAGTTTATTTTCCAATTTTGTTCCTAATATATAGAAATAAAATTGACTTTTATTCTGTGACAGTGATGAATTCATAAAGAATAGGATTTTAAGGCCGGTGAAAGGGATATTTTGAGCCTGGCTTTTTAGCATCTTACACATAGTATTTTGTAAGTATCTGCTCTGGTTAGGCTATCTGATCTCATGAAATGCTGAGGTTGAAGGAGAATCTAAGAAAACTTTTAAATACAGAAGTACTGGTAATCTTAGTAAAAGCATAGAAACTTCATTACTAGTACATGTGCAGGGTCAATTAATTGTCCCTGACATTAATAGATAGATTAATTAATAGATTAGTGCTATGTCTATTAGGATCTCCAGTAAAATAAGAAATAGGGTTAGAAAGAGTCAAGAATGAGAGCTGATTAAAGACTTAGAAGATATTTAGCATAGATAAAGGATGGTTTTGGATGCTTTGTTAAGGATCAGACAAGAAAACGCAAGCAGTGATCTAGAGCTGAAAGAAGAGCAAGATTTGAATATAAATTCCTCTTTAGTTTAATCCTCCAACATTCTTCCTAAAGTATATGTACCTTTATTTGCTGCATAAGAAACCATGGCTTTTTGAGGTTAAGTAAAATGTACAAGGTCTCTCAGCCAGTATATGGGGAGCCAAGATTAGAACCTAAGCTTTCTGATTCTAAAGAGTTGTTCTGCTTGTGAATAGATTCTGATATACTTTTTACTATTTGTTTTTACATGTTTGAAAATAATAGAAACAAGTGTATTGGGGGGGATGTCTCTGTAAGAAATCTGAACCATTGTATATTGCTGATAGAGGCACAAAATGGGTACAGCTGCTATAGAAAACAGTATGGCAAGGTGATGGGAGTATATCTCAGTGGTAGAGCCTGGACTTAGCATACATGAGGCCTTGGGTTCAATCTCTGGCACCAAAAAGTCAAAACAAAAGAAAACAAAAACCCAGTGTGGCACTTCTTCAAAAAAATTACCATGTGATCTGTCAATTCCACTTCAGAGAATCAAAAGAATTGAAAGCAGGGACTCAAATAGATACTTGTACATTACTCTTCATAGCAGCATTATTCATGTCTGACTGAAAAGTAGAAGCATCTAAAGTGTCCATCATTGGTGTATAAATGACAAAAGATAATATACTATATACATACAGTAAAATATTGTTCAGCTTTAATAAAGGTAGGGAATTCTGACACATGTACAGTGTTGGAGACTTAATGTTAAATAAACCAAACATAAAAGGATAAATTCATGGTGTATATGATTCTTAGGTGAGGTGCAGAATAGTCAAATTCATGGAAACAAAATTGTCATTGCCAGTGACTGGGGTGAGGTCAGGATGGAGAGGTACTGTTTAATGGGTAAGGAGTTTATGTTTGGATAGATGAAAATGTTCTACAGGTGGAATGATGGTGATGGTTAGGACTTGTGGAGTGGTTTGCCTTCCTGGCAAACTCCAGGACTGCAAAAAAAAAAAAAAAAAAAAAAGGTGATGACTGTATGACAATGTAAAAGTACTTAATACTGCTGAAACTGAATGGTAATTTTTTTATTATGCATATTTAACCCCCCACAAGAGAAGCCTGTAAAAGTGGAGATAATAAAAGATCATTGTAGTTTTTTTTAGCCTTTAGAAATTCTTACAGATCTTTTTGAAAACCTAATCGTTGGACATTTTCCCACTCCAAACTGCAATTATAAATGTATATACACAATTAAAAAATCATTTCAATGGATTTATGGTTAAATGGCAATTTTAAGTTATTAATTAATGTTAATTAATAATACATTAATTAATAATGTTAATTTCCATAAATATCAAAATTTAACTGGAGAAACCCAATTATTATACAGCTGGAGATTTTTTAAAATGTAAATTTACTTAAAGGCTTGAATAAATTTTGAAACAAAAAATGTCAACAGTCCTAGTGTTCTAAAGATTGAGATGGTTTTAGTTTTAGATTTTTATCTTTTTTTAGGTTGTCTTCTAATTATCAAACCCAAGAATTTGTTTTATGTCTTTTCCACTTTGCATACTTTATTCATTATACTGCATCCTTGTGTTTGTAGTTTTCTGATTTTTGTATTATGTAAGAACAGCATTAAAAGCAGGGCCATACTTTATAGTACCTTTGGTGTCCTCATAGTGCCTAAAAAATGACTTAATGTTTCTTAAGTGCTTATTGAAGGAAGAAATATTAAACACCACCCCATGTTCAGTACTGTTTTACATGTTACATGTTAATACCAATCTATCATGAAATACCAAAAAATATGAAATCATTCACTAGTGAGAAATATTTTGTCAGTGTTTCATTAGTAAATGATATGCATACACAGAAAGGAGTAACAAAAAGTCAACTTCCAAAAATACATAATGAGACTTTTAATATTGCATTCATGGGCTGTTGGTTCAAAATGATTTTGGAGTGAATTTCACCAGAATATTTCCCATCAAAGCAATTTTATCTATTGAACAAAGTATTTTATACAGTCAGTTAAAAATTATTTCAAAGTTTTCTTTTCTTTATTCATTTATTTATATGTGCATACATTGTTTGGGTCAGTTTGGGTCAGACAGAGTTTCTGTCTAAAACTGTTTGGTTACTGGGAAATCTGAATTCAAGTCCCACTAGTATTTAAAAGAAAAATTTTATGGTGCCTGACAATATGTTTACCAGTTTCTTTCCATATCTAATCATTTAGTTCTGGAATTGGTCATTTTTTTTCAGTAATGCAAAAAAATCTTTCATCTCTTTTTCTTTCTTCAGGTCTTTGTCTGTCTTGATGGTCAACATATCTTCTTTAATATCACGATGTTTTCAAGAACAATTAGTGAACAAGACAGAACTGCTTTTTGACACCACAGATTCTTCCAAGGTCAATATTGCAAGAAGTATAGTACAGTTTCTTCGAAATATTAAATATAGTTACTACCCACTGTTAGACAGATGTAATGAGGTGTTTTTAAGCAGTGGGAGCCAGCTTGATGTGGATGCCATCAGCAAAATACTTAATCTATACAAATTTCTACAGTTTCATAGTTTTGAATTTATTACAATGGCTAAACAGAGGCTAACTGAGATGATTCCTCTATCTGAGCACCCTGCGCACTTGGTAAAATTGTTTGTTGCTTTGGGACCAGTGGCAGGACCTGAAGAAAAGGAACGGTAAGTTCAGCTTAAAGTGCTTTACTCTTCTACTTGGGAATTTGTAGAGCTTTCAAGCTTAGGTCTCCTTATATTTCTTGAAGTCACAAAAATCACCTTGGTGGACTATAGAAGGGAAAGGGAAATAATCTATATGCTCTGTTCCTTGATTCTTTTCTGAGTATCTCTCCTTCTCCCCTTGACTTATACTGGGAATTGAATCTAGGACCTCTCACAGTCGAGGCATGTGCTCCACCCTTTTTGTTTATTATTTATTTTATTTTGAGACAGGGTCTTGCTATGTAGCCCAGGCTGGACTGGAACTCACTATCCTTCTGCCTCAGCTTCCCAGCTGGGTGGGAGTTTACAGGTATGCACCATTGAGCTTGAATTTCTTTTTCTGATTATTCTCATTTACATCTCCAGGTCTGTTTTTGGTTGGGGCGGGGGTAACTGGAATTTGAGCTCAGGGCCTCTTGCTTCCTAGGCAGGCGCTCTACCATGTGAGCCACTCCGCCAGCCCTTGTTTTGGGTTGAATATTTTTTTCTGTGTGTGTTTACTTAATGAGATAGAAAAGTAGAAAGCTGGAGAGTTTATTGAGATTAAAAAAAAGTATAAAGCAGGAGAGTAGAGTCCCCAGAGTTTGGGGGGACGATTCCCAAAAGAGGGTGCCCCTGTGTTGGGTATTTTCAAGATAGGGTCTTTCAAATTATTTGCTAAGGCTGGCCTTGAACTGAGATCCTCCTGATCTCTGCCTCCAATAGCCAGGATTATAGGCGTGAGCCACCAGCACCTAGCTGTACATTTCCAACTCTTTAGTGTTCTGATAGGTTCAAAAGTTGGTCAATAGATCCCCTTGGGCTGGACCAACACAGAAGATGAGGGAGAACACCATTTAACTACTTAGTTTTTATTTTTATTCATTAATTTTTGCAGTTCTTAGGATGGAACCCAGGACCTTGTGCATGCTAGGCAAGTGCTCTCCCATTCAGCTACATCTCCAGCCCATTTAAGTACTTTCATTTTCCCTTCCCCTTCCTAGATCATGTGACTGGAGTTACACACAGGCCTAAGACTCCCCCACCCATCATAAGTGTATTTAGATTATAGTAGTCCCAACAATGGACCATTCTATACCCTGTCATCTTCATCACATTCATCATCAAAAGCACTTGCTATTATGCATATGGATATTATGCATGGACACATATCCATGAATTTGGTCTCTTTCATCTCTTTTAAGAATTTCCAGTTTTGGGCTGATGGAATGGCTCAAGTGGTAGAGCATCCGCCAAACAAGCATGAGGCCCAGAGTTCAAACCCCAATACTGCTGAAAAAAAGCCAAAAACCAAAAAAACAAACAAAAAAAATAACACCCCTGGAGATGTAAATGAGAATAATCAGTAAAAGAAATTCAAGTTTGATGGCATCCTGTAATCCCAGCCACTTCAGAACAAGATGGTTATTAAACTTTTATTGGAGGTACTGAGTTTGATCAAAGTACATTATATGCATGCATGGAAATATAATGAACCCCCTTTTTACAATTTACATATGCTTATTAAAGAATAATTATTTTTGGGGGGGCTGGGGTTTGAACTTAGAGCTTTATATGCTTGCAAAGCAGGCACCCTACTGGTTGAGCCATGCCTTCAGCTCAAAAAAAAAATAATTTTTTGTCACCAAGTACAATTAAAGTCTTCTGCTTTTAAAGCATTACAAAAAGTTGGGATTAACTGAGTTGCTGCCTTTAAGGAATTTATTTCAATTAGGAAAATTAAATAATTTATGTACAGGTTTGCTGGAATTAGAAATAACTGAACTGTGTAAATACCGTAACAGTATGGCATAGTTTATAAATAGGTACTAAAATCAGTGTTATAGATAGTAAGCTCTGTGGGCAGACAGAAGTGAGAGAAAAATGTAGCTGAAGTGGTTGGGAAAGCTTTGGGGAAGAGCTGGGTTATTAAACTTCTGTTTGTTTGCTTCAGACAGTCTTTATTCTGTAGCTCAGGCCAGCCTTGGAGATACTCATGCCTCAGCTGCCTGAGTGTGTGAATTATAGATGTGCACCACTACTCCTGGCAGGTTTTAAACTTTTGATAAGGTTGAAATAGAACATCTGTTCTGCACCCTCAGATTTCATGTTTTGGATTTGTAAATTATTCCCAAAGACAAATACCTTTTTTTTTGTTGTTGTATGTGATAGGGTTTGAACTCAGGGCTTAGTACTTGGTAGGCATGCACTCTACCACTTGAGCCCTGCCTCCAGCCCACACATTTATTTATTGATTGCTTCATTACTGTAGCATGTTGGTAGTTTCACCTTTGTTAGTTTTTTGTTTATAGTGTTACAGAAGGAGCTTGATATATGATTTTTATTAATATGAAAGTAAATCTTTCTGGTTAGATCTTACTCAGTTTAAAAATTGTTATTGTTAGAATATCAGTTGTTAGTTCCTTAGCTTTCTACTACTGTTTTAAAATCATTATAGGCTTATAATTTATCTTATTTGAAAGTCATCCAAAGACCTTAAAGAAACAGTTTAAGATTGAATTATACTGAGGCCTTAATTGCTTTGAAGAAAGCTATAATTTTCTTTATTTAATAATATTTTATATTATCCCCAAGTAAGTGGGGAATAAGTTGAAGTTATGTATAGAATTCAGTTTTTTGTCTATATTTTGTCTGTATTTAATTTTTGTCAGGGGTAGCAAGAATAGTTATTTAAAAAGTAAATTTGTAAGCTAGTTTTCAGTTTTTGAACACAAAAAATACTTGTCTTTGCTTCTAGACTTAACTCAAGTCTGTTATTGATGTCAGAGGAGCTGAGCCGTCAACAAGCCCTGGCAGTGCTGGAAGCAATGGAAGCAATGGAAAGCAGAAACTCACACCTGATTAAAAAGTATTTCTCCTGAGGCTGATGCTACTAAGTTGCCATTCATAAGTAGCTATTTTCTTTCTGAATAAAACTATTTTCTGTAATTGTTTTTTGAAGAAATAGGAACTGACTTTTAAAGCAATATTATGTTCTAATATGTTATTTCAGATTAGCGATAACATTGTTCATAGCACCTTTCATTTCATGTCCTGCTATTTCTGTACTGAAGCAGAACATCAAAAATCCATAGTTTCTGCAGAGCAGTTAATATCTGGATGAGTTTAAATTGTCTCACATCACAGTGGTACCTTGAAACCGTGTCATATATGGGCTTTTTTGTAACTTCAGATTTTTTTTGTATGTGTGGCAGTCCTGGAGTTTATACTCCATTCCTCATGCTTACTAGGCAGGTACTGTACCACTTGAGCCATTGTACCAGCCCCTATAACTTAAAATTTAAGGGGAAAAATATATATATAAGTCACATTATATATGCTTGATTTTCTTTCCTTCCTCCCTCCCTTTCTTACTTCCTTCTTCCTTCCTTCTTTTGGTGGGACTGGGGTTTTTGAGCTCAGGGCTTCATGCTTGCAAAGCAGGTGCTATATTTCTTGAGCCCCCAATCCAGTCTGTTTTGCTCTGATTATTTTGGAGATGGAGTCTGAGGAACTGTTTGCTCAGGCCTTGAAATTCAGTCCTCCTGATCTCAGTTTCCCAAATAGCTAGCATTACAGATGTGAGCCACTGCATCTGCCTTTTCCTTGTTTATTATATGTTCCTTTATTTTAATATTCTTTCTGACCCATTTCCTTGAACTTATTGCCTCTTAGCATTCCCATTGCTTTTTGTTCCTTTTCTTGCAGTGGGGATAGTGCTGAGGATCCCACAGCTTTGAAGCATTTTCACTTGAGGGCCAGTGGGTTTAAGGAAGAAAATTAAACCAGTTTTGCTAATTGTTTATAACTTTGGGTGAATTTTGTTTGTTTTTTTGGCAGTTCTGGGGTTTGAACTCAAGGCCTCACACTTGCTAGCCAGGTGCTCTACCACTGTAGCCACTGTACTGGCCCTTTTTTGTGTTGCGTATTTTCAAGATAGGGTCTCAAGAACTATTTCCCCAGGTTGGCTTTGAAACGTGATCCTCCTTATCTTTGCTTCTGGAGTAGCTAGGATTATGGGCATGAGCCACCAGTACCCAGCTTATTGCTTCTTACTATTCATAATTTAACATTATTTCATTCCAACATTTTTTGTGGTGTTGGAGTTTAAACTAAGGGCCTCAGGCTTTCAAGGTTCAAGCCCTTGAGCCACACACCAAGCTCTCATTTACACCTTACTGATTGCTTTTATTTAATTTTATTTTGTTTACATTTCTGTCGACATCTTGACAGTTCTGTAAGAACAGAAAACTTTGTCTCATTCACTAGTGTTTCTCCAGCACTGAGCAGAGTGTCTGTCAGGAAAACTCTATAGTAAATGTTTAATAAATAAGTGAATGGACTGGTTATTTAACAACATATGTTCTGTCATTCTTTTTAGAATTGCTTCAGCTGTGCAAAAACATTTGGATTACTATAAACCAATAGAGCTGCTGAAGATAACTCAAGCATTGATTTTTCTGCAGTTTCACAGTAAAGAGCTTTTTGTGAAACTCAGAGAGTTACTGTTTAGGTAAGATTAAAACAAATATTTATGGGTTTGGGGTTTGGCTCAAGCAGTAGAGCTCTTGCCTAGCAAGTGTGAAGCTCTGGCTTGGGGTGGGAGGGAGGGCAGGTAGTTAAAAAAAAAAGAAGTGTTTCCTTTTATAATGTAGCCACAATATTTGTTTTGTTTTCCAGGCAAAATTGGGTAGCTTGTAATTGAAAATGTTAAGGGCTGGGGCTATAGTTCAAGTGGTAGAACACTTGCTTAGCATGTGGGTGTTCCTGGTTCGATCCCCAGTGTCTTCCACACATATATATGCATATAAAATGTCGATGTTAGTGAAAAAAATTCTTCATGTACAACTTTCTCTTTATGGATACAACATTTGTATTGCAATTAGGAAGTTTTTCAGCTTTCCATTGACTTTGATTAGGCTAAAATGAGGTTTTCCACTAAATTTTTTTATTTTAAAGGTTAGAATGGAGGCTGGGGATGTGGCTTAGTGGTTGAGTGCTTGGCTAGTAAGCACAGGGCCCTAGGTTCAATCCCCAGCACAGAAGGAAAAAAAAAAATAGAATAATGACTGAAATGTGGTTCAAACTAAATTAATCTTTCCTGTATTATGGTTCTGGGGTCAGATTAATATATTTCCCCTCCATTTTTCACTACTACTATTGTGACTTCTAAAAGACCAGGCCTTGGATTCTGTGCCATAAGCAAAAGATTGATTTAAATTGGTATGCTATTATGGTTAAGAAGGATTTAAGCTGAGAAATAAGAATTAACATTTTATTAGATGAAAATTTAGCATATTAGCTAAATTTTAAGAAATTTATCTTTTCCTTGAAGAAACAACTTATAGTCCTTTTTCTTTTTTTGGAGGAGAACCTGGTGTTTCATGCTTGCAAAGCAGGCACGCTACCGTTTGAGCCACACCTCCAGTCCAGCTTGGTCATTATTAAAATGATCATATGCATGCTTATTTCTTCTCTGTATTTAGTATAGAATATGAGTAGATCCCTTATGTATTTCTGTAGTTTAAACTTTTGTCAAAAAATGTTTTCTTCTTTTTGTGGTGCTGGGAATTGAACTCAGGGCCTAATGTATGGTAGGCAAGTATTCTACCATTAAGCTACATCCCCAGACACCCTGAAAAAAAAATTTTTTTTCTGGTGATACTAGGGTTTGAACTCAGGGCCTCACATTTGCTAGGCAGTCATTCTGCCATTTGAGCCACCCCACAAGCTCTTTTTGTGGTGGGTATTTTTGAGATAGGGTCTGGAGAACTAATTTTCTGGGGCTGGCTTTGAACTTTGATCCTCCTGATCTTTGCCCCCGAGTAGCTCTAGGATTACAGGTGTGAGCCACTGATACCTGGTTCTGAAAATATTTTTGAATCATTGATTAACATTTAAAATATGAGATGTTATCCAAAAATTATAGATGCTTCATGCTTCAAAATTACCTTCCTTAACTTCAGTATGAACAATTTGAAGTTAATATTAGAAAGAATGTAAGCAAATTGGAGTAATTCACATAAATGCTTACATAAATAGTTCCTCATGAATAGAAAAAGGTTTTTTTTAACTTAATGAAGTATAACCTAAATAAAATATACATATCCCTTCCTCATCCCCAGGGTTAACTACTGTTTCTACTTCTAACTGCATGGTTAGTTTTCCCTTTTTAGTTCATGTAAATGAAATCATGCAGTATGATTTCTTATGTCTGGATTATGTGGATTTTAGATTATTTTTTTAATTTCCTAGACAGGGTACACCAACATTTTAAGTTTGCTAATAGTGAATGAGACTGCCTATATTAGTGTACCCTGGCTACTAATGAATATTGTGACTAGTTTACTATGCTAATTTAATATTTTAAAGTTACTCAGTTTTGTATTTAATTTAGATTGGATTATTACTTCTGCTACTTCTAAACCTAAAGAGTCTTTAAAAGTTCTTAGTTTTTTGTTGTTGTTGTTGTTATTTAATAATATTGTCCTCATGGGGAAGAGTTACCATGTAGATCTGGAAAAGAATGAACAGAGAAGAGGTCAGTTGTGTGTGCATGTGCACGTGCGTTAAGATTGGACTGCCAGCATGCCAGAAATGAGAAGGGAAGTAATGTTACTGAGCGATCACTGTTGAAGGTCATACCAACTCCTGACTGGTCTTGTCAGAAATTGGGCTCAAATTCCATTGCAGTAGCACTGGAAACATTGTTTCGATATTGACATTTTGTTTGTCAGAGACTATGGTTTTGTGTTTGCATTTAAAAATTTGGAGCATGCTTCAGGACCCCTTAGGCTTCCTTAATAACTCTTCAAAACTTGTGACCTTTGAAATTATTGAAATCTTAAATCAATTTGTATTTTAAGCTTACCTATTAAGTATAATAGTAATTATGTATCCATATTTTAATACATATATATTTTGTTTCTGTTGCTGATGTGTTTAGTTCATTGTTTTCATTTCCCTCCTTTCTTTACAGTTATTTGAAAGTTAGTGTCATACCGCACGAAATTTCCATCCTGGTGTGTGCTATTTTCATGCTTCCTTCTCCTCACCTTGATGAAATGGGGGTTTCCCGAATTGAAGCAGTTTTACCACAGTGTTGCCTCAATGAACTGAATGATTGTGCTACATCTGTTTTAAGATGGATTCAGTATGATCACAGGTGTTTGGGTAGTATTACCGGGAAACAACTGAAACTACTTCAAAACTTAGATCACTTCGGCCTTCAGAGATTACAACAAAGCAACAATTTGAGTCTGTTATGGGAGGAACTTAGATCTTTAAAAGGAGACTGGTTTCATGAATCTCTTCTTGAAGAAACAGTTGCTACTTTACAGCGTTTGATGGATGAAATTAATTATATCAATGTTGCAGGGATTGCATCTTTTATTTCTAGAACAAATTACCTCAGTCCTCTGCTACTTGATCGGATAGCCTCAGTGGTGGTTCAGCACATTGAAAAGGTGAAATTTAAATGTTACACATTAGTTGTTTTAGTTGCCACCTCCTGAAAGTATAATGTTTAAATACATAAGTACTTTCAAAACTTGGGTTAGAGTATGAAGTTTAAAATTAAACTCTGGTTTCTGGTTTAGCAATTTGTCCTCCTACCTTAAAGCTACTGTCCTTCCTCCAACATTGAACATTTGGGAGATTGGCAGTCATCCTTTGTTAAGATTAGTAGTCAGAATCCTTTGACTAGAAGGAGGTACTTAGGATGATATTAGGTATATTTGCATAGTAGAATATGAATGAGTCTTGTTTCTCCTTTTTCTCATTTTCTATAATCCTGTAGTATTAATGTTACTGCTTAAAAACAACTACATTCAAAACTGTGAGATAAGTGTGAACTGAGAAAATTTTAAGGTGCTCATTGACATCAGTATTCTTAATTGTAGTATAACTAACCTCTCATTTCTAGAACTAGCTTGTAAAATGCTGCGTTATGAGTTTTGTGAGAAGTTTCTCCCTTATAATATTGTATATATATTTATCAGAATATATTTTGAAGATAGTATTTTTACAAATGAAAATAAATGTCTGGGCTGGAGGTGTGGGTCAAGTGGTGGAGTGCTTGCTAGTGCATGGCCCTGAGTTCAAATTCCAGCATCACCAAAACAAAACAAAAGGAAAGATTAAAGATTTTACTGTTAGCCGGGCACCAGTGGCTCATGGCTATAATCCTAGCTACTTGGGAGGCTGAGATCAGGAGGATCCCAGTTTCAGGACAGTCCAGACAAATAGTTCTCAAGACCTCATCTGCAGAATAACTAGAGCAAAAATAGACTGCAGGGGTGACTCAAGCAGTAGAATGCCTCCTTTGCAAGAGTGAAGTCCTGAGTTCAAACTCCAGTCCCACCTAAATAATAAGTAAACGTTTTACTATTGACACTTAAAAAAAGCCCATCTCATTTGCTTAGCTTAGTGTCTGACAGTCATTAAGTATTGGATGAGTGAGTGAATAATGAAATGAAAGAATGAATGAAAGAAAAATAAATGCCGGTAAGTATAAAGTGAGAAACTAATTGTATGATGGTTCTGTAAAGTACACTGATACCATGGAAATAAGTGACACTGTCTCCTGTTTGTTTTAATGAGTAATGAATTCTGGAACAGGATTTTACACCTAACAATTAATTTGTAGATTGATTTTTTTCTGGATCAACACTTTTAGAGTTACTAATAATTAGTCATGGAGTTAAATAAATTATAGCAGAATGGAAAAATTAATAAGCATAGTCATATATTTAACTGTAGGCATGTTAGAAAAAGACTTCACCTTAAATAATAATTAGGTTAAAATTTTGTTGGATTTTTTGAAGCTTGAACTATAAAATTTTTTCTGTTTATACAGATCCATCCTTTTTCAATCCTTGCTATTATTCTTCCATTCAGCATCTTGAACTATGACCCACCTCAACGGGATAAATTTTTTGGAATGTGCATGCAAAGCCTTAGTTCTTACTTAGGTAGGTATGTTGTTTGGTAATACATTGGTTATGAGATAAGAGATGTTCCTCATTAAAAGGTAACCATAATAGCCATGAACTCTATCAAGAAAACATGTTTTGAGCTAGATGTCGTGCATACATTTGTTACCCCAACAGCAGGATTGCAAGTTTGAGGCCAGTTTGGGCCACATAGCCAGAACCTGTCTCAAAAAAGAAAAATTTGTACCATTTTTGAAACTTTTTAAATGAAAAGTATCAAAGTTCTATAAAAAATTGAAAGAATTGGGCAAAAAAAATTGAAAGAATTGGGCTGGAGACATGGCTCAAGTGATAGAGCACCTTCCTAGCACATGTGAAGCCCTGAGTTCAAACCCTGTTCCATCAAAACAAAACAAAATCAACCATGCACTGGTGGTTCTCAGCCATAATCGCTACTCAGGAGGCAGAGATTAGGAGCATGGAGGTTTGAAGCCATTCCAGGCAAATAGGTCACGAGACTCTATCTTGAGAAAACCTGTCACAAAAAAAGGGCTGGTGGAGTGGCTTAAGGATAGGCCCTGAGTTCAAGCCTTAGTAACAAAACAAAACAAAACAAAAAAACCATGCCTCCAGCCCTATTAATTGTTCTTGCATAAAGACTGGTTTTGATGAGATAGTTTTGCTGGTAGAAGTCATTACTATTAACCTCACTTATGATGTGATCTTCCTTTATTAAATAAACTCATCAAAAAAAATCCAATAGGAAAATTTTAATTTTTTCTGTTCTTCATAAGAATATTCACGCCAGTAAGACATTTTAATTGGCCCCTTCCCCCACATCAGAAGTGTCTCTTGGATGAGATTAACCAAGTAAGCAACTTCCAAGTTTGAGTCGTCTGCCATGCTGCTAAGTGATAGGTAAGGGAAAAGTGCTAAGTGAGACCTGAACCTCAGATGTGTGCACTTAGCCTGAAGTCCTGAGATCCCCAGAGAGCAGCATGAGATACTGGAGCTTTTCTGAGTTAAACCCTACACTTCTCTTATTAACTATGAACTGGGGAAAGTCATTGACTTTGCTGTGCCCCCCATGCTCATTTACAAAGCAAAGGTAATACCTATATCTACTATGTACAGAAATGAGGTTTTAATGAGCGAGAGAGTGTGTATAGGTTATTATGGTACCTAACACATTCTAAGCACTATTATAATCACCAGTCAGTTTTCCTTTTATATATATTACTGTCCTTTTAATTTCTTTGCTTTTTCAAGGCAGTTTTAAAAACTTAAAGTATAGTAATAGCAGTAACATTCATATAAACTTAGTATAATCATTTGAATATTGAATCACTTAGGCAATCAGTACCCAGATCAAGAAAACAGTAGCTTTCTCTTGTTCCCCTTTCTTCCTCTGTCCCTACCCAAAAGTAATCACTTAGCCACTCTACTGATTTGTAACAGTATGAATTAGTTTTGTCAATGCTGTGTTTGTGTTGCTTTTTTAAAAACCTGGCTTTATCTGAGTAAATTCTATGTTTATGTGTATGTGAGGCAGCTGAACATTATATTGTTCTTTAATCTTAATGTTTTTAGGTACATTGGATCCCCTTGTGTTAGTATTTCTTGGTTTCTCTTTGGCCACTCTTGAATATTTTCCAGAAGATCTGCTAAAGACAATTTTTAACATCAGATTCTTAGCCAGATTAGATTCTCAACTTAAAAGTATGTATCTGCATTTTACTTTCTTAAATAGTTACTTGTATTTTATATCTAAGTTTCATTTCTACCTATACTGAAGAATTTAAAGGCTAATAACATTTTTTTTTCTGTTAATGAAGGTATTTAACGATTGGCTGGACATATAGCTTAGTGGTAGAGCACTTGCCTAGCATGTGTGAAGCCCTGGGTTTAATTTCCAGCACTGCAAAAAAATTTTTTTTCATGGTTATTGTAGAAAATTTGGAAAACACATGTAAGTATAAAATAGAAAATTAAACTGGGCATGATGAAATATTTCTGTAATCCCAGCACTCAGGAGGTGGAGGCAGAAGATTGTGAGTTCAAGGCCCAAAGCCAAGCTGGGTTCAAAAAACAAAATAAGGACTTACCAATAATTCCATAGGTAATTTGTAGTGTTTTTTTTGTGTGTGTGCTGGGGATTGAGCCCAAAGCCTCTTGTATGCTCTATTACTGAGCTAGGAATATTTCTTTTCTATATTTCTCCTGTATGCTTACATATCAGTGCATTTTAAAATGAAATTTGGGTGATATATTTACTTTTGTGTGCTGCTTCCTTTTTTTTTTTTTGGCAGAACTTGGTTTGAACTCAGGGCTTCACCCTTGCTAGTAGGTGCTCTGCCACCTGAGCCATTCCGCCAGCCCTGTGTGCTGCTTTTTTATCTAACTATAACTTGATTAGGTTTTCATGTCATTAGATATTTTTGATGTCATCATTTTTTTGAAAGTGATAGTGAGGTTTATTAGGAAAGGAATGTACTTTCTTTTTTTTTTATTTTTTTGCTTGGGACTTTATTTTATTTTACATGTACAATCCCTTTTAATCCTTTAAACACGTATGGAGTGGATGTTACTACACATTAAAATAAAGGGAAATTGAGGTTTGGGGAAATAAGTTACACATCACCCAACAAACAGCAAGTGGCAGAGCTGGGATTTGAACCTGTGTCAGGAATGTACTTTCAATAGACTGAAAGCTATTCTCTCTAGAGAGAGAATGAGAATGACCTGATGTCATGATTTTAAATACATAATATTTCTTATTTCTTACCTTTTATATTGTTTTCCAATTCTTCATTATTATAAATAATGAATTGTATGACGCATTAGTTATTTACTTAGGATAAATTCCTAAATATGGAATATTAGGTCAATGAAAATTTGTGGTAGTATTTTTTTTCACATGTAGTTTTAAAATTCACAGTTTGTAAAAACAATAGAACTTGTCCTAATCATGCTACTGAATATAATAATTTCAAAATATAAAGCATTTTTGCACAAATGAAGTGATTTTGTCATGTCAAAAAAGAGTAGCAACTAATAGCAAGGATTAGATGCAAACAAAAATGTAGTTTTTGCTAGTTCTAAACTGTCAAAATTCATTAGTATTTTATTTTTAATTTCAGTTTTACCTTCATCTCTACGCTCAAGGGTCCAGTTTCGTCTTATGGAGTTAAATAGAGCAGTCTACCTGGAATGTCCTGAATTTCAAATTCCATGGTTTCATGACCGCTTCTGTCAACAACTGTATAATAAAGGTTTGAGTTTTGTTTTGGTAAGAAAGTGAAGTGTAATTCTAAAGTAAATTATTAGGTAATTATACATTGTTATTATCATTCAACCTAAATATGACTCTGAAGTTTTCAATAAGACCATGACCTGTTTAATTTTTTTAGGTGAGATTTGTATGATAGGAATTTCTGGGGTTTTTCTCTCTTGAGAGAGGGTCTTTCTGTGCAGTCACTGTGGCCTTGAACTCTTACTTTCCCCTGTCTTGGCTTCCCAATTCCTAGGATTACCAGCTGTGCCACCATGCCCAGCTGGAATTCCTTAATTAGGACACTAAAGTGCTTGGGAAGAATTTGTCTTCTACTGATTTTAATGTCATTATGTTGGTATTACATTGAGGCACTAATGGAAAATACTGATCTTTATTTTTCAGTTTGTAGAATTCTGGAATGATTTTCATTCAAACACTGATTAAGTAGACTAATTACTTTTACGTTCTTAAAGATGGCAGCAGTATGAATGGAGCACAACAAGAAATTTATAAAATGCTAGCGGACATACTTGGGGGAATCAATTGTGTAAAAGCTTCAGTTTTCTCACCTTATTTCCACACACTAGGTAAGTGGTTGGTAGATAATTAGCTTCTTTCAGAGGAACTAACTTGAATAGAATAATCAGTTGAAATTTTAAAAGTTTGAATTTTTTTTTTCAAATTGTAATGAAAATTTCCAAACAAATAAAATTAGGAACCCTCAAATTCATTCCCATTGCCCAGCTTTGATAACATCAGCATTTTGCTGTTTTCAGGAAAAAAAAATATTAAGGTCATCTTTCACCAACTCTTTTTTTAAAATTGTTATTATTATTATTATCATATTATCACAACTCTTAAGTAAAATCCAGATTCAGATTCACTGAACATTTATGGATCTTCAGAAGATTCTGTCCTAGTCAAGCCTAGCCTGTAATCCCAGCCTTTGATAGATAGAGGCAGAAGGATTATGAGTTTGAGAGACTTTCTCTCAGAAACAAACAAAAAAGGACTTGGGTTTGGGCAAGATGGCTCAAGTCTGTGATTCTGTCTATTGGGAGGCAGAGATCAGAAGGATTGAGGTTTGAGGCCAGCCTGGCCAAAAAGTTTGTCACCATCTCAACCAATGGCTAAGTGTAGGGTGTGCATCTGTCATTCCAGCTACATAGGAAAGTACAAATAGGATAGCAGTCCAGGCTGGCCTGAGCATAAAGTGAGACCCTATCTCAAAAATAACCACAGCTAAAAGGGTTGGGGACATGGTTTAAGTGGTACAGCACCTGTCTTGCAAGTGTGAGGCTCTGGGTTCAACACCCAGTATTGCCCACCCACCAATCCCCCACCAAAAAAAAAAAAAAGACTTTAGTAAAATTGTAGGCGTTTCCTGCCCTACTTCTCCCCACTTTACCCTACCTTCCAATTTTTCCTTTTCTTGGGGAAGATAGGGGCACCCTTGAACATAGTAAGTGCTCAGTACATTTTATTTGGAAAAAAAAAACAGCTAGAGACATTTAGTTTGAAAAATAGAAGTTTTATAGAGAGCATAACTTTTAAAGTGTTTGCCCCTTTACTGAAAAAAAAAAAGAAAAAAGTAAAAAAAGATAGAAACCAAAACAAACATTAACAAAAACCCAAAGCTAAAGGTTTGAAAGATTATATGGAAGAAAAACCATATTATATGTTTCAGTGATGAAAAATTATAATAAAAATTATTAGAAGCAAATTTATTTTTGTTTGGCTTATATTAGGATTAGGTTTGGCCATGAGTAACAAAAATCCACAAGTAGCAGGAACTGAAATTATCAGTTTATTTCCTTTTCCCATCCATGTAGAGAGTGCAGGGCTGGGATGGCTCTTCCACAGAGGACCCTTCCCTTTCATGGTCCAAGGTGGCTGCCCTGGCTTCAGCCATTTGTCTACAATCCAAAGCAGGAGAAGGAAAGGGTGTCTCTTTGAGTACAGTTCCCTGAAGTTGAACATACCATTTTTAATCATATGCCACAGACATACTTGGGTGCACGTGAGTTTGAAATATGTTTTTATTTTGTGTGTGTGTTTCTTATTTTTTTTTGTGGTACTGGGGCTTGAACTCAGGGCCTTCACCTTGAGTCACTCCACCAGCCCTTTTTTGTGAAGGGTTTTATGAGATAGGGTCTCACAAACTATTTGTGGGTCTGGCCTCAAACCGCAATCCTCTTGATCTCTGCTTCCTGAGTAGCTAGGATTACAGGTATGAACCACACAGGGAAGTAATTGCACTGAACTGTGAATATGAAAATGATCTGAAATTCCATCTCATAGGGAGTTTTATTTTTTTACTTCTTTTTCCCGTGTGCTCCAGGATGGAGGACCTTTGCCTGTGACCATTCCCTACTCTCATAGAGGCCTTCAAACAGTGTAAAACTGTGGGATAGGCACTGTGGCCAGTTCTTTATCTCTATTACTTCTTTTTGTATGTTTATTTTTTTGTGATACTGGGGCTTGAACTCAGGGTCTTCACCATGAGCACTCCATCAGCCCTCTTTTTTGTGATGGGTGTTTTTGAGATAGGCTCTCATGAACTGTTTGCCTGGGATGTCTTTAAACCTTGATCCTCCTATCTTTGACTCCTGAGTAGCTACGATTCCAGGTGTGAGCCTCTAGCACCCAGCATTATAAATTTTTTGGTTTATTTTCTTTCCGGCAGTATTGGAGTTAGAACTCATGGCCTTGTACTTGCTAGGCAGGCTATCACTTGAGCCACACACCCCCAGTCCTATACATCTTTAAAAATAAGCTTTAACTGGTATATTTGTATATAGGGATATAGTATGATTAAGAGCTATGATCAGGGGTTAGGGATGTAGCTCAGTGATAGAACACTTGTCCAGTATTTTCAATATCCTGGGTTTCATCTCCATAAACAAAACAAACAACAGCAGCAACACTAAAACCAGTGGATCAGGAGCTTTGCTACATTAGTAAAAAACAAAAAACAAAAAACCCCACCCACTCAGGGCTGGGAATGTAGTTCAGTGACAAATGCTTGCCTAGCATGAGCTGACCCTGAGTTTGATCTCCAGCACTACAAAAAAAAAAAAAAAAAAGGTAAAGATTAAATGAGAAAGGCATGTAAAATACTTAGCAAAGAAGAGACTGGTGTAAATAAACCTTTGAAAAAGCCCACTCAGTTAAAAAAAAAAAAAAAGTCACACAAAGGCCAGGCATGGTGGCTCGTGTGTAATCTCAGGGAGGCTGAGGCAGGAGAATTGTGAGTTTGAGACCATTTCCAACAAAAGCACATACAAAACAAAAATCATATGATAGAGGTTTACCAATAGCAAAACTAGAAAAAAAATTACCTATGATATGACCACTGTTTATTCCTAGTGTCTGTTTTTCTCACTGACTTTTAAAACTAAATATAGCTTACTCTATAGTGGATTATCTGGGCTGCTGTAACAAAATACCTGAGACTGGGTAATTTATAAACGATAGAAATTTATTTCTCGCAGTTCAGAGGCTGGGAAGTCTAATATCAAGGCACCAGCAGGTTCTGTGTGTGTTGAGACCCTGTCTCTGCTTCCAAGGTGACTTCTCGAATGTGTGTCCTAACATGGCAAAAGGAACAGAAGGGCAGAAAGGGTGTGTTTCCTTCAGCCTCTTTTATAAAGTTGCTAATCCCGCTAATGGGGACTTTTCAATGTGTCTTAATCACCTCCCAAACACCCCATTACTAATATTATCACGCTGCTGATTAAGTTTCAATGTATGAATTTGGGGGAAACATTTAGATCATTGCACTTTGTAACATTTTTGTGTGTTATGAATATTTTTCTGTGTCAACAAAAATACCTAAAGCATTTTCAGTGTCTGAATGAGTGTGCTGTAGTTTAATCAACCCATAAGGATTTGTGCTGATTGTGTACATCTGTGAAACAGTGCTGTGATTTTATATAACAACAATAATAGATACACTTATCTGTGTTGCTTATTATGTGTTAGACACTATTTTTTCTTTTTTTGCATATATTAATTATACTAAGGGGTTTCGTTGCGATGCTCCCATACATGTATATAATGTACTTTGATCACATTTACTCACTATTACTCTTATTCTCCCTCCTTTTTAAAAAATGATTAACTGGTTTCATTATTTTATTTTCATACATGCTTATGAAGTACTTTGATCATATTCATCCCCCTTCATCCTAGACACTATTTTAAGTACTATATATGTGCGTAAATATAATAAACATATTCTACAAAGTACATAAATTATTTTGCAAATGAGGAAACAGGCTCAGAGACATTATTGTACATTGTGGCTTTTTTCCCCCATGGTACTGGAGTTTGAACTCAGGGCTTCATGCTTTTTAGACAGGCGCTTTACCACTTGAGCCACACCTCTAGTCCATGCCCCAGGTTATATACCTGGCAAATGACAGAGCCAGGCCTTTGTTTTTTTTTTTGTTGTTGTATTGGGGGTTGAACTCTGGGCCTTGTGCTTGCTAGGCAGGTGCCTTACCACTTAAGACATTATTGGTTTTAGATTTTTTTAAAAATAAGGTCTCAAGTTTTTGCCTGGCCTTAGAATGTGGTCCTTCTACATATGCCTCCCTTGTAGCTGGGATTACAGAGAAGAACCACCATGCCTAGCTTATTGATTGAGATGGGGTCTTGCTAACTTTTGCCCTTGCTGGTCTCAAATGATGAGCCTCCTGATCTCCAACAGCCAGGATTTTACCTAGGCATTCTGGTTCTAGAATTCCTTCTTATTTATTTATTTAGACAGGGTCTTGATATATAACCTAGGCTGTTCTTGAACTCGCAGTCCTCCTATCTTAGTGCTCCTACCTAAGTGCTGGAGTTATAGGTGTCACCACTCTGTCTGGCTCAGAATTCAGTCTCTCAATGAGAGAACTATATTTCGTATATTGTAATTGACTTGAAGATGCTTCAGTGCCCCAGTTTTCCTTGTGAGTAAAAATAATCAACTTTCTCTTTCATTGTTTTCACTCACTGTTTCTTTTTCATTTCTTTCCTTTTTTCATGGTTTAAATAAAGTGTTTTTATTATGGGAAAATTTCAAACATATACAAAAGTAGAATAAAGCCAGGCATAGTGGTGTGTGCTTATACTCCTAGCTACTCAGGAGGCTGGAATCAGTTAAGCCTAAGAATTCAAGGCCAGCCTGGGCAACATAGCAAGACCCAGTCAAAACCAACCAACCAACCAACCAATCATACCCAAGTCTGGATGACTCCTCATCCAGACTCAGAGCTCACCTGATTCTCTTCTAGAAAGTAGACATTTGTCATCTCAGGACACATTTCAAAAGGTGACGAGTTTAAAAACAATGACCATCATCACCACACTCCTACACACTACTCTTTAATGATTAATATATCTTTAATAATTTCTTAATATCACATAGCATTCATGTTTAATAGTTTATGTTTTATAATTTATGTGTTCGAATTGGGATCCAAACGTTGCATTTGGTTGACTTTTCTCCATTTTCTTCTCTTACAATTTATTGAGAAGAAATTTTTTTTCTTAATGTAGACTTTTCTACTTGCAACCCTGTGGTGTCATTGAATACATTTACAATTCCCTTATGTAATGCTTAACCCAGCACTAAGTGTAGCCAGTCATATGCTGTTGCTCATTAATACTTACTGCTCATTATTGGTTGATTTTCAAGGAGAGGTGCCATTGGACCAAGTCTTACAAGTTGGATAATTAGGGAAGTTCATCATTTATATATATATATATATATATATATATATATATATATATATTTAAATTTTTATTCATTTTTTTACCTTTTTTTGTGGTACTGGGATTTTGAACCACAGGCCTCACACTTGATAGGCAAGTGCTCTACCACTTGAGCCATTCTGCCAGCTGCTATACATATTTTTATATATTTAAAATGTGTTTTAAACTTTTGCCTATAAGAATTTGCCTAAGTTATATTTTGGTTTCTGTACTTCCTTAAGATTTTGAGTGTATCTTGGATAAAAGAAAAAGACCTCTTCCTTATGGAAACCAAAATACAAGTTTGAGGAAACTACCAGGAATGTACTGGGAATTGAATACTCAAATAGTTGGATCAGGACTTCCAGCAGGAGCTGAAAGGTAGTTTATTTCTTAGCTTTAGGTTTTATTGATGTGTTAAGTTATATTGTGACCTCAGTTACCATGGGCTGATTGCAGTAGCATCTGCTCCAAGCATCTCATACACTCTGCCTCTTCACCTTTGCCTTTTCTGTGCCTCCGCCTTAATGTCCTGCCTTCATCTGTCCACAGCCTACCAGTTTCTCTAACTGAAGTACTGACTTAGTTGTCCTCAACTGGAAATAAAAACATTGTCTTCTTTTGTGCTCCCAACCTCTGTACCTTCCATCAGCATTTCGCTACTTCCTACACTGCGTCAGTGACTGTACCTCTTGTTCTCAGACTCTGAATTCTCAGACTAGGTTGCTTTGTCTTTATGTGCAAGTTACTTATGTTTAGAAGGGACATAACAAGTACAGGTTGGACAAAGGAACAAATAGATGAAAGTAAGGTGATATTTTACTATAATTTGCTTTAAATGAATAGGTTTGATATCAGTTAATTTCTTTCTTTTTTCTTTCTGGTACTGGGGTTTGAACTCAGTGCTTTGTGCTTGCTAGGCAGGTACTCCACAGCTTGAGCCACTCCGCTAGCCTAGTTAATTTCTTTAGAAAAATAACTTCATATACTACTTCCTATGTTTATTTGACTTTCTATTTTTAGTTTATAAAGATGTGTTCTTGTTCTTGAAAGGCTTGTAATTATCTAGTTTCTCATTTTGATTTTGAAAGTAAATATTTTTATCTTATGTAGGATTGCACTCGAATTTTTGGATTCAAGAGCTTTTTGTAGAAATATTCCTCACTTAAAAGGAAAATCTGCTATGAAAAAACGACATCTGGAAATTTTGGGCTATCATGTAATTCAGGTAGGAAATACTCATGTAATTTAGCCAAGGCTCTGCATGGTAGCTCATGCCTATAATCCCAGCTACTTGAGAGGTGTAGATAGGGTGAATTGCAATTCCAGGTCAGCCAGGCAGGGGAAAAAAAAAAAAATTAGTGAGATCCCATTTCCCCCATCTCAATCTGGTGTGGAGGTGCACACCAGTAATCCCAGCTATGTGGGAGACTGCAAGTAGGAGGATTAAGGCCTGAGGCCAGCCCTGGGGGAAAAACCTGAGATCCTACTCCAAAAGATAAGTAGTTGGTGCCAGTGGATCACACCTGTAATCCTGGCTACTTGTGAGGCTAAGACTGGGAGGATCGAGGTTTTAGGCCAGCCCAGGCAAGTAGTTCACAAGATCCCATCTCCAAAATAACTACAGCAAAATGGGCTGGAGGTGTGGTTCAAGTGGTAGAGTTAAAACAACAACAACAACAACAAAACCCTCCCAGAAAACCCAGCCAAACAAAAGCCCAGATACCCTAGTGGTACATTTTTCCTTCAACCTGAAGTTTTCAGAATTGCTGCCTTTATATTTAAAAGAGCTACATTAAAGTGTCTCTAAAATATGCTTTAGTTCTTGGTAGAATAAGAAATAAAAATCATCATTTCTCCTACTGTCTTTAGAAAAATCTATTTTTTTTAATTCATTTATTCACGTGTGCATACGTTGTTTGGGTCATTTCTCCTCCTGTCCCCCTCTCCCGCCCTTTCCCCGCTACCCTCCTCAGTTACAGGCAGGTCCTGTTCTGCCTTTATCACTAGTTTTGTTGAAGAAAAGAGACAAGTATAATAAGGAAGACAAAAGTGTTTTTGCTAGTTGAGTTAAGGATAGCTATAAAGAAATATTCCTAGCATTGCTTTCGTGTACATGTGTTATGACCCATGTTGATTCATCTCTAACTGATCTTTACGCTGGTTACCGATCCCCTTCTCATGTTAACATCTGTTGCTTTAAGGTTTCTGTATTAGCTCCTCTGGAGTGGGGACATCAAATGCTTTCATGTTTTGGGTTTTCTACCTATTTCTATATCATCCATATGTGCTCTCCCCTTGTCATGTGATCCCAATCCAACCACATTGCTGTATTTGCCCTAGATCTAAAGTCTGCATATGAGGGAGAACATACGATTTTTGGTCTTCTGAGCTTGGCTGACCTCACTCAGAATGATGTTCTCTAGTTCCATCCATTTACCTGCAAATGATAAGATTTCATTCTTCTTCATGGCTGAGTAAAATTCCATTGTGTACAAGAACTACATTTTCTTGATCCATTCATCAGTAGTGGGGCATCTTGGTTGTTTCCATAACTTGGCTATTGTGAATAGCACTGCAATAAACATGGGTGTGCAGGTGCCTCTGGAGTAACCTGTGTTGCATTCCTTTGGGCATATCCCCAGGAATGGGATTGCTGGATTATATGGCAGGTCTATGTTTAGATTTTTAAGAAGTCTCCACATTTTTTTCCGGAGTGGTTGTACCAGCTTGCATTCCCACCAGCAGTGGATTAGGGTTCTGTTTTCCCCACATCCTCACCAACACATGTTGGTGGTGTTTTTGATCATGGCTGTTCTAAAAGGGGTAAGGTGGAATCTTAGTGTGGTTTTGATTTGCATTTCCTTTATGGCTAGAGATGGTGAGCATTTTTTTATGTGTTTTTTGGCCATTTGAATTTCTTCTTTTGAGAAAGTTCTGTTTAGTTCAGTTGCCCATTTCTTTATTGGTTCATTGATTTTGGGAGAGTTTAGTTTCTTAAGTTCCCTGTATATTCTGTTTATCAGTCCTTGGTCAGATGTGTAGCTGGCGAATATTTTCTCCCACTCTGTGGGTGGTCTCTTCAGTTTAGAGACCATTTCTTTTGTTGTGCAGAAGCTTTTGAATTTTATGAAGTCCCATTTGTCCATCCTTTCTCTTAGTTGCTAGGCTGCTGGGGTTGTATTGAGGAAGTACTTGCCTATACCTATTAGTTCCAGAGTGTTTTCTGCTCCTTCCTGTAGTAACTTCAGAGTTTCAGGTCTGATATTTAGGTCCTTGATCCATTTTGAGTTGATACTAGTACAGGGTGATAGACATGATCTAGTTTCAGTTTCTTGCAGATGGGTAACCACTTTTCCCAGCAACATTTGTTCAAGAGGCTGTCTTTTCTCCGTTGTATGTTTTTGGCACTTTTGTCAAAAATGAGGTAGGTATAGTTGTGTGGATTCATATCCAGATCCTCTATTCTGTTCCACTGGTCTTCATGTCTGTTTTTGTGCCAGTACCATGCTGTTTTTATTGCTGTTGCTTTGTAATATAGTTTGAAGTCAGGTATTGTGATACCTCCAGCATTGCTTTTTTTTGCTGAGTATTGCCTTGGCTATTCGCCGTCTCTTGTGTTTCCAAATGAACTTTAGAGTAGATTTATCAATTTCTGTGATGAAAGTCATTGGGATTTTGATGGGAATTGCATTAAACATATAGATTGCTTTCGGTGTATAGCTATTTTTACTGTGTTGATTCTACTGATCCATGAGCACGGGCGATCTTTCCATCTTCTGTAGTCTTCTTCGATCTCTTTCTTCAGGAGTTTGTAATTCTCCTTGTAGAGTTCATTCACATCTTTTGTTAAATTTACTCCTAGGTATTTGATGTTTTTTGAGGCTATTGTGAATGGAATTGTTTCCATATATTCCTTCTTTGCTCGTTGTTGGTGTATAGAAAAGATGATTCTTTTAGGTTGATTTTGTATCCTCCCACCTTACTGTAGCTGTTTATGGTGTCTCAGAGTTTTTGGGTAGAGTTTTTTGAGTCTTTAAGGTATAGGATCACATCACCTGCAAATAGGGATATTTTGACAGTTCCTTTGCCTATTTGTATTCCTTTTATTTCTTCTTGCCTAATTGCTCTGGGTAGGAATTCCTGGACTATGTTGAATAGGAGTGGGGATAGTGGGTACCTTATCTCATTCCTGATTTTAGGGGGATGGTTTCAGTTTAGAAAATCTATTGATAGGTATATTTCTCTTAGGAGAGAGGCACTTTGAAGATGGCTGAGAAAAGGCTAATGTGTGAATGTAAAAGGCTGTGTAGGAAAAAAATGTCCGTAGTTGGCACTGTAGGAAAGGAACTCTGAGGCAGAAAAGGTCTTCTAGGCAATGCCAGGAAGAAAAACCCACTTAGCCTCCAGAAGGGCTCAAAAGCTATTCTTCTAGAAATTAATTTTGTAGGGCCCCAGCTTTGGGCAGCAATATTGTCTTTCCTGGTTTTTTGGTTTGTTTTTGTTTTTTTATAGCTGCTTTAAAACTTTCATTCAAACTACATTACTTGTTTTACAGATTCCTCATTTTGAATGGAACTCTATGGCACTGTCAACAAAGGATGCTCGAATGAACTACTTGAGAGAACATATATTTGGAGAAGGCAAATCATGACTGTAGTTTTTATTTAAAATGAATTATTCTGAGGCTGTTTGAATGACTCAAGTGGAAGAGCTCCTGCCTAGCAAGCATGAGGCCCTGAGTTCAAACCCCAGTACCACCAAAAAAAAAAAAAGCAGGCTGTGGGTGTGGTTTAAGTGGTAGAACGCCTGCCCGGCAAGCACAACATCCTGATTTCAAACTCCAGTACTGTCTACAGCCATACCACCCTAAATGCGCCCGATCTCATCTGATCTCAGAAGCTAAGCAGGGTCAGGGCTGGTCAGTACTTGGATGGGAGGCCAAACTCCAGCACTGCAAAAATAAAATAAGTTATTCTAGCTTAAGCAGTACAGTGTCTGCCTAGTAATTACAAAACCCTGAATTCAAACCCAGTGTGGCTTAAAAACAACAATGAAAAAGATTATGAATAAAATGAGTTATTCTAGTGTGCTACATTTAATTAAGTGACCTGACTCAATTAAAAAATAATAGGTGAGATTGAAAAAAAAAAATCCTGAAGAGGGAACATGCCTGGTGTATTTGAGAATTACAAGGGATCTATTGTGACTGGTGTAGAACAAGTGGATAGTGGGTTGAAAATATAATAAAAGGTAAGAGATAAGACATGAGTATGTACAACCTAGGTGACCGTTGTGAGTGTGACGAGAAGCCACTGGAGGTTTTTAAGCAAAGAATGATAGGAACTCACATTTTAAGTCCGTCATGCTGTCTACCCTGTTGAGAGAAACTGCACTGGAGCTTGTGAAAGCATGCAAGAAATAGATGGTGGCTTGAAGATAGTAGCAGTGGAGGTAATGAGAAGTGGTCAGATTTTTAAATGTATTTTGAAGGTAAAGGCAACAGAATTTGCTCACGGCAACAGAATTTGCTCACTAGTAGACATGTGATATAAGAGAAACAAGAATCAAGGGTAATTACAAATTTTTGTACTGGCAACTAAAAGGATACTATTGTAATTAACTCAGATTGGGAAATCTATGAGAAGAGCAAGATGGGAGGTAGGCTGCAGTAAGGAGGATCATGAGTTTGTCTAAGGCATGTTGAGTTTGATCCTTTTTAAACATCTAAAGGAAAGTACCAAACAGTTCAAGAAATGAATTTGGAGATTAGTGGAGAGGTCCAGGCTCCAGATAGAAATCTGAATGTTGTCATTGGTATTAAATGCCACAAGACTTGATGAAATCACTTAAGATGTGATTAGAAAGAGTGTGGATGCAGAATTGATCTGTGGACCATGCTCTCAGGCACCCCAGCATTAAGAGATCAAGAAAAGGAACAGTAAAAGAGACTGAGCAGGGGTGGCCAATGGAGTAGGAGCAAAAGTTAGAAATACTGCCTAGAGAAATTATGCTTCCTAACACTTCAAGGAGGAAGAAGCGAACAGTTGCATCAAATACTGCTGGTGGGTCTGTTATGTTGAGATCTGGGAAATGTCCTAATTTAAATTTAATTAAATTTAGCACATGAGAGGACTGAGGCTTAGTGGCAGAGAGCCTGCACAGTATGCATGAGGCCCTCGATTCTATCCCCAGCTCCACCCTCCCCCTGTCCCCCAAGAAAAAATTCCTATATGAAAGTCATAGGTAATCTGAAAAGTAGTTCTGGTGAAGTGTGGTGGGTATGAAACCCTGACTGTTTCAAGAGAAAGTGGAAGGAGACACGAATTTTCCAAATGGAAGCAAAGAAATGGGGTGGTAACTCTAGTGGACCAACCTTGACCTGGTCTGATATTCACATGCTGAAGTTACAAAACATTTATAATGACTCAGTTATAAAGAATCTATGTGTGGTATAGTTGGGTAATATGTTTGTGCTCAGTGGCAATCCATAGTGTGCTGTCTTCAAGCTACTGCAGTCTGTGTGTACATGTGTTTGTGTGAGGGAGGTGGTATCATCTGAAACTTAGCTATCTTCTGACTCCTCTAAACTCACTTTGTCCCGTACTTGGTAGCCAGAGTGCCTTCTATTGTATAGTTTTAAAATTCATGTTCTGGCTAGAGGGTAGCTCAGTGGTAGAGTACTTGCTTAGCACAAGATCCTGGGGGCGAAAATGTGTTGGTGAATAATTTGCTTCATTGATGTTTGGCTTAGTCTTAGTGGAAGTCCATGTTTATTTACGTAAATATATATTTTACTTACTTATTAGATCAAAAATAGTTTAAAGTTAGGTTCAAGTTGTTGTACTTTTTTTTTTTTTTTGAGTCAGGGTCTTATTATATAGCCCAAGTTGGCCTGGTCTTGATTTTATGATCCTCCTACCTCAGCCTCCCTAGTGCTGGGATTACAGCTGAGTACAACCATACACATAACCCACATTTTTCTTAGAAGGAAAATTAAGCTTTTTCTGGTTTTTAATGTTTAATTAAAATTTTAGCATATAAATTATTAAAACCATTACATTCCAAAAATGAAAATGGTTCTTTTGAAATACTTTAAAATTAGTTTATAGCCAGTTTATACCAATTTAATCTCAACTTTTGGCACACGGAGAAGATGAGGGGTTTATCTAGCATTTTCTAGAGGCAAAGAATGACAAGCAGTCTTTTAGATTACAAACAAATTCCATGCTCTGATTTCATTCCATCTTTAGCACACTGCTACAGCTGGTTTTCTTGCATATCCTTTTCTTAAATTCTTAAGAAATTCTTAATTCACAGAAATTATATTTCTATATAGGATGTTAAATTTGACTTTCAAATTGGCCTGAAATAACAGAAATGCCATAGATTGTGAGGCTCAAGCAATAAACATTTATTTTTCACAGTTCCGGGAGTTGGAAAGTCCAAGATCAAGGCGCTAGTAGATTCTGTGTCTGATGCGAGCTTGCTTCTTTCTTGGTTCTTAGACCTCATGTTGCTGTATCCTCATCACATGGTAGAAGGGCTCCAGTACTCTCTGGGCCTCTCATAAGGACACTGATCCCAGTGTTCTACTCTTATGACCTCTGAAATGCATGTTTAAAATATCCAATGGCTTTCCAAGACTCAAGCCGCAATACTTAATAATTTTTGCAGAACCAAACTTCATAAAACCTTTCTTGAAAAGAAGAATCAAAATACTAAGCAAGTGAAAGATACCTCCTTGTAAACCATCCTCATGATATTCATTTACATTAACAGGTATACTAAGTTCTTAGTGTTTGATTATCCATTTACCTGAATGTATTCTATTTCTCATGTAAGTGAAAAGAGCTAAGCATGAATAAGTTAAAATATTTTACTGTGCAGCTTTTATAATAAAATAGACTGATGGCAGTTATAAGTTGTGTCTTTTGGATATAAATAATTGGAAGTCCAGTTATTATACACTTGAGGTACATGGAATTCTTATTTAAATGACCCTGGTGTGTCTTTGACTTACGTTACACATAATCTAACTCTCATGTACCGTATCTCTTACTTCCTTTTGCTAGCCTGCTTTATTGAAATAGTTTTTTCTTGAGAGCTGTTTGGAGGCTGTAGGAGGGGAGTGCAGGTACTCATATACCTTTGATGAAGAACAGCCCTCCCCTCTCAGGGAAGGTGGTCTTCTCTTTGACAGTTTTAGGAGAGACGCATTTGGAAGCGTGAGGGAGGAAGAGGACACCTGTCTGGCCAGCGAGATCAGCTAAATCACCCTGGCAATCAGTAGGAAGACATGTTACAGCCACATCGCCCTCAAATGGTTTTATTTATATATCCCTGTGTTTCTGTTGATAATTTTTTACATCTAAACAACTGGGATTATTATAAACAAAAACATTTTTTGCACTGAAATATAACTGACATACCAGGACTGGGGGCGTGGCACAATTGGTAGAGCGCCTGCCTAGCAAGTGCAAGTCTGAGTTCAACCCCTATGACCGCCAAAAAAAAAAAAAAAGTTTAAGTTTATATACCATAAAATCCACCCTTTAAAGTGCATAATCCAGTGATTTTTAGTATGTCTATATAGCCATCACCTCTAATTCCAAACATTTTCATCTCCTCAAAGAAACACTGTATAAAGCATTATTTTTACAACTTAATGTCTACGTAAGTGAGCTTTCTTTCCCCCAAAGTAATCTCTAGGAGTAATCTCATCTCCTAAGTGTGCATCTTTTGGCACCATAATTTTCCCTACCCTATACCCCTTTTAAGTCTTTCGGAGATAGATACATAGTGCAGGCTGGCCAAACTAATGGTCCTCCTGCCTCAGCCTCTTGAGGTGTGTGCTGCCATTAAGTGTCTTTATAAGCATCTCCCGCTGTCCCTTTTCCTAACAGTTTTATCTGTTGGAGAACTTTTAAGTTTCCTGTCTTGGGATTTGTTGATTGCTTACTCATAGTATAGTTCAGATTAGCATTTTTCTTTATTTTCTTGAGACAGGTCTCACCATGTAGCCCAGGATGACCTCAAATTCACTTTGTAGTCCAGGCTGGCCTTAAACTTGTGGTCTTTCTGCCTTAGCTTCTCAAATTCTGGGATTACAGGCATGAACTACTGTGCCCAGATCAGTGTTCTTCTGTTAGGTTTGGTTTTTTTTGTTTTGTTTTTGGGGGTGGTGGTAGTACTGGAGTTTGAACTCAGGGCCTCATGTTTGCTAGGTAGGTGCTCTACCACTTGAGCACTCCGCCAGCAGATCAGTATTTTTCAATGCAGAAAAGTAATCATGATTCTACATCAGAGATACAAAATAAAAATTTTTGTTGAACATATTTCCTTTGTGTTTTGTTCTATGGTACTGGGGGTTTAACTCAGGGCCACACACATACTAGGCAGGTGCTCTCCCAGTTGAGTCACTGTGCCAGCCCTTTTTGCACTGGTCATTTTTCTCTGGGCCAACCTAGACTTCAGTCCTCCTATTTGTATTTCTCTGCATAGCTAGGATGACAGGCATGTGCCACCACACCCAGCCATTGGTTGAGATAGGGTCTCTGACTTTTTTGTTCAGGCTGGCCTCCAACTGCAGTCCTTCCAATCTCCACCTCTCGATTAGATAGGATTATAGGTTTGAGCCACTCTTCCCAGCCTGTTACCTTATTTATGGTAGGGAAAATAAAGCTGTATGAATGCATAGCTGCTCTTTATGTAGCTGCTTGATAAGTAATAATGGAATGCTCCAAATTAGTCCCAAATCAGATTTCTCAGAAAATAGCATGACAGGATAGAAGTCAAATACATGAGCTATGTGAGACCCATATGTGGATGTTTGGCTAGGGTAAAAGTGATGAATAGTTGGTGACTTGCATAGGTTGAATTTGGCTACAGACAGAGGAATCAACTTACTATCTATACTAAGAAGAATCAGTGAGTGTAGTGCCATTTTATGGAGAACATAGCTGAAATCCAAATCAATGATTATATGCCCTCTCCATATCATACTCTGCCCCAGAAGGTTAAAGAATTTATCTATTTCCTTATGATGCTCCCCATCCTGCTACAGCTGCTGTAGTTAATGGCACGAAGACTATGATTTACTGGTCTTAAAAAATCAAAAATTAAAATTTAATTTGGAAATCACAAATAATATGCCAGTGTCGCAAAAAAGAATGGAGAAAAAAATAAGGCCATTTGGGTTTGACTACTTTTACTTAGAGACTTTGCTCTTCAAAAGAGCTTCGTTCATTAACACTCCTTAAATAGCATTTCCAAATCATCTTACGACATGTAATCTTTAATATAGGTCACAGGATTCCTGTCATAGCTTAAAGCATGAGGAAAGGTTTTGATAGCCTAAACATTTTAAAATGTGGATATATGCATTTCATTTATAATAGAAAACAAGTTGTAATGGTACTATAACGATACAAGGGATTAATGATTCAAATTGAGGAACCTCCTTTACATTTCTTTGAGTGAGACAGATTAACACAAGAAATAATTTGTCCAACTGAATATTAAATTTCTTATTAGAAAATGGTTTTAAACTCAGAGTTACACTGAAGAGTCAGTGACTGAAGTTTTAATACTCTGTCCACCTTGTAAGACATTAATTTACTGAATAATTTCTATGTGAATCTCTGTACAGGCTTTCTAAAAATCATGAAAGCCTTGTTATCCAAACAAACCACCTTTCTATTACATTTTGTCACCTGATTTACAGTTTAGACAGTTTGAAGAGATTTAAACGTGTTGCTAGGCAACTAGCTCCAGAAGCATAACGTATTTCCTTCAACATCCCAGCCCATTCTTTTTTATCATCTTCATACCTGATGGAAGAACAACAAAACAAGCAGTTTTTAAACAGTTCTATAGGTTTCCTTGTGTTCAGCATACAAATATGGATCTTTGAAAAATATCCTTATCCAGAGGAGCTGGTAGAATAACATTTGAATTCCTTTCAAAGTATGCATTCTCTGAATGAGCATATACAAACTTTGCCACAGTATTTAATCTAGATGCCTAGGAGTTTCAACCTTCTCAGAATCAGACCGTCCAGAGAAGAGTATTAGCTAAACAGTTAATCATTCACCTTTGGACCTATAAAAGATAGCTGGTTTCATGAGTCAAAGTAAGCAAGCTCTTTCTTAAGAGGAAGAGCAGGGACTGTTAGTACCCTTAATTATGATTTCAACTGTTCCCACACACTAGTGCCTAATGTGGCATCTGATACACAGTGGTCACTCTGAAAATGTATTCCCCTTTCTTGGTGTTTAGGGCTACTCTTAGACTTGGCACGTGACTTCAGTTAAGGACTGGTCTTCATCTCTGAGTATTCAAGATAATAAAGATACAACATGAATTCCCTTGAAATGTGTGCCCAATATATGTCCTCTGCCTGGTGCATGGAATGCTGTATTTGTGAGAAAATCTTGAATACTGCCTTCTCTCTGAAGCCTTTCTCACCTTTCTCAAGCAGAGGTTATTCCTTGCTTCATTTCCCACATAGTCTGTTATATGGTATTATAGAAATTATCATTCTGTTTAAAATTTTCTTCCTGTGTCTGCATGCTCAACAAGCCTAAAAGTATTTAAGGACACTTTAGTATCATCTCTGTTCTAAAAGTTACCAACTCTTGGCATATAGGAAGAACGAGGACTACCCTCAGGCTTAGTGGTCTGCCTTTACTGACCAGGTATAAGTGGTACTCTTTCAAAGCTCTACCTATGAACTTAAATGTGCAAGCAAACCAACTGGAAATTTGTTAAAATGCAGGTTCTAATTCAGTAGATCTGAGGTGGGGCCTGAGATTCTGTATTTTTGAGGCAGGGTCTTGCTGTGTAGCCCACTAACCCAGGCTGACTTGAGACTCGATACGTAGCCCACGCTGGACTCAAACTGTCTGTCTTCCTGTCTCTGCTTCCCAAGTGTTGGGATTACAGGTGTGTACCAGCATGTTCTGCACTTTTAAGCAGCTCCTGGGGGATGCCAATGATACTGCTGTTCTACAGACTTTGAGTTGCAAGGCCCTGGACAAGCTGGTAACAGACCAGGTAAAGGCATCCAGCCTTGTAAGTGGGTGCTGGCCTTTAAGCTGACAGGAAAGCATGAGTGTGGCAGTTTCTGGTGAGTATGCAGCATGAGCTCACTTATGTTCACTTTGGGCACCTGAGATCTAACTTCTTGAAAGCTGATAAGCAAGTACAGTGCATGGCCTGAGATAGCAGGGACCACTGCGCAGACACATGTAGTATCCTCATGGACATCTTGGTGACAGGATATCTACATACCATGTGCTCTGCCCACACCATGTGCCATACTGCATAACTTAAACTCCTGCTCCTGAGACCTCCTGAACCTTGCAAAATGTGTTCCCTGCCCCTTTTTAAAAAACATTAAAACTAAAATAGTTCAATTGAATAACAATTCCAAGCGTCACCCTTGGGAGAATTGCCCCATACCTATCTGGGAGGTAAAATGGATTGCTACTTTCACTTTTTTCTTTTTAAAAAGGTCTTTGTCAACTGAATCCTCAACTGGAAAAATAAATTTGATTCAAAATGGATTTAATGAATTCATGGAAAACTCAAGAGGTTAAATGTTTCTTCAGAGCTGTGTTTTCTTAGGAAATAAACTAGTCTCTAGTGGAAAATAAACTATTCTTTCCTCTACCGAATCCTTGGAGCATTGCATTTATAGGGCTGAAATGGAGCTTAAACAGTTCAGCCTTCAATTTTACAGGTAGAGAAACAAGCCCAGATAAGTTCTTTCCCAGGCTTACAGATAATTAGCAGCAGTACTTAAGCAAGTAAGTATATGTGCAAAAGTTTAATTAGGCTTGAAACATTTAGTCTGTTATCAAGAACTAGTTTCCCTGTTGGCAAAGTCTGGCTTATTATTGACTACAAAATTATCGTTATCTGATTTAATATTTGGTTCCAAAAGTTGGAGTAAGGAGAACTTACTTCCATATGTCATTGACTTCGGTGGGTGCAAACTCTTTAGATTCCAGCTGAATCATAGCAAAGCCACCAATGGCATAGAGGGACCCAGCCAGGCTGACCAAGCTGATGGAGCTTCTTTCTTGGGGAAATTCAGTCATTACTTCCCACCTGTGTATTTTATTGAAAATATAGTTAGTGTGCAACTTAAATAAATGCTAAATGTATCTACTGAACAATTACAGGAAATTACAATTTAAAATTCAAGCAGTCAAAATTCATACATAATCATCAACATTTTGGTGTAATTTTGTCATTTTAAAAGAATAAATATAAGCATTCACAGATATGTGTGAAACTAAGAACACAAAGTATTCACAATTTTGTGTGCAGGTGCCTTTTTTATTGTGTGGTACTGGGGTTTGAACTCAGGGTTTTGAGCTTGCAGAGCAGGCACTCTACTGCTTGAGTCACCTCTCCAGTTTATTTTTGCTCTGGTTATTTTTTTGAGGTTGTGTCTTGCAAACTGTTTGTCTCGGCTGGCCTTGAGTGGAGATCCTCCCGATCTCTTAGCCTCCCAAGTCACTAGGATTACAGGCGTGAGCCACTGGTGCCTGGCTATGTGCAGAGCCGTTGAGCGTCTTGCATCATGTTTACCCACATTACACAGCCTTCACGAGTGTCGACTGCTTTGCCTTGCACACACTAGACGGGTGCACTGCCACTGAGCTATATCCCAAGTCCAGGAACATAATGTTAGTGATCATGAAAGTTCTTTGTGACTTTCAGATATCAAAGTCTGTTTTGTAATCAAGCATATATGGTTTCCTAAGAAAAGGAATAACAGTACTCCAATTTTTCTTCATCATTAAACTAGGAATATAAAAACTATGTACTCATCCAGAGGTGTGACTCAAAAACTTTAACAAGACTGTTTTCATATAAAGAAAATCTTTTGGGCTGGCGGAGTGGCACTGGTGGTACAGTGCCTGCCTAGCAAGCTCAAGGCCCTGAATTCAAACCCCAGGTATTCAAGTGTCTTTTCACATTAAGTCAACAAAAGCTTAAAGATGATAAATTTAAGAAAAATTACAGAGTACGAAGGAATAAGCATGCATATTTTACAAATGCCAGTCATTAACAAGTAAAGATCTTTTAATCCTTAAAGAAACTACATACTCCAAATCAAACAACCATTAAGATGTAAACCATCCGTTTACACATACACTATTACTCAGAGGTGCTATCTTTGCATGACTAAATAAATTTAATAACTAAGAACACAGTTCATGCCAACATTAACTTGATGGCTGTGTGTTCCAAATTACCAACACTTTAGATCTCCAAAAAGGAGTTTTACACCCAGTAGCAGCAGAAGAAACCCAGGTGAAAATACTTCCTCTTTAATCTATGCCTTGCTGCCTTTCCTTCCCCATGTCTTAATTAGAAAGCTTAATTTCTAGCCACATGTTCAGTGATTCATATGTTGTAGCAAAGCAACTCACTTATTGGTTTTGAGGTCAAAAGCTTCAACTGAAGCTGAAAGACCATCCTCAGTGACTCCTCCTGCAATCACAATTTTGCCTTTATGGACAGCCACTCCAAACATGGAACGTGGGGTTTTCATTGGAGCCAGATCTTTCCAGTCTCCTTTCTTGGGGTTGTAGATGAACACTCTGTTTGTACACTTTCTGTAAGCATAGAAGGCAATGAATGTTCCTTTTAGAATCTTTTTTAAAAGCAACTTCATTTATAATTTGGCTCTGCTTCTCATTATGATGTAATGCTTCATTTAAAAAAAATCTGGGAATATACATTAGACAACTAGTGACATGGGCTGATGAGCCGTGGAGTTTTGAGGGCTAAGCCACAAAACTTGGATTCACTGAAATTATCCTCTGTGTGTTCCTTAAAGTTATCGTACTTGAGTAATGGGACTTCAGAAATCTCAATAATAACTAAATAACTGACACCAAAAAAACAGACAAAACTCCACCCAAACTTCTTCTGAGGGTAATGTTTTTCCCTTATGGAGGAGCAGCTATCTGGAGTAGAGCATTTCCTGTAGTATTTGACTATAGGTATCACTGGAAAGCTTCTTGGTAAGCGCATGATACAAATCGTATTCTTTGAATTCACTGCTGTTCATGCATTTTCAACCCTTACTTTTATTTAAAAAAACTCTCTGTGGATAGGGATCCAACCCAGGACCTTGCACATGCTAGACAAATACTCTTCCAGGGAACTACATCCCTCACCCCAGCCCTTACTTTCAGATGATTCCCTTCACAGTTCTTGACTTTGACATTTGTTAAGCAGTGTTGTCTAAGTAATCATATTCGTAAGATTCATACATTCTCACAAGACCTGTACACTTATTACCACCATCTCAATTGCCTAGTTCCCAATGCTATTCAAGGGAAACAATTTAAATCATCTGGCAGACTTCCAATGTTTCCAAAGCCAGAACTTACTTAACAGAGATTTTTTCATTCTATTTCTTCTGGGAATAAATGCCACTGGGTGGGTTATTTGTTTTGTTTTGAGATAGAGTATTGCTGTGTAGCCTGGGCTGACTTCAGACTTGATATGAAGCCAGGCTGGCCTCAAACTCTCAATCCTTCCGCTTCCCAAATGCTAGGATTACAAGAGAGCACCACCATACCCTGCTACTTTCCTTTAAATATTCATTTGATGCAAATAGCAAGAATTAAGGAGGATATAAAAATTTCAAAATATTACCTTTGACGATGGAGAGATCATATAAAATTATTGCTTTAAATCATATTTTCTATGCTATATTTATCATTTTAATTGAATAATAACCATTAATTATTAACTCCAGAATATAGAGTTCCTTACTTTTTAACACATTTCCATATTTGACTTCCCCTTCTTGCTGTGCCCCTGCAATTCTTGTTGTTTGAGATGGGGTCTTACTATATGGCCCAGGCCAATCTTGAACTTTGGGGCTCAAATGATCTTTGCACCTCAGCATCCCAAATAGCTGGGAGTATGGGCACGTACCACTGTACCTGGTTACGCCCTTACAATTTGTTAGTTTGGTTCCTTTTCCAGGAGTGGCCATCTGGATTAATTAAAAACCTGGACAAATTATTATAAGCCAAATCAAGTAAGTTATCAGGGGAAGGAAGTAAATCCCTTTCAAAAGTATTTTAGTAGTGTGTGTTAACTGTACAAAATAATGGATTTCATTATGGGGGAATTCTCACAATGTAAACTAAAAATGTTCATTTAACCATAACAGTTCTAGCTTCACTGACTGACGCAGCTCTCTAAACTCATGTCTCCTCCGTCTGAGCTATAAGATCTCCTTCCTAATTACCTGTCCCCTGAGAAGTGACATATATGAAACTTCATTCTGGTTTTCTCAGAAAAGGCTAGACCCACCAGGAGACTTTGGAGCATCTGTCCTTTTTAAGTGGTGCCTGTTTTGAAAAGCTGTTAAATATTTTGAACGCTACTTCTCTCAGGGAGTGACATGTTGATGAAATCATTGTCTTCTTTCTAATTACCATGCTTTTCAGTTTCAAATTGAACTATCTGAATTCCCGCTTATGAATATAAAGTAAAAATCCACAATATTTTCTATGCACCACTGTTTTCATAGATATATTTTAAATACTACGTTAAATACATTCAAAATTTTATCTACTTATGGTTAATTGAATATGAAAGCCAATGGTTTTAATGTAGCAAAACATGATTATAAGCCAGGCTTGGTGGCACAAGTCTGTAATCCCAGCATTCAGAAGGCTAAGTAAGGTGGGAGGATTGTGAGTTTGGGGCTATCCTAGGCTACATAAATCAGCTAAATAAAAAACTTGACTATGCTCCTAGATGCTAGACTGATGTATTATGCTCATCGTAACGGTATGCTAGGTATCTACATATTTACTTTAGCAACTTTTAAACTTTATTGTTTTCCTTCAGAAAAAAATATATATCCTCCAATAAGTTTTCAAATTTTTATTTTGAAATCATATCTCCAAGGATGATAACCAAGTCCCATTTCTGGATATAGATTCAAATGAAAAGAGGAAGAAACCATTGTACTAAAAATTCATTTGGCTATAAATCAAAAGGAAATTTCAGGGCACTTACTTGTCGTCTGTCTTTCCGCCTAGGCAATATATCATCCCATTATGTGAAATCACATTATGGCCATAGACTTTGATAGGAAGATTTTTTACTTCATTCCATTTTGCAGCCCTAAAATGAGATGACAGAATTTATGCTTTCAGTAGATGTGGATTTGCTGTAGGCATACCCAAATGCTTAGGAAACAGGAATGTCATGCCAACTTACACAGGATCATAGCACAGGACTGAATCCAGCGAAGCCTCTGTTTGAAGATCTTTGCCTGCAACTACATATATTTTGTCATCTACCTCTCCCAGACCAAAGAGACACCTGGCTGAAGGTAGAGGTGGAAGTCCAACCCACTCAGATGCTATGTTATCAAGCTGAAAAAAATACATGAGGAACTGTGAAGCATGGTAGAAAAGTTATAGGTGTTCCAAAAAAGTATGCTATATTTTATGTGCAGTTTAAAGTTCATTGAGATAGTCAAAGATCTCATAAGTAAAAGCTATCAATCCCAAAGTATCATAGTCTAGCCCACCAAAATAAAGTACCAAAAATTTCAAGATTTCAAGAAAGCAAAAAGAATAAAATAGAATCAGCAGAGGTTAGTGAGAATGGTGAGATTTCTTATCAGATTTTCTTCCCATGGTGCCTTATTCAGCTTTGAAACAAGGACTCTTAATACTTTCAGGACACTGGAAAAAGACAGGTTGTCACAGCAGAGAGGGTCATAGTATGTGAATGACCCCTGAATGCTATATTTAACATGCTCCCCAGGCCAGCAACCTAGACAGCTGGACCTGTCACTCAGCCCAGACAACTGGGAGGTTAGGCAATGCCATTTTTCATTCTTTTAAGCATTTTTAGGTTCCCCATGTTTTGCTTTATTACTTCTGAAACAGGCAGATATTAATGTCTGTCTCCTAGTCTTTTGGGGAGCCATCTTTTTTGGATTTAGATAGTAAGAAGTAACTTGGCTTGTTTTTTATGTTGTCTACAATGCCCCTGCCAGTGCCCATGCTCCAGGGTGGATGGTTCTGGTGTGACTGGCATCCATTTCAGCACTTACTATTTGTAATCTTAAGGTTTTTTACTTTGCATTTTAAGACATCAAGGCACAAGAAAACTTTTCTGAGGAAGGGCAGCTTTAGACATGTTCTTTCTGGTGCCACTTCTGGGTAGCAGAAGAAAAATGTGTAAAACAGATTCATCGGATACTAAGCATAGCTGTGAATAGAATAGGCTGTTGGATAGGGAAGGGCATCTGTGGAAGCTTCTTTATATATGGTATCGTACCCCAATTAAATAAAGCACGAAAACCAGAAGACCTAACATGAGGTTTAATCCCTGCATGTGTGTTGCTAGCTCTGCATTCATTAATTTCCACAACTAGGTTGTGATCCCTAAGGTTTTTGTTTTTGAAAAAAATGCCTGAGGGCTCAGTTTGCACACTGTACTGTACTGTCTACCTTCTCATATTACCCTTATGTGGACATTCTATAGCAGATGGAATGGTAGATTGTTGGTCAGTTCTTACAGATGAGCTATCAATACTCTGTTTTCTCTTCAGATCATGAGAGTCTCTCACTGTTTGCTAAAGATGAGATATCAAGCTTTCTAACCTCTCTAGGTCTTTACTTTCCTCATTGTAAAAATTAGAGTTTGGACCTAGATTTCTTCAAGACTTGGTGCTGTCCAAAATTTGATGAATCTATTAATTTTATGGGGGGGAGGAGAGAAATAAAACTCTCTTATTAAGGCAAAAAATTCTTGGAGTCTATACAATCAAATGCTAAATTACTCCTAAATTAATACATTTTAAGCACATATAATCAGGCAGAAAAATTCTCATGCAGACATTTGACAGCTGCAACCCTTTTTTATGGCCAGATGTTTTAATCCTGGTATCTTATTTTACCATTTTTGCCTTTTTAAAGTGTCAAGGCATCGGTAGTGACAGGGAGTTGACTTTCCAACTTTGTATGACTATTTTGGTAGCTTTAAAGAACATCAAGCAGGTTTCTTGAGTAAGAAAAACAAAGCCATGTCAGGAAAGTAAGGATGGGAATAGGATAGAAGGGAATAAAGATAAAGGTTAAACCGAACATTTGAAAGGGACTGTGTTGTGAATTTATTTTTTTATTTGGTGCTGGGGAATCAAACCCAGAGCCTTGTGTGTGTTGGGCTGAGCACACACTCTACCACTTAGCATCACAACCAGCCCTGTATTCAATAAGCTAAATATGAAATGGAGGTATAGGTGTTTGGGGGAGTTATTCTATTGGCTATTCCTTAGATCTGTATTTTATCTGTATCTATCTGTCCATCTATCTATGTTTGTATTTTGATATTTTTACTTCCTAGATATATTTTTAGTGTTTTCAGTGTATTTGTCCTTTCTGAAATTAATATGAATTTTAAATTAGGGACTGGAGGTGTGGCTCAAGCACTAGAATGCCTGCTAAGTGCTAAGCCTTGAATTTGAACCCCAGTCTCACAAAAAAAAAAAAAAAGTGTTTAGGAAACTCTGGCCCACATTCAAATACTTGCAACATTTTTCACTAGAGTTTTGAAAATTAAGAAACATGACTAATATGTACGGTATTGTGACTTTTTTAACATTAGAAAAAGTTGATTGAAGGTAGTATTTTGTGAATGCGCAGTATGTCATGTACTTTGAGAGCATACTCTGACTGTGGTATGACATTCTACACTTGCTTATCTTTGGCCTTTTCAAGTCAAGTGCCGGTAAATCCCAGGCCATGATTAGCTATGACCTAAACACACTCTTTTGGGCCAGCTGTAATCTACAGAGTATTGGCACTGACATTACTGGAGATAAAGGTGAAGCCACAGATTCCTTCACAGGCTGGTAAGCCATAATGCATTGATAAAACGGAACAAAGTCCCTTGAAACACACAAAGTGTCCATTAGGTTAGGAAGACTTGTTTTCCTGGAAACAGGAAAAAAAAAATGTTTTACAGGACGGGTTACTGAGTTATAATAATGGCTAACTGTAACTCTGATCCAAATATATGTGTTAATATAAGCATAACCTCCTAAATAAAATTAATTCAAATTAGTGACATTTGTGAACAGTTTTTTTCTACATAATCCAAAGTGTGTAGAATATGTACACAAGTCATTTCTCATTTCAACAAAATTATATTTTAGATAGTAACTATACATAAAGATGAAATGCTATATCCAAGAACTTCAAGCTCAAGGAAAAAAGGAAACTTGGAAGAGAGTAGAAAACCTGACCAATTACTACTCCTTTATAATGTGTAAAGTACTTTGATATAAGGAAATGATTTCTTTACGGAACAACATTTATATTGCAGGTAAGAGTTTTTAGTAAAGTACTGGGCTTTGAAGGATTACAAATCACCATCAAGTATAAACATAACATTTTGGGTAAAAAAAGTGTAAAGAAAATCTTAAGTTGTAATTTAAAAATTGTTACCTACACTTCACCATACTTCCTGTTAAATACTAACAGACAAATTAAATATTTCTGTCCACCCTCTAAAGTCATAAAAGTACAGGGATTGCAGTAAGACATCAATTAGAATAAAATGCAAGAAGCCTAGATAGCTCATCTAGCTACCTGGATGGCAAATAACAGCCTCCTCTATGTCTCTATCTAAAAATCGTCCATCTTACCTGGAAAAAGTACGACTGTAGAGGTTGATCCTTATTTTCTTCATCCACATAGAGTCCTCCTACCACATATACCTGGTTTTGTTGGGTAACGATGCTGGAATGATTTCTGGGGATCTGCTCCGCCAGTGCAGTAAGGTAGCATTCATTCTCTGTGGGATCATAAGCCACTGCAGCTGTGTCATTCACCAAGAGGATAAGGTCTTGACAAACATTCCATGCCTGGGAATGTCATTCAGGTAACCAGGAAGTAAGTCTTCATCACCCACATCGCCATTCACCTCACCAGTCCCAGTCTTCTGTGCATTTTTGCTAGGTTCTGGGAGTTTGCCTGCGAATGCATCTTTTAGAATCTTGATTTTTTTCTGAAGTTCTGGGTTGCTTTTAATCATGTCATCTTTCTCAACATGATCTTTAAAATATTTTTCTGTCATAAGTCGAAAACGGATACAATCAAACACTTCACTAAGATTTTTAACCCTGTTTTCTCTGTCTGTTCGCACCCATTTCATCACTGCCTCAAATACTACTTCTTCCTTTTCTACGTTTAGACTGTCATTTGAAATGACTGACATCAGTTCCTGTGGAGACAGTTGCATGAAGTCCTCTTCCTTACAAATCTGCACGAAGCGATCAGACACAAACTCCCGGGCAGAAAGGGCGAGTCTGGGACAGTCAAGAAGAAGTCCTAATCTCAGGATGGCTAGACAGTTACCAGGAGCAAGCCTTTTCTGAAGATAGGAAACACAGACGGTGAACACCGAAGGGATCTGAAAGCGGCTAGCCAAGGCAAAAATATCTTGCACGTTTCCATCATTGAGGTCAATAGTGGCAGAGTACAGGTATTTGATGATTAAATCAAGTATAGCAGGATCCACATTATCTAGTACTACCTCCTTCTTTTTTTCCTCATCAATTTCAGATAAAAAATACTCACGGAAGTAAGGACTACAAGCTGACAAAATCAATCTGTGGCAAGGAAGACTTTTGTCACCTGCTTTTAGGGTGCAATCGATGAATTTTTTCTCATCCAGGAGATCTTTTAGACCGTCCTGAAGAAGGGTGGATTGGTAAAGCCGCAGTTCCTCTGCAAGTTCCCGCTGGGAATCCATTTTGTGACAAACCTGGGTAAGGAAGGGGACACTGAGGGCCTTAGCTCCTTGCAGCACACAGGTCTAGCTGTAAAAAGGCAGATCAGTGTGCTTTGCCCAGCTTGAAGCCTTTGCAACTTAATCCCACCGGCTAAATATAGATGCCAACTCTTAACAACGGGAATTTAGGAGAGCTACTTTGGAAAGAAGAGTTGTTCTTGCAGCTGTTATAGATTGAAAGTAACAACTGGAACTTTTAGTCACTAAGGAAACAGCTAAGAACAAGGCATTTAGGTGAAGTAGACAGCTTTAAAATTCATAAAGCATTAGAAGATATACTAATAAGACTACCACAAGAAAATGTTTACCAAACCAACAGGAAAATGAATCATAAAAATGAGTCACTCCTCTAAAAGTGGCCTAGTGGCAAGCTGCTTGGCTCTCTGAATTAATGATGAAAAGGTCAAGAACATGAGGCGAGTCCATTTGAATTCTTGTAAGAGAGATCCTCTTTCCAACAATTGTTATTGCGAATTTTTTATTTTCTACTCAAAATGGTGGGATATAGATTTTTATTTTAGAAGTAGGAAATTTAAAGATGTTTACTTGTGCATTATAATTATAGTTTTATAAAAACCTTTGAAATGGTACCTCCATCACAACTGAAATAACAAATGCAGAGAAACTAATTTTCTAAGACATTCTAAATTATCTTTGATCTTAAGTGAGGAAACTAAAATTAGTATTGAATTAAGTTATAAAATTATTTAATTTATTTCCACCATGCTTTGGTGTACCAAGGATTTGATAATAATAAGGAAATGAGGGCTCAAGTGGTAGAGTGCCTGCCTAGCAAGTGTGAAGCCCTGAGTTCAATCCCCAGTACTGCCAAACACAAGAAAAGGCGGCAAAATTTTAAAAGAAATACTGAAGACTAGAGAAAAAAAAGTCAATGTTAGGGAAAGAGAAGACCCATACACATATAAATATGATCACTGTAGATACTTTGTAATTTTAAGATAATTTGAAAATTATCTTTCATTAAATAAAAAGTTAAAAAATAGAACAGATGTAACAGTCATGATAAAGTGCTACATCACCTGTAATAATTTGGAAATCAGGCTTTATTTAAAAGAAAACACAAACATATACCTATGTGGAATCATACTGTTTTAAGTTGTTAATTATCATAGAATCATGTTAATTCTGGAATTCAGAAGTCATGATCTGAAAGAATTCTTTGCTTTTATATAGATGGTGTCATATATTTCTTCATGAAACACTATTTCATAATCATATTCTGAACTCAGTAGGGCTACAGAAATACTGTAATTTCAAAGGTTGGTTTTTTTTTTTTTTCCTTTTTCTTTTATTATTCATATGTGCATACAAGGCTTGGTTCATTTCTCCCCCCTGCCCCCACCCCCTCCCTTACCACCCACTCCGCCCCCTCCCTCTCCCCCCCACCCCCTCAATACCCAGCAGAAACTATTTTGCCCTTATTTCTAATTTTGTTGTAGAGAGAGTATAAGCAATAATAGGAAGGAACAAGGGTTTTTGCTGGTTGAGATAAGGATAGCTGTACAGGGCGTTGACTCACATTGATTTCCTGTGCGTGGGTGTTCAAAGGCTGGTATTTTTGAGTGTTGTGATGCTGGGTGTCAACCACAGGGTCTTGTGCGTGCTAAGTAAGTACTCGACCACCAGCCAAAGGTTGGTGCTCTTAAACATGTCCGTGCCCAAAAGAATATAAGCTCCATGAAGTTTTTGTTTTGTTGTTCTGCTTTGTCTGTGCTGATGCCATAGTCCCTAGGCCTCATGGGTGCTCCATAAATATTTATTGAGTGAATGAATGCCCCAGATCAGGGAATTCTATGTTTTTAAACTTCAAGTTCCTATCCATGAGTAAAAGCTCTTTTATTTTACATCACAGTGAAGTCAATGGTACTGTCAGCTGCTAAAACAACAGCTGAAAGAAGAGCTCATTGATTCTTTTTCCATTTATAGATGTCATTAAAGGTTTTAACACGCAAGAAAACTAACAGCTGCTGCCTTGTTTAAACAATAAATGAGTCATTTCTCTCTACAAGTAACACCTAACATTTGAAAAGATTAGTAACTCAGATGCAAGCACCCACGATATGACATTTGAGATTCTTCCTTACTAGTGGTCAATTTATAGTTTCTTTCACTTAAAAAGTACCATTAAACAGAATTTATGGCAGCATTTTATTTTTGACCTAAGTTATTATAACTCTATCCCTTAAAGTAGAAATCCTTTTCCACTTAACTGAAGAAAGCCATTTATAGCTTTTGATCAGTGGTTTTTAGTAAACTCAGATTAGTACAAGGTTGTGGTATATGTCTATCTATGGTTGTACATTTTATCACATCTTATTTTGAGTGTTTTTACACACTCATTCCTTTCCCACCAGAGAAAGTAGGCTCCTTTGACTAACTTGAATTATTTTGTCAAAGGTTCTATACCTCTCTGGTGAAAGAGAGCTCACTAAATTTTACCTAAGAAACCAGAAAAAAATAATGTTATTTTTGAAAACTTCAAAGAAGTTTCAGTGAATATAAACAAGAAGAAAGCCAATAAATGAACAAAACAATTCCTTATAAGATAAACATAATTTTGCCAAAACTAAAATGAAATCATTCACAAAATAGCATTCAAAACATTAGAGGGTAATATACACCATCTTAGTTATAATTTTTAGTTTTTACAAAAATGATCCACTAAAAATGACATGTTTAAGGACTATAAATTGTCATACATTTGGCTTACATTTGGGTCTATGTGATATGTATTTAAACCAGATTTTTATAATTTATAAAGGAGTATTTTGATTATTTTGTAAGAATGAACTTATTCTTGTAAATAATACTTTCAAAACATTAAATGGTGCTGCAAAATTCTTTATTAAACCCAACATAATACAGTCATTTAATATCTGAAAACCAAACTTTACAAATATTAAGTATAACACAGACATTTATTTATAAACTAGATACATTTCAATTACAATTTTAAATACAATTTTTATAAAACTGGCAGTTTTCTAAATGATTTTTCCTTAATTATTAAAAAACTCTTTCTTAAAAGCTTTAAATTCAAAGCTCTAAATATAAAAACTATTCCATGCCTTATAGCAGGCAACTAGTATCTGTGCTCTTGAGATATCTTTAAATAGAAATTCAGCTCAACTCAAGATCAACTCATTACTTCCCAAAGTCCCCGTAGTGTGAATCCATCCTTCAATTTCTCTATTGCAAGCCCCAGTTCTTCTGAAAATACAGGTTCACGATCTTGTTGCTTTTTGGGAGGTAAGAGGGTGAGATGGGAACAGAGAAGGCAGGCAAGGAAGAGGAAAAAAACAAAATAGGTTTCACATAAGTTTGTAAATGCTAAATCTTGGAATGTAGAAACTTTAAAAAATATACTAGAGGTAAAATATCCTTACCTTATTACCATCAGCAAAATAAGCCTATAAGACAAAAAAATTATATTTCACATGCTTGATATATAATAGATCAGTGAGCTAAGGAATAGTTAATTAATTTTGACAGTGATTTTGAAATTAAATTATTTCACATTCTGTATGTTTTAATGTTTTTCACTCTTATCTCAACAATGCTAGCATAAAAATTTATTTCTTCTGTCAATCAGTATTAAGGTCTATAAGCTTTATGCTTTAAGTTCCAAACAAATGTGCTTTCTAGTTAATGTTTAACTAGTATTGTTAACCTGAAAGGAGCTAAAAAGAGTGACTTGGGAGCTATAAAATTTCTTCTCTACTTTTGATTTAGAAAAAGTTTCTGGCAAAACAAAACAAATGCAATCAGTATTGCAGTGTATCAGCAAATGCATGTAGGTGGAGGTAGTGATAGTTTATAGTTAAATATTTTATGCCAATTTAATATATTTGTTTGAAAACATTTGTTACCACAGAGGTATTCTGATTAGATTCACAGACCACAGTATGAAGAAAGCATTATTATTATACTGGCTATTAATTAAATAATGCCAACTGGAACAGGCGTAGTTATTGTTCTACCTTCTAAAACAATGTATTTATAGGTTAGTGGAAATTCATCTTATAAAAATTAATTACTGAATGTGTAGATTTAAAATTAATTAAGTATAATACTTAACATGTTCTATTCTCAAGTATGAAAAACCTTTGTCCCATATCTCAAATTCTCTGAATAATTATTCTGAAACTATTTCCTAGTTGGTAATTTAAAAGCATTATCACAAAAGAAGTTCTCTCACTTAAAATTACCTTCAAACTCATGTCAAAGTCTCAGTTTTACAGTGTTCCACATATTTACATCATTATTGGATTAAACATGACTCCGATACAAATCATAAGAAATTTAAAGGTTCTCTTTTTTTTACACTCACCACAAAAGCATCTGTGTGGTCATTAGAGTCTATTTCAACATCATCTTGAATCTGTTCGACTGTCAGAGCTTCAAGAGGCTGTGGCTGAAAATCAAGATGTCAAAATACATCAGTGACAATATTAATTAAACAAGTCACAGAAAAATGTTCTGTGAGAACTGTAAATACTGGTTAAAGGAGAGTACAATTATAACCACTCAATGTATAGTTTACATTCTTTCATTAAAACTAAGTTGAGTAATAAAATTAGTTAAATCTAAGTTTTTAAATCTGAAGTCAACATCATCAAAAAATTAGAATGGGAAATTTACACATATTTAGTATACTTAGAGATATTATAAAAGAAAACATTTTTACCTTAATTTTCTTTCACACAATTAAAAAATTTGATGTAAATAGATCTGAATATATGATCTTACATATATACATACAGGCACACACACACATGTATAAATATATAGAAAGAACATGACTGTAATAGTGGGTCTGTCTGAGGGGACTACAGAGAGGCAGGAGAGAAAAAGAGTGATAGTGAATAATATTGAAACATACTGCATCTATGTATGAAGATAGTATAATGAAATGCACTGAAAGATGCTGAGGGATGGCGGAGTGGCTCAAGTGGTAGAGCACCTATCTAGTAAACAAGAAGCTCTGAATTCAAACCCCATTAATGCCAAAAAAAAGGAAAAAGAAAAAGAAAGGAATATAAGTCCCATGAGACAGAAGAAGTTGAACAGGGCCATTGTACTGAGCAACCCAGGGGAGTACCATTAAACTACATAATAAAGTCTATGTGACTGTTTCCTAGAGCTGGGCAGTGCACAGCCTGAACAACCATATACTTATGGCTGTGCAGATAAGGTGGAGATGGGGGGTCTCACGAACTATTTTCCCAGGCTAGCCTTGAACCACAATCCTCTCAATTTTAGCTTTCCTAGTAGCCAGGATTACAGACATGAGCCACCAATGCCAGGATTGGTTTGCTGTTTCAGCATAGTCAGGGAAGATCTCTCTGAAGACTTCAGAAGGCATACATTGCCTTCAGAAGGCAATGTATATACATGTAAGTAAATGTAAAAATGATAAAATAAAAGGAGAAAGAAAAAAAAGAAAGTTGTGAGTCATCCATAAAAGTACAAGTTAAAGAAGCTGGAGGAGTAGGTGATATTACTGAGGAATATGCAGAGAAAGGACAGTGAAAAGCAGAATGCCTCACTCCTTTCAGAGGGCATGAAGTTGTAACTCTGCTGCCCAGCCTGCTTCCTGATTTCTGTCATCCAATAGCAGAAGGAGAAATAAGAGATAATGGCTGTGATATGGCTCAACAGGCTGAGTACCAACAGGGACACTGACGAGAGGGGCAAGGGGACCAATATTAGGGTGTACAGGTGGGGGCCCCAGCAAAAGAACAGAGAGCAAGGGAAGCTGTGATAGTGAGGGACCAAATTAGGGAGGGCAGCAAGGCCAGTGACAACTGAGCAGATGGAGAGAGCCCCCTGATAACACAGTTGGTGACTATATCAGTGATGGAGCAGACAGTGGGGACTCACCAATAGCCTGTGGAAAGTGCCAGTGACAGACTGGATGACAAGGATCCCTGCTGCAGAGGTGAGTTGAGTCAAAAGAGAGTTGATACACCTAGACAGCAAGGATTGTTGCTACAACCAGAAGTCATGAGGTGGGCATGATACACAAAATATTTCAAAACGTGGTGCGGTGGCATATCTGTAGTCCCAATACTACAGAGGCTGAGGCTGAAACAGGAAGATTGCTTGAGCTCAGGAGTTGGAGATTAGCATGGGCTAATCAACAAACAAAAACCCATAAATATTTCAAAACTAGCATGGCAGAGGCACTAATTAACAGGAATAGCCACAGGCCATGTTGATGGGCAGACTCCTGGAGTGGTTGCTGTGTGGGAATAGGGTTGTATCCACATAGCCTGTAAGGTTTTTCCAAGCTAATGGCAGCTGACATAGAATAAAAAATAAAGCTAATGGAGCGAGAGACTCAAGTCTATCTACCTCAGAGGAGTTCTGCAATGGAGAATGATCTGCTCGCCTAGAGGGCAGCATGGAGGAATGAAAAATGGAAGCAACCAATTAGAAGACAGGCAATAGTTACCAATTAAAGATAGTCCAACTGAGGTGAGGCCATGCTCACTTGACAAAGTCTGTGTATCAAATTTAAAGTTAAAATGTACAAAATGTGTTTATACTTGCATTTTATAGGTAGCATAAAAGCAATTCAGCAAACTCCATATTTCAGATATGGAACAAATTACCTTTTCTTCCATTTCATAATTCACGCCAAATATCGGGCTGGCAGAATAGACTTTGTGAAGTGAATTGATTTCTTTAACTGATTCCTGTAGTTTTTCCACAGGATCTATTTTAAAGCCAAGAACATATCCTCCACTCTACAAGATAATGAAAACGCAAGCCTGAGGAATAATATTTACAGTATATGATAAACTATAGCTCTAATTGCTTTTATTTTAGACCATAATATGTAAACTAATTTTTTAAAAATTAAACTTACTATGAAAAATTTTAGGCACATATGAAAAACAGAAGGTACAATGAGCCTCCACATGGTCACTGAAGAGCTTCAAGCAACATATGGCCAGCTGAGTTTCACTTTTAACTTCTCCCTTACCTGAACCCTCACCCCTCAGGATTATTCTGAAGCACGTCCAGGTGTCACATAATTTCATTTACATATATAAGATGATCTTTTTCAAGATTTAAAAAAATGCATGGCAGACTGGGAAGGCCAAGGACACTAAGTTGTTCTTGAACTGTCCTGAAAAGGACTAGACCCAGTAAGAAGAAAAGAAATGGCCTATTTGAGGCTATCTCTTTGAAGAGTTTGGAAGGACACTTGACTATGATAGGCTGTCAGAGAGAAGTGTTGAACAAGATAATGTGCATATGGCACTGGGTACAGGTTCTGGGATACAGTAGATACTTAATAACTGGCAGCTACAGACCTTGAGAAAAGAGTGAGTAGATATTCATGCTTAAAATTATAAGTGATTATATAAATCATTTTGTAAAAAATGTATTCTAAATGTTTTATTTAAATTATTTCTGAAAAATATAGCAGAATAGGGGTATAGCAGTTTATAATTAGACATATTAGTATAATCTGTGTGTGAGAATATAAAATCTCAAAATATATGTATAATTCTCAAGGAAAGTTGTGAATCACTCCTAGAATTAAAAAATCTAGTCCCACCATATACTAGTTGTGAGACCATGGACCAGGTTCCTAACTTCTCTAGGCCTCAGTTTCCTGGACTAAAAAAGGGGGAAAAATGGTAACATCATGGAGTAATTGGATTAAAAGAATATATGAAAAGCATTTAGCATAGTGATTTGATTCTGTCATCAATAATAAAAGTGATAATCATAATGATGATGATTAAATCTGTCCAACAACAACAAAACCACAGGCCAACCTGGGTATGGTGGCACAGGCCTGTAATCCCAACACTCAGGCGGCTGAAGCAGGAGGATCACGAGTTTTAGGCCATCCTGGGCTACATAGAGAGACCCTGTCTCAAATCAGTCAATCAAACAAACAAAATATATAGGCAGCATTCTTCCTATAGAGACAGTTACCATAGACTTCAACTACTTCATATACCTTCATGTTATAGCTAATATTCCTCTCTGATGTAAACTGGTTACTACACAGATAAAACTAAAAACTTACACTGTTTTATAGTTTTTAAAATTTATTAAAGATTAGTAAGGATGTAAAATATCTTACCTGCTTAGAACTTTCTATGACAAGAGCTAAGCCAAATTTTGAATCTCTAATTTTTATTGAACGCTAAATAAAAAATGAAAAAGAAGAAAATGCATGTTTTTTATTATCCGATAATAGTGACTGTTTAACACACATTTTTAAACTTTTACACAGCATCTACTTTTCATAATCCAAACTATAGAAGTCTCCCCTTTCCTTTGCTAAACCTCCACAGACATCAAGAAAATAAACCAAGACTCATACTGAAAACAAGTACTATATAGAGAAGACATCTTTTCTGACTTAAATATCCCTCACTTCCAGGGAGTCAACAACTTTTTTGAATATTTTACACAAAAAGTGAGTAATATTTTAGTTATGGTAAGCTAGTGTCTTTTGTGGCACCTAAGGCAGGATTTGTTTAAAAGTCACAGGCACCTCCTGTTTCTCACATCATAGATGGCTAACCTCTAAAAGAGCATTAATTTACATTTACTTATTTATTTATTTATTTATTTACTTATGGTGCTGTGGATTGAATGCAGGGCCTGGTGCATACAGGCAAGTGCTCTATCACTGAGCTATACCACAACCCTCCATTTATTTTTAAAAAATAAGTTTTGGGCATTAATCACTGGGCACCAAGAAAGTCTGGGACAATCAAATATAATAACACCAGCTTCCAGTGCAATGTGTGACTACTAAGACAGATCATCAGGAGATGGGAGGTGGCTCCACTAGCCTGGGAGGTGGGGAGGGGGTGAAGAGAGAGAGAGAGAGATCAGGGCAATGGCTGAGGCAGAGAGCTGAAGTTAGAGTATGACTGCTACAGTGACAAGCTGTGATGGTATCAGATGGCAAGCTGGGTCAGGCTGAATTCATTCCAGAGGCCATATATGGCAACTCTATACTTAAATAACAAAAAATATTCTATTTGAAGAACAGAAAGCACAGGTTGTTTACTATTCAGTAATTATTCAGCATAAGAGCGGTTAGGTAAGCTGTACCACATATAAATACAGTATAAAACAGCAACTAACAATACAAGCACCAATTTATCAAACGCTTTTGTAGACTGTCATATTTTCCCAGCCTTGATTACAAATCCTCACATTCCTGACTGGAGACATAGCTCAGTGACGAAGCGCTTGCCTGACATGCGCAAGGCCTGGGGGTTCAATCCCAGCATGACAAACAGAACAAAACAAATGATTATATTTCTTCAGAAGGCCAGAAATAATTTTCTTCCTGTTGAATTCTGTCATTATCCATTCCATGTGTTGCTTTCCTCTACCAGACTGTAAGCTCCTAGGTGTCAGGAAGTGTGTGTTGCCTCATGACTGTTTCCTCTAGCACCTAGCCCAGAGTAGGTGCTCAGTATTTAGCAAATGAATGAATCAGGTATTTTAAAGTAATGCAGAACTCAAACAATTTAGCAAAACATAGGCTTGGGAATGTTTTTCAAAGAATTATCCTTTTCATAGGCCAAGAATTCTCTTTTTAAAATTGAAATATTCCAGATATCACATATACTGTACCTACTCAGTAAATAGTAATAAAATTTTTTAGTAAGACTACTTATACTCTACAATAAGGGTCATTATCATAGGATAACCTCACACTATTTTCATTAACTATTTTTATGTTCTATAAGCAGTTTCTTTATAAACTTTCATGCATGGAGTTTACTGTTTCTCTCACTGAATCACATATTTATCACAGCAGCAGCAGAGTGAAAATAACTTTGTACCTACTCCCAAAGCAAATTGGTCTCAGATGTAGTCAGTTCTTATTCTAAATTTTAACAGCTTTATGTGAATGTAATCCAGAAGTGTCATCACTAACGATCATTTTGCTCCCTTTCAATTAACCTATAGTATGAATCCAGCTGTGTTTCATTGTGTATCTGAATACAATGAAAGAAATTCATTCACAAAACTAATGCATTTTGGCCTCAAAAAACGTTTGGAGCAGAAAGTGACAAGAGAGTCAACAGAAAGCATGTGAACCAGTGTGCTAGAGGCATGCCTAGGATCCACCATTTACCCGCCTCACAGAAAGGTTGTAGAAAGCTCTAGAAGCTAAAGACCTTAACCAGAATCTAATAAAGAAACACCTTACACTGTATGGTAAGTATTTACCATTTTAGAATCTAACATATTTCTCTCTTAATAGCAGATTAATAATGATGCTGTTGTCCTTGAATGTAAAAAATACAATTAAGTCTTTTCTTTGGTGACATAGTACATTATCAACATTTTAAAAAGTATGCTTTTTTAGAATTAACCTAGAAGGTAACACCCACACACAGGAAATCAATGAGAGTCAATGCCCTGTATAGCTATCCTTATCTCAACCAGCAAAAACCCTTGTTCCTTCCTATTATTGCTTATACTCTCTACAACAAAATTAGAAATAAGGGCAAAATAGTTTCTGCTGGGTATTGAGGGGGTGGGGGGGAGAGGGAAGGGGTGGAGTGGGTGGTTAAGGGAGGGGGTGGGGGCAGGGGGGAGAAATGACCCAAGCTTTGTATGCACATATGAATAATAAAAGAAAAAAAAAGTATGCTTTTTTTAATAATCACTGTCACATAAAAAGAGAAAGACAGAAAACTAACCCTTCAAATCCCACTAACTGTCATTAACTATATTATTTATTCTACATTTAAATAAGGTAACCAAAAAGTATATACTTACGATTTGCAAGTATGGTATACTGACATTAAAACTGTCATTCATATTTGCATGCCACACAATTCTCACGTTGGTAATAAAAAAAGTTCCTAAATTTCCCTGGGAAATGAGAGAAAAATCAATGATCATTTGTTTGGATACCTAGTCTCTATTTTCTAAAAGCCAGGATAATTTTTGTATCACAGGAGCAGATTAATGGCAGAACTGAGCATTATGGAATATCAATGACTCCAATATCAAAGCAGTGTAATTAGATGACTGACAGCCTGGACTCTGAAACTATTAATCATTTAACTCTCATTATAGTTAAAACATCTGTATAGTTTCTGACCATAGGCAAACTTCTTGGTGCATTTTGTCAAATATAAAAATGGAAATTTGATTAAATACCCATGTAAATAAAGCCCATTGCACAGTACCTGTCACATAGTAAGTATTTGGTAAATTTTACATCTTACTGTAATTACTATTCAAAACATGAGACAAATCAAAGCAAAGGAGTTGTGCCAAGAGAGAGACAAAACATATATGATAACCCCCATCAATTCACAAGAGATATTTTTTGACTTTTCAACAATAACTATAGATCAAAACTATTCTCTAGCTATAGGACCTTGCAACATCCATTCAAAATTATTCCAGTATGATAGCTAAATAGTCTCAAAAAATCTTTAAGACCTAATGACACAGCATCAAAGTTATTTGTCTATACCATTTATCATTCTCCACCTCCACCCAGTCTCCCATCCCATTCAGAGGAGTTTTCTTTATTTTATCCTTGGAAGTTGGGCATAAAACAACAATCGAACCCAAAAGCCTAAAGAGTTTTGTTCTGTGATATCAGATTTGAAACATCAGAAGTCTTTACCTCAGCTACCTCCCTTACACCTATTCCTGTTTAGGTAGTTGGTCCTTACCCAAACTGCCCTTTTCTTTGTTAATAAATCACTCTTTACTATGCTATGACATTTTGTGGCTCTTTTGCTACTACTAGGGCAGCATCCTAATCTTAGGTGTTGTACTCAAGAACCAAGGAACATATGGAACACCTCATCCACTGGCAACATTTTGATGCTATGATTTGGATCTGCAAAAGAGAAATGGGAAAGAGCTTCCTACGTTGTTATACCTCCAGAAAGAATTCAGCCCCCAGTCCTCAAGCAAAAATGTCTTATTATGCTTGGCCCCAAAATACCCCAGAAGTAATCCAGGCCTACCAATAGGTCTTTAGATAAGAACACCATATGATACACATGTATATTAACAAATGTGTTTTTGTAAGTTGTTATTGGATAGAGGAGACATTTACGATTGCTTTTCTTCCTGGGTCTTCATTGAAAGATGGACATTCTGCAGAAGTACAACTCCTAACAATATAATCTGACCAGTGTTTTGAGACATATCCTACATGACAGACAGAGTTAAACTTAAAATGGACTTCAGGTAAGCCCAGCCTAAAAACCATTCCTTCTAAGCCTCTTAGTTGCTTTAATTAGGCCAAAGGGGTCTTATTGGGATTGGCTCCTGGCTGCTGTTTACTTCACCCCTGATGGGTGGAACATTTTATTCCTGCGACAAGGACGATTAAAGCTGAACTGTTCAGATACAAACAGTTCCAGAGAGAACTGTTTCAAGAGAAGGGAGGATGTTGTCAGAATCAAAATGGAGTCAACTGGGCATGATGTTTCATGCACCTGAGTCCCTGAAACAGAGAGTTTCAGGTTGTCCTGAACTACTAGTAAGACCCTGTCTCAAAGCCAACAGCAAAAATGAGTCAGTTGTGCCAATCCTTCCAAAAGTAACTAAAGCCCTCCCAGTCTCCTTTGACAGAAGGCAAACTCTTGGATGGGGATAAAGGAGGATGATGGAGGGGGTGAATTTAACTAAGATATATTGTAGCACTTTTGTAAATGTCACAATGTATCCTTCGTACAAAAATATGATAATAAAAAATAAAGAAGAAAAGAAGGTTAAACTCTTTTGACTTAGACTCCCTCTGTATTCTGCTTTATAATGGCACTTCTATCTTTAGTCTTAAACAAGAGCTCTTTTTGCTTGCATATTTTAGCCATAGTAACTATTCCCTTCTCAAGTATTAATTTATCCATGACCTATAAACCTATAAAGCTAGCTTGGTTAACATCCTAATCCCCCATGACTGAAAAATGTTTAAACACAAGGGGGTCATAACAGGCACTTAAAACTGCTTTTGCAGTCTGGAGGTATGGCTTCTGCCTAGCAAGTGCAAGGCCTTGAGTTCAAACCTGAAAAAATCAAACAAACAAAAAAGCCTGCTTTTACTAAAAACAGTGACTCTTCACATGGGCCTGCAAATACTCTACCTCCATTTTGTAGGAGATAGGCATCTCCTTTGTGCTAAGCCATTGTCTCCTCAGATCACTTCTGATTCCGGAAACAACAGGACTGGTAAATAAGGTTCTTGTGATGACAGGCAAATGTACTTACACCACTCTGTCCTCCAGATACCAACAACTTTCTTATCCCGACAGGGCCCTGCCTGACCAACCTTGAAACAACGATCACCTGGAGTACACCTTTGACCAAATCTCCTGCCCCTGCTCCTCTCCTGCTACTTGTCTCATTTGGGCTTCTAATCTTTAACACCCTTGTTAATTTTTTCACCTCAGTTACAGATGAGGTTACAGAGTCTCCTCATTCTCAGACAGCACCAACAACTTCCCTTTCCCTCTTGGATATGACATGGCCACTTTATTTTGTGACGACTATAGTCCTGCTGATCCAACAACAGGAAGATTATATTAGCAGCCATCTCTGCCTGAGCCTAATCAACTTTCCCATGTCCTGACAGACGGCAAGACTCTGGACCTCTGAGCACTCCTATTGCCCCTGTCAACAGGAAGCACAATACCCCTGAAAAGAATTCAAGGTCCCGCGCTCTGGATGGGGGAATGTTATTATAGGCAGGTGGGTGGGCATGAAGCAGGAAGAGTTCATTCTAAAACCCCAGGTGAGCCTGGGCTAACATTTAAGACAATGGTCCTTTATCTTCATGAAGTCCACTCCCATATCATGGATGAATCAGGAAGGGCAAAGAGGATGGAATGTGCAGGAATATGCCTGCAGCAGGCATACGCTCAGGCAGCTTCTGCTCAGTGGCAAACAATTTGGGAGGGCCACAAGTAGGAGGCCCTGATTTTTTCCATACCACCTAGTATTCCCACCCAATTGGATAAATCCCCAAATATCCACAGCTTTCAGGAAATCAGCCCTTACTTGAACTGCCTACTTCAGCCCTTAAAGTATAATGTCCCTGTTGAAGAAGTTGGTCCTTACCTGAACTGTCCTTTGCTCTGCTATTATATCACTGTTATGTTAAAAAAAGAAATGATGACCCCATTCTCCAATTATAAATAAACAAAAACATGTGAAGTATATATGTACTCCCTCTCCACTCTTATAAGAAATTGTAATACAATTATTCTTGGCCCAAATTTCATTTAACTCCTTATTTCATCATTTCCTCTTATGTAGATAATGACAACTTGCAAAACTCCTAACGACTTCCTAAAAGAATGTATTTTATGTTTCATTACTCTTCAATAAATTCAAGTTAGGCTGATGATAGCAGCCTTGTTTTTAATAAAATGATGTATGTCATAATCCTTTACCACTGAACTATACCCTAGCTTTTATAAAATATTTCTGACCCTTGACCTAAAAGATGAGGCGCTCTTCCAATGGGTCCTGTTCATATCCTATAGAACCTTTATCATACTTAAAACTAGAACTTTTCAAATGAGCAAAGTTAATTTACAGTTTTTATTTGATTTAATGCTTAACAAGTGACTCTTTGGGGCTAGGCATGGTGGCCCACACCTGTATCCCAGCTACTTGGGAGGTAGAGATTAGGAAGACAACAGTTTAAGGACAGCCTGAGCCAAAAGTGAGATCCTATTCTCAACAAGTAAGTCGAGTAGGGGTACACATCTGTAATTCCAGCTACTCAGGTGGTGAAGGAAGGAGGAGCATGGCTCAAGACAGAACCAAGGCAAAAAGCATGGACCCTATCTGAAAAATAACTAAAGCAAAAGAGGATTGGGGGTTGTGGCTCAAGCGGTAGAGCACCTGCCCACACACTTCAGCTCAAGGCCCTAAATTCAAACTCTAGTGCTGCCAAAAAACAAAACCCCCCAAAAACTACCTTCATTCAAAAATGCTATAGTTTTTCCACAGTGGTTAGCAGGCTAATCTAGATTGTAATCCACGTAAAGGCTGAAAACTATTCCTGGTAAGAGATACATTTTTCTCTAGAAATTGATGTTACTTAATCCAACCATTAATTGCTTCCATGTTCCAACTGATCATAATTTCAAGAGAAAATGGAAAGTTACAATGATAGATTTAAGAGTCACCAAATGAGTGGCATGGTGACCCATGTCTGTAATTCTATCACTCCGGAGGCTGAGGCAGGAGGATTGCAAATTCCAGGCCAGCCTGGACTACACAGGGAGACCCTGTATCAAAAAAAAAAGATCACTTACTGAGTTATATGCTTAGCTTCCTAACGACCAGATTAAAGCCAGGCATGGTGGCACATCCCTATAATCCCAACATTTGGGAGACAGAAGCAGGAGGATTACATATTCAAGGCCATCTTGGGCAACACAGTGAGACTCTCTAAAAATGAAAAAAAAACCAAAACCCAAAAAACAAAGGCCATATTAAAAGACTTCTGTGACTGTCCACACCATAGTTCTCCACTAGTATAAGTAATCAAGAGGCAGCGCTCTCCAGGGTGGTGTAGAGTAAGGGGGGAGAGAGGGAGTATGGCTCTGGGATTAACTCTTTGGGGCCTGTGCCTCTCAACGATGAGTGAAGGGAGACTGAACTAGATGATCTCAAAGGTCCATTGCCACTCTCAATTCTGTACAGGACAGAAGCTGCTGAAAAGAGCATAAAACCATAAAAACAAAGTATTACTTCATATCAAGAGCTGTAATGCTAATTTATCAAGAGCTATAATGCTAATTTTAAGAATTAGAGTCAAATAATTATACAAACCCAATAAGAAATGGAAAAATGATTGCTGAAACAATCTCAAAGGTGTGTTAGTTTGTTGCACAATACCTGATCACTGGATAAATTCCATACTCCATTGATTTTATCATATACATGTTCTTGTGGTAATAACCTTAGTTGCTTGTTTTGAATTAGTGCACTTCTCAATTTAAAATCACGATACATTTTAGAAGTTTCATATGCTCTGTAAAAAGAAAAGACCAATCCAAACTGAAAATGTGGTTTTCTTAGGTTACGTTTACTTATCTACTAAAATATCTAGTTATTAGTATTTATGTATAGCACTCAAGTAATTACTACGATAAATTAAAATTTTTTTTTCAGCTGGTCATGGTGGTACATGCCTGTAATCCCCACACATGGGAGGCTAAGGCAGGAGGATAGTGAATAAAGCTAGCATAGGGTTGGGCTCAAGTGGTAGAGCACCTGTCCAGCAAGGGTGAAGCCCTTAGTTCAAGCCACAGTATTGCAAAAAAAAAAAAAAAAAAAAAAGCCCAGTTTAGGTTAGTAGCAAACCCTGACTCAAAACACAACAATAATTTTTTTTTCTTTTCAATGCGGTTTGGTGATTACACCTTTTTTAAAAAAGCCATTTTAGTGCCATATCTACACATTTCAGTAGCCTATTCCTTTCTTTTGTCTTCCTACTTTAGTCAAAGTCATCATTATTCTTTTGACACAAACAGAAGTCCAACAGATGCTTGCATCTCCCTCTGTTGAGAAAAATGAATCTGTACCAAATTCAAAGAGTATTCTGGGGGGAGAAGGAGAGGGAAAGAGAAAGAATAAAATCCTTATCACTTTTCTTTCCATATCATCCTACTGATAATTAACACAAAAAATTCCTATTGATAAACAACAACTGTTAATTCTAATTTCATTCCACATGCAAACAGGCTAATTGACCCATTTAATAAAACTAAAGAACATTCTTAGCCGTAGTAGCTTACATAAATAACTTAATAACTTACATAAATGATAGTATTCATTCTTAAATGTCATCATCAATGCTGTCATCATCACTACTTAACCAGTGGAGAATATGGAAACTGTGTTACAAATTACTTTACTTATACCAGTAAAGAAAAGCAGCTTCCTGCTCCCTTTGCATACCACTAAAAGCTTTTTATTCACAGTACCTTCCTGCTTTTTGGTGGTATGGGTTTGACCTTAGGGCCTTATGCTTGCTAGGTAAGCACTTTACCACTTGAGCCATGCCCCCAGTCACAATACTTCAAGTGAAATAAAAAGTTTAAGTTTAATACATGCCTATGAAAACTGAAAAACATACATTGTTGTTTTTGTGATGTGGGGATGGGACTCAGGGTCTTGAGCATACAAGGCAAGTGTTCAACTACTGAGTTGCATCCCAGTCATGAAGAACACATCCAGACAAAAACTTGTACACAAATATTCATAGGAGTCTTCATAATGGCTAAAATATGGAGCATTTTAAAAAATGGATATTCATCAACTGATGAATGGATAAACAAAATGTGGATACAATGAAATATTAGTCTGATACAAGCTACATACAACATGGATGGACCTTGAAAACATGAAATTAAAGAAGTCAAACACAAAAGGTATGGTTCCATTTATGAAATGTTCAGAACTGACAAATCCATAAAGACAGAAGATAAATTTGTGGTTGTCTGGGGAAATAGGGAGGAGGGCTTTGAGGATGACTGCCATGGGTACAGGGTTTCTTTCTGGGTGCAAGAAATAGTCTGGAATTGGATAATGAGGAGAGTTGCACAACCTGTGAATATTCTGCACTACCAAACTGTGTGCTTTAAGGTAGTAAAATTACATCATATGAATTATATCTCAGTAAAAAATTAAACCATTATGCAAATCACAAACCCATCAACAAAATTAAAAACAAAGTAAACTAGGAAACTAAGAAATATTTGCAACATATGTGATAGATAGTAGTATAATTAAGAAATGTATAATATAAGTCTACATATTAAATACATGAAAAAATTCAACATTACTACTAATAAAAGAAATATAAATTAAGCACTTAAATATCTTGCTATTTTAGCCAAGCTTTTTGTTTTGGCAGTATGGGGTTTCAATTCAGAGCCTTATGCTTCTAGGTAGGCTATCACTTGAACCACACCCGCAGCCCTTTTTTAGATAGGATTTCATTTTTTTCCCCATGACCCACCTTGGACTGCGATCTTCCTACCTATGACTTTGTTAAGATAGGGTCTTGCTAACTTTTTGCCCAGGCTGGCCTCCAGCCAAGGTCCTCCCAATCTCTGCCTCCTGAGTATTGAGATTACAGGTGTGTGCCACCATACCTGATAGTTTGCATATTTTATAAATTCCTTCAAAGGGCTTATTAAATGATAATGAAATGACTTCTAAATAGCTTCATGATATTTGCAATGAAGCTTGGAGGAAGATACTGTCATACCTCTAAACCATCCTCTAAACCTTTATATCACCTAGAATTAGCTTAAAAATACTCAATAATCCATAAAGTATTACCATACCTGCGTACTGCAATCACAGAAGTAAAAAGTCTAGGACTTCCAGGAACCAAATTTGTAAATATAAATTCAAAGCGAGTAGTGTTACATTTTGTTAGTATATAAAGAGCTTCAGTTTGGCCTCGTAATTTCTGTAATGACAAATTTATTTAAAAATTCAGATTTGAAGAGCAATTTCTCATTTAAAGTGAAAACATTAATAACAAATATCTAATGTTCCTTCACTATATATATATGTATATATATTTCAATAAGATTTTTCAGACTTACAGAGTTAGCCGTCCTTATTGTAATATTCAATATGCAGTTGTAACCGATAGCTAAAATTCAAAACAAAGAATTTAAAGCAACATGATATGGTATGTTTTTCTCAATAGCATGAGAAAAATGCTACTGTAAAAAATATACACAGAAGTTTAGGCAGTTTAAAAAATTAAACATAAACAGAAATATAACTTTTAAAACTTTTTATGAAACTACAAATTTCAGTTAAATAATTAAAAGAACTAGAAAGTCAATTCTGTCTCTTTGAACAAACAAAACTTTCACAGTATGGGAAAAAAAGGAAACAGGCTTTTCTAAAACTCATACATAGCATTATTTACTGAGATTCTTAGGGTCACTAAGTCAAAAGAAAAAGTCTAGCCAGATAATCTAAAACAGTTTTAAAAAATAAGGAAAACAAATTTAATAAAGGCCACTTTTATTAGAACTTATATCTCCTTTTTTGGGATTTCTTGAAACAAGATGTCAAAAATGAGCAAAAACTATTCAGTGTAAAAGCACTAGTCTCCTATATGTCCAAGACACAAAATGAAAAGACTGACAAATAAGAATGGATCGTTTCTTCTACATTATGATGTAGTCTGTGGTTAGTTCAGGATTTCTGAAGTTTTTTAAAAAATCCATTTAAGATTTCCACATGTTTTATAGTATTGCTTTTTTTGATACTGAAATCTACTATTCAACTTCCTGATAAGGGATGTTTTCTTTAGCATTTTATCCAAGGAGAATACTTACAAAGATTGACTCTGATTAATGCCAAAGAGTGCCAGATAATTCTTAAGTTTGTTACTAAGAGTCTACCTAAAAGAAGCAAACAAATAAAAAATTGATTAGCTTAAGTGAGGGCCCTTTTTTTTTTTGGTGGTGGTGGTGGTACTGTGGTTTGAACTCAGGGCCTCATGCATGTTAAAAAGGTGCTCTACCACTTGAGCCACTCCATCAGCCCAAGGACCCATTTTTGTACTACAGAATATCAGCAGCAACACGTATAGACATTTTCATACATATGTATTCTATGTAGTGAGAGCTGACAGCTATAGAGGGAATATAGGTATTCACTGCCAAATAGTTTGGTTGGACTCTGACTGAGGAGAAAACTGTGATATGTTTTTGTCTTGTTGGAAGGTGCTCTGGGATCCAGCAGGTCACATGTGTACAACTAAGAATAAGTATGGGGTAATAATAATTATAAAACCATTTGTTGAAATAACTCTTCTCAAAGAACTCATAGATACACTAATTCCTGTCACATGAGTACTCTTGTAGCAGTTCTCATTTAAAGGAATTTATATACTTATATACTCATTTTTTTTCTGTTAGATGAATAGGCAGATATTTAAGGCTTTGTTCTTTCAGTCTTAGCATCAGTTTGACGTCCTGACACTGAAGTACAAAGTTGGATACACTTCATTTCTCAAAGTGTGTCCTATAGAATTGTAGACCTTACAGATGATCCAAAGGGGAAAAGGTCACATGTTGAACCAGGTGTCTTAGATTTATAATATCATTAGCATATTAAGATAGCTTTTTTTTTTTTTTTTTTGCAGTTCTAGCGTTTGAACTCAGGGCCTTGTGCTACCCCTTGAGCCACTCTGCCAGCCTAGGATAGCTTTGAGAGATCCTGAAAAAACAAAACCCACTGAACTTTGTTAGATACAACAATTTCCAGCAAATTATAATCATAGTTTCTTTGATGAGTAATCTGTAGCCAGATCATATTCTTTCCTCCCTATAAACCTCTTAAGTTTAAAATCAGAAAAACTAGGCCTGCATGAATACTGAAGTGAGCTGGGATAGAAAATGAGGCTCTAGGAAAATAAAAAGGAAAGCATTCTCAATGGAAAGTATGGAAAATTACAGACTCTGTCTGTCAAATAAGAAGTAACCCAACATGGATGGAGTGTACAGGTCACACAGGATATAGAAGACAAGGCCATTCAAAGTAGAGCAACAGAGGCTTATTTACAAAAGGACTTATTGCAAAGGTATGGGTGGGGTATTAAGAACCATAGGTAAGTCAGCAGACCTGTCCCCAGGTTAGGCCCAAAGGGTCAAGAGGAGGGAGCAGTTAACATAATCTCCAGACTCCTTCCAAGGCAAAGTCCTAGGGAACTGACAGAGTTGAGAGGAGAGCCACGGTCAGCTCTCACTAGGAAAAAGCCTGGAAATAAATAGGAGACCACACTCTCAGGCTCCCTTTGATCTTTTGCCACACCATTCTAAATAGAAGCCAGAGCACAAGAGAAGCCTTTGATGTAAGAATACAAGTCATCTTCCCAGGGCTAGGAGAAAAGGGTGGAGAAAGGCACTGGACTTGGAAGGGCAAATGGAAGAAAGACAGTGGCACAGACAGTAAGGTTGTTATGGACAAACTAGAAGTTCTTCAATGCTAGGCCAAGAAATTCAGAGTTAGACCCATTAGCAATGGAGGCAGTGGAGTTGAGGTGGAGTTTAGGATTGGAATTGAAGAGGAATAAAAACTTTTAAGAAGAAAATAAAATGCGATCCTAGTAACTTAGGAAGCAGTGTAGGCAGTTTGGTTCATCACTTAGCAATGTGATCTTGGAAAGATTAACTAACCTGTCTGTTCCTCAGTTACCTCATATGAAAAATAAAAGATAATAGCATCTATTTTATATTTTTTACTATTAAATGAGATTTTATATATATTCTATTAAAAAACAGAATAATGACTGGCAATTAGTAAACATTCAAAATGTTGAGCTGTTATTCTTTTTCATGATTTAATTCTTGCTTTGTTACCCAGGTTAGTCTTGAAGTTATCGGCTCAACTGAACCTCAGCCTCCTGAGTAGCTGGGACTACAAGTGTGTGGCATAACACCTAGTTTAATAATATTTTAATGTTCTAAAATCTCATTTTTATGATTTTTTAAAATTATAGGTACAAGCTGGGTGTGGTGGCTCAATCCTATAATCCTAGCTACTTGAGAGGCATAGACGGAGAACTTTGGTTCAAGGACAGCCTATGTAAAAAGTTCATGCGACTTCTCACCAATGGTTGGACACAGTGGTATGGGGAAATATAAACAGGAGGATCGTGGTCCAGGCCAGCCTGGCATAAAGCAAATCTCAAAAAATAACCAGAGCAAAAGGACTGGCAGAGTGGCACAAGTGACAGAGCACTACCTTGCAAGCAAGCATGAGCCGAATTCAATCCTCAGTGACACCAAAAAAATTTACAGACACATTGATTTATGGATTCCTTAGGCAACATTCTGTCTGTACAGCTGTGCTATGAGCCCAAGACATTGACTAATGCTTTAATGTTTTCTATTAGAGTATCCCAGGAAAAATTAAGGAGTAGAAGTTTGCCTTACAAAACTGCCAACTCTGTTTATCCCTTTTATCTGCTCTTCGTATATCTTCTATCAGTCTCTGGGATTCTTACGTTGCCTCTTTTCTCCTGAAGAACCCCTTCCTACAGCTCTGAGCCCAGTGTTACAGGTCTGGACTTTTTTCTCTGTCCTCCCCAAACGCCTGCTGTCCCTGTTTTTCCTAATCTTCCAAACACTGCCTTTGTTTCATTCTCGTATGGTTTCAGTGCACAAAGATAATCTGGTAATTTCATTGCTGGGTACCTAGAGTTGAGATGGATGAAAGGTGCTAATCTTCCAGTTGTAAAATAGGGGCTCCTGAACTTGAGAATGCCATAACTTGGTCGTTTTCAAACTGCTGGGAAAGGAGGCAGATGGTTGGAAGGCAGGATTCTCCTTTTCTTTTCTACCTCCTTATAACCCAGCACTGCTGAATACTCCTGTAAAATTTCATTAAACAAAGGGTTCTAAGGTCTGTGCACACATGTGCGTACACATACAGAGTTATTTTTACTAAAAGTAGGAATTCAGGTACTGTGATGGAAAATTTTTGGCCAGGGAGGCTTTTTGCCCTCTCTATTCCAAAGTACCAGTACAGGATTCTTCATTGAATGGATACTTGATAAATCAAAAAAATGGGGCTTGGGGAGTGACTCAAGTAGTAAAGCACCTTCCTACTAACTGTGAGGCCCGAGTTCAAACCCCAGTACTGCCAAAAAAAAAAAAAAAGTTCTATTACCTACAGTCTCTATTTGTACTGGAGGATGGTCTGTCACATAAGGCATTTTAAAAGCTACAGAACAACAAAACTTTCTCTTGACTTCCTCAAGTTAATTCAGGTTTCAGCAAGATATAGTCATCATGACAGCAGGATTATTATTCCACCCTCGAAGGTACAAACCAAGACTTTTTTTGCTGCTAGATCTTCACACTTTACCATCCCTTGGTCTAAATGACACCAGTAAACATTTCAGAAATGTGATCTAAGCATCCCTTGAAGGATGGGCCCTACCCATGGACAGGATCTGCCTGTAGCTGGAGTGATGACAGGTTCCCCTGAAAGAGAAGGGCTTTGCAAGGCCTGATGCTCACATGCTACCCCAGAGATCAGAAGAAAGCCTCGAAGAGTAAGAAGTCACCCACCAGGCTGTAGTGAGCATGTTCTGCCCCAAGGGTCACTGTTCCTTCCCCAGGACATACTGATCCTTTTATCTGAATGAGGTGTATTCCTCTTCCCCACCTCCTCCTCTTTCTACATTTCCCTCTCCTCCAAAGAAACTTTTAGAATACACTATGTTGCCATTCTTCATATTCTATTTTTTTTCCTTGAAGAAGAATAATGATTCTTTCAAGACTTGTTGATCACTGGTCACTGGTTCCATAGACAACTGATATATGAGTCTGGACTAAGTTCTAGCCTTGAGGAAATATGGTTTGGGAAGGACTCTAGAGTCCAGCCATGGCTGTTCCTCAAGTCTCACAGACTTTCCAGAACTTATCCTACAAATAGACTTCACAGTTAGCACTAAATTTTCTCTCTACGTCAATCTTAGGGAATCTGTAGGTGTCAATCTTAGGGAATTACGCATTACTCCTGGATTTCTTAAAGTGAAGCATGGTCCATATGCCACACTATTGTCTACGTATGTTCACTATCCCATGTCCTTTTGAGGAGACAGATCAGAACTACTCCATGCCCTTGGAGGGTTCCTGGAGTTTTAACAATTACATTGGATAAAGCTGATGTCAGAACCAGGACTTACTGGTGGACTGAAGTTTAGGGAGAACCTGGGGTCCCTGTCTCATACCTACTCTTTCTTTTATTTAAGTCTGAGAAAATCCTGTGCATTTAACTCTTCTGTTCTCACAACTACATTTACTATGATGTTGTTTCATATATTCCACAGCTAACATGAATTGACATTTATAAATAAAGCCAAAATATAAAATACTTTAGAAAATATACTCACCTCTATCCCCATTATTTCCCTTGGTGTCTTCAATTGAATCTAAACAATCAATAAGGACTTCTCCAGGTCTTGTTTTCATTTGTCTAAAGTAAACATGAAAGTTCAAGTGTTATAACTACAACCATGTCTGCTCACAACCTACTTAGGAAGAGAAGAGACATATGCATATAAAATAGCTAACCAGTATAAACAATACAGTATCAAGTTCCCGTGCAATTGAAAATATGGTCTTTAAGAATCTCCACACCCTGGAGATCAGTGGAGTCAAGAGTGACCACTTGGAGTAGGCCAGAACTAGAGGAGGGGAAGGATTTGGAAGAGTAAGTGAAAAGAGAGCAGAGTCTCTTGTATTTAAAGATCGGGGCACATGAGAAGACTGGCCTGACTGGGAAGACCGAGTATTGGGTAGTGAGAGAAATACAGCTGAGTAACTAGGAGAAACCAGATAATGGGGAACCTTCAGTGCTAGTCTGATGGATATGGGGTTTATTCTGTGGACAGTGGAGAACACCCAGAGGTTTCGAAGTAGAGGAAAGAACTTGAGGCAGTTATAGAAGGAGTTGTATGCAAAATGTTTTCAGGAAAACAGATGCATGACACAAAAGGAAACAGAAAATGAATAGTTTGTTGACTGACAGAAGTAGCTAGGATCTGTAATCCTAGCTACTTGGGAGGCTGAAATGGGAAGATCACAGTTTGAGGCCAGCCTAGGCAAATACTTCACAAAACCTTATTTCCAAAATAACCAGAGCACAATGGACTGGAGGTGTGGCTCAAGCAGTAGAGAGCCTGCTTTGCAAAAGTGAAGCTCTGGGTTCCAACCCCAGTCTCATGAAAACAAACAAAAAACCAAAAACACCCCAAAAAACAAAAAAAAGAGAAAGAAAAGAAAAAGAAAAAAGCAAGCAAGCAAGCAAACAAACAAAACTCTCCAAAAAACAAACTTGTAGACTATCAGGTAGAGCCTTGTAGTAAATTTGCAATAGAGTCAACTCAAATTAGCTTGAAAACACCAATATGATCATATCACTTCCTGCTTAAAAGCCTTCCATGTCATCCAACTGCCTAGAAATTGAAGTCTAAAATCTTCAGCTCTCATTTCACATTCTGGCTAACCTACCTTTCTGTTTGTACCTTCATCCCTTCCCTGCCACAGACCCCATCCTCTAGCTAAAACTGCTCCTAATATTTTGTTTCTTTCTTCCCCTCCTCCCCCCAACACTCTCTCTCTGTCTACATGGACAAGGCCCTGCTTATCCATCAGGGTCCAATTCAAATATTTCTTCTTTAAGTCCTTCCCCAGGTGCAAAGAAATGTTCTCTTTTTATGGTTCCCAACTTTTTGTTCATTTTTCCCTGAATTGTACTTGCTACATCTATTATAGTTGTCTGGGTACAAATCCTGTACTATAATGGAGAGGGAAATGAATATTATTTCCTATTGTTTTTGTATTTCCAGGGATCAGTACAGTAACCAGCATATGGAAAGCATTTGATAAATGTTTAATAAACTGAAAATGTTCATGAAATGAGAGTTTTTGTTTGAATTAAGACCTCTCCTCAAAGAATGATAGAAAAAGCCATCAAATGGGTGTGATGTGTAAGTATGGTTTATAATTTTATAAATCTCTTTTCCTCCCAACTTGTTAAAGGATGTAACACCATGTAAGGTATCCAGCCACAACAAAGCCTGAGAAATGTCTCAATATTTCATTTTTTTCCTCTGTCCACGATAAGGAGCCATACGAAGGGGCTAAAAAGCTTCACTCCATTAATCCAAGAACCTTAGCGCTAATGCTGTCCAACACTTAATATCCAAGAGGCATTTTTTTTTCCTGGGCAGGAGGTTTCTAACCTATTTTTTTTTCTTTAAAGCACGATAATTTCCAAAAAACAGGGCTTCTGTGTGAAAGGCTGTAAAAGAGGGCTTCTTCTCCCAGTTGATTTAGATGGCCAGTGGACGGAAGCTTGGCACGGACACACTGTTTGTGCCTGGGAACTGTGAAGAATGTCGCTCCCTACCCCCGACTTGATAGGGAGCGTGCGGAGGTCGTTTATCCCAGGGCCCGCGATGCGCGTGGTCGTTCCAGGTCTAGCTACAGAACCCGCTTTCCCCACGACTCTTCCTGCTCGAGTGAGCCAGATGGTCCAGCCATCCGCTTCCCGGCCAGGACAAGAGGAGGCCGCGTTCCTCCGGGGTGCCACCCCCACCTCGCCAGGCGAACCCCCGAACTCGCGCCGCCGCGCCCCAGTCAGGCCCCTGGGAACCTCGGAGACTCACTGCGAGTACAGGTCGAAGCGGACCTCGCGGTCCTCCCACAGCACGTCCAGCACGGACATGATGACCGAGGCCCGCGCTGTCCTCCGCGCCGGAGGCCCCTCGCGTCCCGACCTCCGCGTCCGCCGGCTCCTAGGCAACGGGCGTCGGCTTGGCGTGTACGGCGGCCGCCGAGGCCCACGCTGCCCCGAGTAGCGCGTGCGCGTCACTAAGCAGGTTCAGGACCCCAGGCAGGGGGCGTGCCTGGCAGACGCTCGTCCTGTTACCATCTCGCCCCTCCGCCATCTCCCTCCTCCGTCTGGGGCGCTGTCCCCCTCAGGTCCCAGCAGGGGTCCCTTAGCCCCTAAGTCTCAGTTCTCACGTCAGCTCTGGCCGTCCCTCTTCTGTGAGCAAACCAAGGACAGGCACCCCATCTGTCTAGCTCACCGCTTTGAACAATGCCGAGCATACGGTGGCACCCATTTAATAAAACAGTAAATATGTCAGTAAATATGCATAGATATAATTCATATAAACAAAAATTCTGCGGGGTACTCAATGTTTTTAGGAGTATAATGGGGTCCTGAGATAAAAAGTTTAATAACTGCAGCTTTAAATTATTACCTAGGGGTTGGGGGTGTAGTTCAGAGCTCAAAGCTCTGGGTTCCGTCCCCAGCATTCCTACCCCCCCCCCAAATATTATCTAGCTCATCAGGCTATGTGCCAGGTCCTGAGGGTGTTAACGCCCATGAAGAGGTTTTCTCAGGACGAATGGGAGCAAAGGAACGTGTAGTGGACACGCACACAGGTGCCCCCATGAGTGGTGTCCTTGTAGAATCCCCTCCCCTTGAGTGTGTGGAACCTGTGGCTTGCTTCTAGACAATCAAACATGGCAAAAATGTTGGGATGTCATTCCCATGATTACGTTATTTATGTGATAAGATTCAGTCTCAGCCAACTAGCGCAAGAAAGACTCTCTTGCTTGCTTTGGGGAAGCCAGGCACTATCATATGGATTTTAGTATTGGAGGCCTCAGTCCTGTAGTGCAAGAAACAGCTACCCTATGGATCAGAAGGTGTATTATGTAACTCGAGTTGTTTTGGTTAAGAAAAGGGCTTTTTAGTGGATAGTGAATGAAAATGTTTTTATTTAGATGGTTATATATAAGTAGTATTAGCCTTTGAAATAAAATCAACCCATAAAAAGAAAAGTTAGTGTCGTTTACATAGTGGTTAAACTTGTTTCTTGAGGTGACTTGAATCAAAATAGATAATATTCATATGGCAAAAATTTTTACTTTAAAATTTCAAGAAAAACTACATTGTTTCTGAAACCAGTTTTCAGTCCCAGGCCCAAACTCCTGGGCTTCCACATGTCAGGTCTGGCCATTTGCCCCTATATACCAAATAAAGAGCCAGTAATGGTGAAGGGCAGAGAAAGGACTGTTATTACACAGTTGGAGACACACTCTGGGAAGAGGCAGAGTAAGCACTTAAACCCATTTTAGCCATCTTTGGGGTACAGATATGAGCTTTCGGTTTGAATAAACAAAGAATTTGGGGCAGGATTTGCAGAGTTAAACAGTCCCACTCACAAGTGTGCTGCGGGAGATCATGACCTCAGTTCCTATTTTAGAGGGAGATCGCTGCCATCCGTGGTCAGGATAAGTTATTGCCACCTGAAGGGTGGTCTTGTCCAAAGGAGCCCTGCTGTCCCTTTTCTTGGGGGCAGTTTTCTCCAACCTTCCTTGTAAAGACGTTATCAATTGGTCCTGTCCTTACTGGATAACAAGGTAGCTGTAAAGTGAGTGGCTTAGGACACAGATACAAAATGGAGGCAGGGATGCCAGGATCTTCTGCTGCTGAAAGTTAATTCATGGACTCAAGGAAGGAGTCAAAGCTTTTCAGCAAAAGTACATTGCATTTCTTACATCACTGAACAACATGGCTCACCCTGCTCCTTCTGGAGATATTTATTGAAGGTCAGCTATGTGCTTGGGACTGCACTCAGAGTTGAGGTCATGTCCTGAAAACACAGACACGCCATTCGCCCTCATGGAGCTGATGTCCCAGTGAAAGACAGTGTATACTACAGTCAAAATGGGAATCAAAACTAGCTGTAGCCTCATGTCACTGAAGCCATGTCTCTTCCCTATTCCACTCACCTCCTTTAATTAATTTATTTATTTGTCATCTCCTTCCTTAAAGTCATCATCTTCTTTATTAACATTGGCAGCTCATGGATAACAATAGGAACCTTTCTTCCTCAGCGTCGGCTTTCATGTTTTGTTGAATGCCTACGATACGTTGGATGACCCCAGTGGCTGCTATTCTTTCTTCTTTTTTTGTCCAAGCAGGCACATTCTATTAGAAGACATTCAGTAAACCAAACTGTATTTTGTAATATTAAGATTTTAAAAATCTAAAACAGATTTTACATAACATCTGCTTTGGTGAAAATATTTTGCTCTTTGTTTAATAAGGTGGCAATAGGATACATATCTTTTTTTTATAGCTTTATTGAAGAATAACTGATATATAAGAAGCTGTGTGCTGGGCCTGGTGGTATGTTCCTATATTCTCAGCACTCAAAAGACTGAGGCAGGAGGAGTTTGAGGCCAGCCTGAGCTACATAGTGAGATTGTCACAAAAAAATTTCCAAAAAACCAACAACAAAAAGAAAGGAAGGAAGGAAGGAAAAGGAAAGGAGAAAGAAAGAAAAAAGAAACTGCCTGTAATTAAGGCATGCAATTTGGTTACCACCACCACAATCAAGGTAATAAGACATACCCATCGCCTCCAAATGTTGTTTTTTTTTGTCCATTTGTTTTGTGTTAACAACACTTAACATGAGATGTAGCCTCAACTTTTTTTTTTTTTTGTGGTGCTGGGGATTAAACCTAGGGCCTACATGCTAAGTAAGCACTCTACCACTGACCTACACTGCCAGCCCATGTCCTCAACAAAATTTTAAGTGTACAATTCCTTATTGCCAACTACAAGGCAGCATGGTGCCCAACAGATCTCTGCAATTACTCGTCTTGTATAATTCTAACTTCATACCCATTGGACAACTCCCTGTATGTTCCTCTCCTTATCTGCTGGGAATCATCAGACTTCCTGACCACTTTACATGCCCTATATAAGAGGAGTATGCAGTATTTGCCATTATGTGAATTTTTACACTTAGCACAATGTCTTCCAGTCCATCTATGTTGTTCCAAATGGTAGGATTTCTTTCTTTTTAAAGGCTGAATAATATTCCATTGGATGTATTCTCCGCATTTTCTCTATATATTTATCCGTTGATGGACATTTGGGTTGTCTCCATATCTTGGCTATTGGAATTACGCTACAATGAACATGGGAGTGCAGATAATTCTCTGATATCTCAATTTTAATTCTTTTAGATCTACATCCAGTGGAATTGCTGGATCATATGGTAGTTTAATTTCTTTGAAGAACTTCTGTATTGTTTCCTATAGAGGCTGCACCATTTTATATTGCCACCAGTAGTGTACAAAGGTTCTAATTTCACCACAAGATAACATTTGTTGCCTTTTTTTGAAATAGAGTTCTAGCAAAATTACTGTACTTCAGAATAGCTTTTCAAGCCCAACTATTAGAAAACTACTAAGCAAAATGCCTTTAAGGGGTAGAGTAATTATATTTTAACTATTGCAAGTGTTCGATCTATACCTCAACTCTGATATGTTCCCTGTTCTATGTGAAAACAATTAATAAATACTTCACAAGTTCCTGAACAGTGCCATCAAACTGCTTGAAAATATAAAGAGGATTGGAGGGTCTAGAGATGTGGAAGAGGGCTTGCTTGGCATATGCAAAGATTTGGGTTTGATCCGCAGCACTGCAAGAAAACAAACAACAAAAAAGGAGGGCTGGAGGTGTAGCTCAGTCGTAGAGAATTTGCCTAGCATACAAGAGGCCCTGGGTTTGATTCCCAGCACATGCACGCACACGCACGCACACACACACACACACACACACACACACACGTGGAATCCATTTAAAGATTTAAAACTTATGCAAAATGAACTAAAACATTATGGTTTATGTGCTCGTAGATGTGTACTCTGTGGCCTGTGTTGCTAGATATCACAGAGGCTGTATTAAGAAATGATGACTTCTTATTTTTCTGAAAAAGGAAAACATTGGTGAATAAAGTACAAAAGTTTTCCATTTTGACTACTTTTATCAGCTAATAATACATGCAGTTAAGAGCAGTGGACCTTGCTGTGAAAACTTGCTGATTTTCACAATGTACCACACCCACAGTAGACATGTTTTTGTTCAGCTGCATTGTGTTAGCATAAAGGATTGGTGGTAATTATGTAGAGACGAACCCCAGGTTTACTGAGAACAGCAAAGGGTACAGTAGGGAAGAGAGGAAAGCTATGTATTTTTATTCTCACATCTTCCTCCCAAGATACCCAATTCTTTCCTCTCTCTCTCTCTCTCTCTTTTTTGGCAGTACTGGGATTTGAACTTAGGGTCTTGTGCTTATTGGGCAGGCACTCTACCACTTGAGCAATACATCCAGATCTTTTTTGCTTTCTAGGTTTTTTTTTTTTTTTTCCTGATAAGGTCTCACCTTTTTGTCCAGGGCCAGGCTTACACTGTGATCCTCCTACCTATGGCCTCCCACCTAGCTGTGATCATAGGCATATTCCACCACACCTGGCTTGTTGATTGAGATCAGGTCTTGCTAATTTTTTGCCTAGGCTGGCCTTGAACCAATATCGACCTGATCTCTGGCTCTCAAGTAAGTGGAATTACAGGTGTGAGCCATCATGCCTGGCTGATACCCAGTTCTTGTGGTAGCTGTAACCCCTGTACTGTGATACAACTGGTGATGAGAGGAACTGGGACCCTTCCCTTCCCATCCACTTCCAACCTGGTCAAACTGGAACCAAATCAGTGACTCCTAAGTGAACCACCCCAGTTACACTGGCCATAATTCAGTGTCTCTTCCCTAACCTACAAAGGGTTGAACTCTATAATTTTCTTTATCCTTGTCATTAGCAAGTCAGTTTACCCCAGCATTCCGGCCTTGCATCTCCCTGTTTACCAATGGCCAAGTACTGATCCCTTGAGTCACACGATGGGGTTTGT